ACATGTAATTATATGAGGAAATTGATGAATGTAAGCAGTTCTACTGAATCTAACAGTCCAGATGGTAGGGCTGGCACGGAACGGAACGGAATCTGAACGAAACGGAATTCGGAACTTGGCTTCGGAATTCTGAACTTTCGGAATTTCGGACCTTTTAAAATAGTTCCTACTTCTCCCCTTAAGTTCTCATTTTTTGTTACCATTGGAACAGCAGTGTACAAATATATATATATACACTCATTTCTTTTATTCTGGGAATCAGTTCATATGGTTGAAATAACGAAAGAATGTGATGTAACCACGTGTCTACTTACCGGCTTGTTCTATGTCATCCATCGGACTAGGTTACATCGTGGAACGCAGCCGAACAGGACACTGAAGGCAACAGCATATCTAACTTGATCTTAGCCGAATTTTCGGAAATTTAGATCGTCCATTTTGCAAGCTCACGTGACTGACACGTGATTATGTCTGATCACGTGACTAGTTACTGTACCGATCATGTGACTTAATCACGTGTCAATGACGTGTCACCCAACCATTTCTTCAAGGAAAACGGAAGTAAATATTTTGGAAAATGTTTTCCGAGCATTTGCCACTGATTATAGAAGGCCCAATTACGCAACGAACTAAACTGCTAAATTTTATTTCGTGCCTAACAGGCTCAGTACGCAATGAAAGAAACTGCTAAATTGTATTTTAGAGCTGTTTATTGATCTATTGATTCATAAAGACCTGAAATGATGCATTCAAATAAGACCGCCTCCTAAGTGAAAAAACAGTACACATAAGGTGGTGAAAAAGAACGAACTAAAGTTGAAAGATCGCAACGTTCGCTACTTTGTTCAATTCCGGAAATCTCCAAGGGGCTGCAAATGGGAAATTATTTAGATTTTGATTTTATAACCTCAGAATACTGGCTTCATTGTCGTGTTTGGCTGCGTTCCACGATGTAACCTAGTCCGATGGATGACATAGAACAAGCTAGTAAGTAGACACGTGGTTACATCACATTCTTTCCTTATTCTAACCATATGAACTGATTCACAGAATAAAAAATTTGATTGTAAGTTGTATTATGTTTATTAAATACAAACAATAACACTATCTAACTGCCAGAACAAGTGGCCTAAATGTTCAAAACGAATGGCAAAATGCTAATGTCCTTGCCTTCTTGGCACCTTGGCATACAACTGTTACTGTATATTGTATATTGTCTTTCTTACAATAATTGTCTTTTCTTATAGGTACTGAATATATATAAAACAATCATACTTTATTTATTTCTATCATTCATAACATGTAAAACAACTTTACTAAGTGAAAATGTTAATAATCATATATATTTATTGATTTCTTTTCATAGTTCTAGTTCGCTAAAGCGAGTTAGTGTGTCGCTATAACGATAAGTGAATCAAATATCTCCTTGATAAAGTCAATGTTTCTGGGGGACTAACACTTGCTCCCCCTCGGGCATCCTCACCCCACCTCCCCCTCGGGCAACCCCCCCCCCCCTTGGGCATCCCTCCCCAAAAAAAATTGAAAAATATTATTATTTTTTGTTATCTTTTTTATTGACTCATACACTTTGAAAGTACCCAGAAAGCACCAAATAGCATCTTAAAATTGTAACATTTTCTAGGGGAAGTGGGCTACCCCTCACACCCCCACAAAACAATTGAAAAGTTCTGAATTTTTTTATGTATTGTCTCAGACACCTTAAAAAGTGCACAGACATCATCAAATAGCTCCTCGATATAGTTAATGTTTCTGGTGAGTAACACTTGCTCCCCCTCTGGCATCCTCACCAAACCTCCCCCTTGGAAACCCCCCCCCTTTGACCCCCCCCCCAAAAAAAAGAATTAAAAGCACAAAATAGCATCTTTAAAGTAAAATTTTCGAAGGAAGTAGGCCACGTACCCCTCACAATGGCTCACATCCCCCACAAAACAATTGACAAAAATTCATAATTTATTTCTTGTATTGTCTCGAGACATTTTAGGTGCCCAGACTTCATCAAATAGCATCTTTATATGGTTTATGTTTCTGGGGACAGATATGGGGGACAAACACTTGCTCCCCCCTCTGGAACCCAAAGCCTACCTCTCCTTTGGCACCCCTCCCCTTTGACACCCCCAAAATTTGAAAAATTTGTGATTGTTTTTCATCTTTTTATTGATTCATACACTTTAAAAGTGCCCAGAAAGCACCAAATATCATCTTAAAATTATAAAATTTTCTAGGAGAGTTGGTCACCCATCTCATCCGCCACAAAACAATTGAAAAAATATGAATTTCATGAATTATCTCAGAGTCACTTTAACAGTGCCCAGACATCATCAAATAGCACCTTGAAATGGTCAATGTTTCTGAGAAAGAACCTCTTGTAAAAGGAAGATGGCTCGTTCATCATTCTATTTATACAAGTATTTCATCACACTTTGTGGTTTCATCTCAATAGGAGTGGTTTTGATGAATAACGATATATCTACAATATATACTAGATTTTTCAAGGTAATTTCTTGTTTATTTTTTTCATATTATAATTCTACTTGCTCATTTATGAAATATAATTTGTTCCTATACAATATGTAGGTGCCTATACTGTATGCACCTGTATGCACCTGTAGGCCTTTATTAATAATATATCAGGAAAAGACAGGGAGCACAGGTGCATTTGTTGCTATATTAATTTAGCAACTAAACAACTAGAAACCTCCAGGTTTGGAGTTTTTCTAAATGCTAACTAATCTGAAATTTGGAAAAAAAATTGCCCCACTGGATAGCTAGTGCATTCTTTTTCAAAATGAAACTGGTTTTGTCCTGTTATCTTTCTATCAAATTATTGTATTAAACTTCACTGACCTACTCACTTCCTCATGTGTTTTTGTGATATCTCATACGTCAATTAGGTGAGAACTGGCACCATAGAAGAATTGTGAAATATCCAACTATTGTGATTTTAGTACAATATCTAGAAAATTACATCTATTACCTAAAATACAGTAAAACCTGTCCTAGTGAACACCTCTCAATAGTGAACACCTGTCCCTAGTGGACATCTTTCCTCCACACATTATATACTGACTTCAATATAAATTACTCTCTGTAATGAACACCTACCCAGAGCAAACACATTACTGTGGTTTCATAGGTGTTTACTGAACACAGGTTTTACTACTGTATATTATAAGTTTTTGCATTTATTGCAGATGTATTGATTCTGACGAAAGAATCACACATAATACTCAGATTCTAAGCAATTAATTAAAGAAGAAAGTGCAACGTTCAAAATTTTCAATTTTTCTGAGTTTTGTTAAAATTAGAATAGCTGGTGCCCTGACTCTGATGTAAGACAAAACTCTGATAGTTTTACTCATCAGAGGCATAGCAGCCAAATAATAAAGACATTGACTGGAATTACAGAGAAGGATGTGTGTTATAAATAATAATTAAAAAATAGTAATGTGGGTACTGAGCTCACATGGTGTTGCTCAAAAGTGAATGATGGCTAAAAAAACCTAAAATGGTCGAAAATAAAAAAAATTGATGTAATTTTTTGATTTTTTGTAACAAAATTATTTCATACAACTACTCTTTATAGAATAGTGACATGGCTTTTTACAATGCAGGACGCCTGAAATTATTTGTAAAGCTAGGCAATGGGCCAAAAGTGAATTTCGCGAGACAAAAATGGCGACCATTTTGAAAATAGGCGAGATTTTGAACCAGGAGTCATAAGGGAGTTTTCTGTATTGAAGTTTAACAAATATAACTTAAAACGGGAATCCTATCGACACAGGTTTTAAAGCAAATGGTGGCCATTTTGAACAATGAGTCATAGGGGGGTTTTCTATATTGATGTTGAAAAAAAATAACTTAACATTGGAATCCTATTGACAGAGGTTTTAAAACTGGCCAATTGCTGACAAACAGACAGACGGATAGACAGATGGACAAGTGAGTGATTGCAATAGGTAACCATGTGAGCTAAAAACAGTAGTGAGATTGTCATGCCTTCGTTTTTCTAACAAAATACGAAAATCAATGATTTTGCACATGAACAATTTTTGGGGGAAAATGTACAAAATAAATAAATGAGGTCTTATTCAGTGACATCTTAAGGTTTGTTTTGGAAGTACTTGAAACATGGACCTCAGCCAAAAATTGCTGCAGTTGATCTTTTTAAAAAGTGTGAACAATTATATTAATTGAAATATAGTACGCTGAAGATATAACCTCGTCAAATGTTACAAAGTTGTTTCAATGATGCTTTCATGATCATGGAAATTTTGTTTATGGAGTAAAAACAATTTTTTCCCCCAAAAAAATTTGTTATCTTTATATGAAGGATTTTCATGAGGTAAGAATTTTTTCTGTAAACAGACCAGATCCTTAAAGCTGACATTTGCACCTTTCAAATGGTAAATGTATATGGGCAAACTGCATCATTTATTTTCATTAACAGATTTTGAAGATTTAATTCTAATTCAATTCTAACTACACTGGTATATTAAATAAATGATCATATTCAATATTGTGATCTTTCAGTTTCGATCGGAATTGCCGCACTCTTCTTCAAACATCTCAAAATTTCTGAACAAAGTCTTCCAAGAGACTTGTTACAACACAACAATATTACCCAATATGCCAGTCAACCCAAAACCAATGAAGACACCAGTGAAACCATACCCAATTGTGCTGGTTGTGTCATTCAACAGATATAAGTATTATGACACCATTCCATACATAGAGCTACTCTATCGGGACTATTTTGAGAACATACTGTACTGCGGCCCCTCACAACCTCCAGAGGATTTGATGATCAAGTTCCAGATGTCATATGTTTTATTTGAACAGCCAGGCAATCAGCTCGATGGAGCTTATATATACAATTGCACGATGCAAGCCATAAATATGAATTATGATGCGAGGGGGATTTTATACATGTCTGATGATGTCCTTTTAAAAGTTGAATCCCTTGTAGATTATAATATGAGTGCAATTTGGCAATCAAATTATGCCTATGAAGTGAATGAAAGGAGGGACCTACACTTAGCTAGTTATACTGATCAAGAAAAAGGGCCAAAAGAATGTGTTGAAGAAAACTTCAAACTTCCTTGTAATAAAACACCTGAGCAAATAGTGTTTGGATATTTAAAGAAAGAAATTATAAACACTCACAACGAGTTATTGGCAAAGGTGACAATGGAACAAGAAACTGAGGATAAACTATTTACAAACTTTTTGCAAACTTTAGAGGAAAATTCAGGCGGAAAGATGCGTTATTTCAAAACAATAGTGGATGTTTACTACATCCCAAAGAGCTATTGGGATCAATTTTATAGGCTGGCTGAAGTTTTCCTTCAACACAAAATTTACATGGAAATTGCAGTTCCAAGTATTTTACGTGGAATCGAGAAAAATATTAGCGACCAACCAGTCACGCTACTTGAAGGTCGTCAATATGCCAGAAGTAAAATGGTACCAATTTTATTCAAAAACAAAGAATGGTACTCTTGGCATCCATTTAAACTTGGAAAGATCCAAAGTGGAGACAACGATACAATACAAGCATATTGTTCCTTGTTTCATGGTAATTGGTATAGGAACCCTATAAACATTGAATGAGACTGATCAGCCAATTATACCAGTGCCAATTACAATTTTAGATTGGTCACTACTAAATTAGTTAGTCATGGCTATAGTTAGGGAATGTATCAAAAGTCATTTATTTTACTTACTGCATGACATTTCCAAGGTTAAAATGTGCCCCAGCATGTTGAGGGTTAATGGCAATTGCTCTCCAGAAGTGGTCTTCAGCTTCTAGAGAGTTATTCAGTAAAGTTCCCAGGTTGTTGTGAGCACTAGCGTGTTTAGGGTATAATCTTGAAATAAAAAATAATACATATACATTAAAGGGACACTCAGAGTTAGAGAATAACTACATTTATTTTAAAAAAAGTCAAAAATTGATTTCAGTGTTTGGTTGATTATTTCTCTTGATTGATCTGATATCTTATAATTTGAAGAAGTAAAAGATTTTTGAATTTAAATCTTGAATAAATCCCCATTTACATTTGGTAATATAAACTGGAGCTTAATTGATGTAACAATTATTTCATTAGATTTTTGATTTGTTATTAATATAATTATCCCATGCTTCTATGTGACATATGCTTCCGGTATGTTAATACATGTACAGTCAAACCTGTCTAAGTGGAACAGCTTTGGAACCTCTAAAAAGTATTAGACTTATAGAGGTTCATTATCACTAAGTCCTTGTTTCATTAACAGAGTTGTTCCACTTCTAGAGGTGCACCAATTTACATGTTTCACTGTACATGTACTTAATATAAAACTAGTGATTTGTTTATGTGGGTGGAACATTTGGAACATTTGATAATTGAACTCAAAATATTTTTCCTCTAAAATGCACCAATATTTTACTGAGCATAGTTCAGACACTCATTTATCTGATGTAAAGTTTATAGGTGAAAACCACAAAGTTAATGCATTAAACTAGTCCATGTTTCATAGGACCCCCTTTTCTTAAATATATACTTGTCAACTTTGTCACTACTTTTTCAAGTGTTCTTTATTTCAAAGCTTTAATGAACATGATGATTGCTATACACATTTTATAAAATCATATTCAGTTGACAAGAGGTATTTACATCTATGGTTAACTAGAAAACTATATCCTCCGATCACAGGGTTTCAAAATCCAGAACATATTCTTTCCTTTTACCCCCTGCGATAAGCAGTTACCATTTCCCCGATTAAGAACTCGCATTCTGATTGGCTGTCGCAACACTGCGAAGGAAATCATGTATAAGTCATTGCGCATAATTATTACGTGATTCAGTTAAATCGGGCGCGTTCAAATTGGTTATAGCAGGGGGAAGAAGGAGGTACGGATTCTGGACACCTGCTTAGGAGGATGGAAAACTATTGTGTTACTGTCAACTTAATAATACCCCAAGTCATTATCTTTATTTAAGAGTAGGAAAGAAAGAACATCTCAGAGGTGAGCGATTGCAAAACCCATACAGCTACTAAAGTGACAAAATCATTGTTTCCATTTTCAGTAAAGAAGAAACTGACCAGTTATTTACAAGGCTTTATTAAGACCAACTCTAAGCATATTATATCATTTTTGTTCTGGGAGACTCTTATGATATCGATATGTATTATCGCGAGGCGGCAGCCGAGCCCAATATTTTTTCGAGGATAGGTATTCTGGCCATATCCAGCTCCTGATCATCCAGTATTTGTTTTATTATGCACCTCCCAATCAAAGTTAAGTGGAGTACTTACTTGTATTTCATCCTCATTTACAGGCTTAAACTGTCGTTAAGTTGACATTATTTTGACATTTATTTATTTTTTCCTTCAAAACTCAGACGACTTCCGGCCAGTTTATTAGCTACATTGGACGAAAATATTTGCCCCGGGAATTTAATTTTTATTTATTCGAGACGTTCTTGCAGAATTATATGTAACTTTTGAATGATAAGGGTAATTGTGATTGATTAAGTGCATTTTTTCTTCTATTTTCCGCCAGTTTCAGATGTAAGCTTTAAGTAGTACTCCAGTTATTAAGAAATAAAAATCTGAAGTGGGAATGTTGCAAAAACATTGAAAAAAATATCCGACCCTTTTCCTCGAAAGGGTCAGATATTAAAAAAATATCCGGCAGTTTTCAGAAAAGAGCAGAGTATTGCCAAATTACAAGCAACTAGGAACCAATCAGATTTGGGTATTTTAATGAGGTGCATAATAAATATATATATTTAGCCATTATGTCCCTATCATTGAATATATGCCTGCGGGGTCTGACGTCAATATAGCCCGAGCTTGCGAGGGTTATATTGACGACAGACCGAAGGTATATATTCAATGATACGGACATAATTGTTGTATTACATACCTAAAGTACATTTTACATTACATTTCCTGAATATAATATGTAGAAATGCGTGAAAAAAGACAATAATGCTGCGTTTTCATGTTATATCAATGACGTCACACGTCTGTGTGCGATTGGAATATGTAAGAAATGAAACGTGACGTCATACAATTGTCATGGTAAAAAGTTTGGCGGCTATACAGGAATATATAGCCGTCTTTCAGCTCCATTGACTTCCATACAAATGCTTCGCTAGGTATGTAATACATTGATATATTCAATGAAAATTATTCATATCAGAACAATAAAGAGGAGGGGCTTCATTTACCCATCAAATCAGACTGCCCTGACCTCTTTCTGGAGAATATTCAATCAGTAATACACCCAACAATAGCCATATTGATACCAATCATTTTAGGTAAAAAAATGTTGAATATATTACTAGATTTGATCTTCCAAGGTAAACATATAAGAAGTTTGGTCAAACTGAATTTTTAATCAAGATTGCTTGGACAAAAACAAACAAACAGTAAACTGATTGAATCATTTCAAAACAGAGACCCAGGCTTGAACTTGTAATTCAGGAGAAGAGGGGTCATATCAAACATTGACTAGTTTAATGCATTAACTTTGTTGTTTGTACCTTTAAACTTTACATCAGGGACTGAACAATACTCAGTAAAATTTTGGTGCATTTTAGAGGAAAAATATTTTGAGTTCAATTATCAAATGTTCCAAATTTTTTTGATCACCCTGTAGAGTATTCATACATGTTTGACACTCACTTTGTTTCGAAATTTTATGTATACATGTACAGTGAAACCTGTAAAAAGGAACACCTCTAGAAATAGAACACCTATATTAGTTGAAATTTTTCAGAGGCCCAAGACCAAATATGACTTAAATGAACCTCTATAAGAGGAAAACCTCCTGATTGGAACACTTTTTAGAGGTGCCAAAGCTGTTCCACTTTTACAGGATTCCCTGTTATTATATTAAATAGGGAAGTTAACATCAAATGTTCGCACTTTATAGTGTTTAAGAACCTCTAAAAAAGTATTACACATACTGGCATATTCTTGGTATAGTTCTATGTTAAGGTTTCAAACTAAACATGTAGTATCTGGCATGTTTCATCTTTTAGTCACATGCCTATCATATGAAAAATGAATATGTTACACTTTTGAATATAAATGTACAAATTGCAAATGTCTATCCAATATAAAATCCAGTGAATAAAAAGATTGATTCTAAAATCAAACCAACTTATGTTCATATACATGTATATCAAAGTTACAGGACAAAAGATGGAAGAGTGATCCAGTATCAGCTCTGTCTCAAATGACTTAATGAACCTCTATTAGTGGAACACCTCCCAAGTGGAACATATTTTAGAGGTGCCAAAATTAGACAGATTTTACTGTATTGTTCACATAGTCAGAGGACTCGCACTCATACTGGCTCGAAGGAATGACCGACTTTGATTGGCTCGATAAGTTCAAAAATTTATGAGTGATTTGTAGAGTATGTAAGTTTAAGTTTATTGGCTATGGAGTACGAGATAATTTTCAAAAGGTCATTTACTTACAAAATTGCCTTCTCATAATGTTTGATGGCTTCTGTTGTCTTCCCCACATCTTTAAGGTAGTTGGCATAGTTATAGTGAACCTTTGCATTGTTGGGGAGAACTTCAATACCAGATCTACAAGAATATTCACCTTTATATCATTGTTTACTCCACATACATGTAGTATAATTTAGACATGAATTCTCTTTTCAAAGGGAAGATCTCTCTCAAGTGAGAGGGACCAATGTGATTTGATTGTTTTGTCTTCTTTTTAAGATTCCAAGACTTTCAAGAAATAGCAAATCATGAATTTTACAGTATGAATGTATACAATTGTATAATTCCTTTTTGGATAATTGTGTTGAGTGTAACCTGTTAAAATGAAATAATTGGGAGTTATCTAGATTGACCAGATTGAATTTGATCAACATAACTGTCCAAAATAAGACATTAAAATTCATAAAATGTATTAAAAACTCACTTAAATAAGGTTTCCCTGGAATGCCACACTTGATTACGAACTACAGTTCTCCCTGCCAATATGGCTGCCATTGCCATAGCAACTGCAAGTGCTGATCTAGGTTTCCAACGGAAATTGATGGTCAATCTGTCCAATCCATATGCCAATAAGACACAATAACCCATACTGCAAAGATGGATATAAATAGAGATTCAGAAATATTTCACGAGTAAAAAAAATAACGAAAATATGCATTCATGTCGTCACAAGCTCAAAGGCTTTATTTATAAGTGATGCTGTCCCCAGCTCCGATTTCAGTGATCGGCTAGTATAAAAGGTTTGAGGGTATCATTTTGTTCCAGACACTCTCTAGAGTAAATTATCCTAACTTGAATAAAAATGTATGGTAAGTAAATTCGCTACGGGCAGTTAAAGAGGCGCCATCTATTCATTTTCAAACAGGGGGTAGGGGTATAAAATAATTTTTAACACATTTTAATAGTAAAATGACATTGAAATACTAATAAAATCTTATCAAGAACATTATTTACAATCAGTATGAATTTTCTTGTGTGGATTAGGGTGAAAATAAGGGCATATTTTGAAATTCACTACAGGGGCGCCACCTATTTTCGTACTTCTACCACGTGTAATAACTTATTTTAGATTCGTTAAGGTACGAAATGTACTGAAAAAATTCATTCTGAAGGACCTATATATGTTCATATCACATACTCAAAATTGGATCAATAGCTTTTGTACTGGCGGAGAAAAAATTCTTGAAATTTAAAATTGTGGCATCATGCAGGATAGGGGCGACCATATCTCACATTATTAACTTCCAAAATATGGAGCATATGTATCTCAAATGTACTCAAAATGGTGTATGTACTCTTGCTTTGTCATAATATTACTAATAAGAAGTAGAACAAGACACACAGTGATAAATATCGCACTTTGAAGAGCAAACTGGCCACCATGCAATTTACCCAGCATGGCCAAAACCTAATCAGACCTTGGCACTAGTCTGCTCTTGCATCTGTAAACATTTCAAGTTGACAAGGTAAGCGGTTTTCCTGCAATTTTGATGACAAGAATTTATTTGTAGTCTTGAACTTTGGGAAAATTTAGATAACATTGTTTGTGACCTAATTTGATGACCTTCGACCTTGAAAATTTCACTTTTTCAGACCTCAGTAGGTGTTTTGTAATTAAGCTGACCTAAATTTAAATCCAAAATATCAATTTAGAAAATCAAATTTTTGACCTTTTCAGGGTCACTGAAGGTCAACGAAAGGTCAAATCTGAAATCTAAGGTCAGATTTGAACTTCTGAGAACTTGTAGATGTTTTTAAAAAAAGAATTTGGTCAATTTGGAGCAAGTTGAAAAATTCAAAATGGCCGCCAAATTGAAAAATTCAAAATGGCCACCATGTAATTCAGCCAGCATGCCCAAAACCTAATCAGATCTTGGCAATAGTCTGCTCTTGCATCTGTAAAAATTTCAAGTTGAACGGATAAGTGGCTTTCCTGGAATTTTGATGACAAGATTTGTTGAAAAATTCAAAATGGCCGCCACGTAGTTTACCCAGCATGCCCTAAACCTAATCAGATCTTGGCACTAGTCTGCTATTGCATGTGTAAAAACTTCAAGTTGAACAGGTTAGCGGTTTTCTTGGAATTTTGATGACAAGAATTGATTTGTAGTCTCAAACTTTGAGAAACTTGGATAACATCATTTGTGACCTAGTTTAATGACCTTGACCTTCGACCTTGAAAATTTAACTTTTTCAGACCTCAGTAGGTGTTTTGTAATTAAGCTGACCTAAATTTAAATCCAAAATATCAATTTAGAAAATCAACTTTTTTGACCTTTTCAAGGTCACTGAAGGTAAATGAAAGGTCAAATCTAAAATCTAAGGTCAGATTCGAACTTCTGAGAACTTGTAGATGTTTTTTAAAAAAAATTTGGTCAATTTGGAGCAAGTTGAAAAATTCAAAATGGCCGCCAAATTGAAAAATTCAAAATGGCCACCATGTAATTCAGCCAGCATACCCAAAACCTAATCAGATCTTGGCAATAGTCTGCTCTTGCATATGTAAAAATTTCAAGTTGAACGGATAAGTGGTTTTCCTGGAATTTTGATGACAAGATTTGTTGAAAAATTCAAAATGGCCGCCACGTAGTTTACCCAGCATGCCCTTAACCTAATCAGATCTTGGTACTAGTCTGCTCTTGCATCTGTAAAAATTTCAAGTTGAACAGGTAAGCAGTTATCCTGGAAATTTGATGACAAGATTTGGTTTATGTCCCGCCCGCCCGCACGCCCGCCCGCCCGCCCGCCCGCCCAACAGCACAAGACGACAACAATATAGCACTTTTTCAAAGTGCGATAAAAATGATTGTACATTTTAAAAAATATTGATTCTCATTCTGGCTTCTGACGTCCCAGGCGTGGCCATATCTCACCTTAATAACTTCCAAAACATGGAGCATATGTATCTCAAATGTACTCAAAATGGTGTATGTACTCTTGCTTTGTCATAATATTACTAATAAGAAGTAGAAAAATGATTGTACATTTTAAAAAATATTGATTCTCATTCTGGCTTCTGACGTCCCAGGCGTGGCCATATCTCACCTTAATAACTTCCAAAATATGGAGCATATGTATCTCAAATGTACTCAAAATTGTGTATGTACTCTTGATTTGTCATAATATTACTAATAAGAAGTAGAAAAAAATGATTGTACAATTTTAAAAATATTGATTCTCATTTTGGCTTCTGATGTCCTAGGGGTGACCATATCTCACCTTAATAACTTCCAAAATATGGAGCATATGTATATCAAATGTGCTCAAAATGGTGTATGTACTCTTGCTTTGTCATAATATTACTAATAAGAAGTAAAAAAATGATTGTACATTTAAAATAATATTAATTCTCATTTTGGCTTCTGACGTCCCAGGGGTGACCATATCTCACCTTAATATAATAACTTCCAAAATATGGAGCACATATCTCACATGTGCTCAAAATGGTGAATGTACTCTTGCTTTGTCATAATATTACTAATAAGAAGTAAAAAAAATAATTGTACATTTAAAATAATATTGATTCTCATTTTGGCTTCTGACATCCCAGGGTCGACCATATCTCACCTTAATAACTTCCAAAATATGGAGCATATGTATCTCAAATGTACTCAAAAAGGTGTATGCACTCTTGCTTTGTCATAATATTACTAATAAGAAGTAGAACAAGACACACAGTGATAAATATCGCACTTTGAAGAGCAAACTGGCCACCATGCAATTTACCCAGCATGGCCAAAACCTAATCAGACCTTGGCACTAGTCTGCTCTTGCATCTGTAAACATTTCAAGTTGACAAGGTTAGCGGTTTTCCTGCAATTTTGATGACAAGAATTTATTTGTAGTCTTGAACTTTGGGAAAATTTAGATAACATTGTTTGTGACCTAATTTGATGACCTTCGACCTTGAAAATTTCACTTTTTCAGACCTCAGTAGGTCTTTTGTATCTTAGCTGACCTAAATTTAAATCCAAAATATCAATTTAGAAAATCAAATTTTTGACCTTTTGAAGGCCACTGAAGGTCAACGAAAGGTCAAATCTGAAATCTAAGGTCAGATTTGAACTTCTGAGAACTTGTAGATGTTTTTAAAAAAAAAATTTGGTCAATTTGGAGCAAGTTGAAAAATTCAAAATGGCCGCCAAATTGAAAAATTCAAAATGGCCACCATGTAATTCAGGCAGCATACCCAAAACCTAATCAGATCTTGGCAATAGTCTGTTCTTGCATCTGTAAAAATTTCAAGTTGAACGGATAAGTGGTTTTCCTGGAATTTTGATGACAAGATTTGTTGAAAAATTCAAAATGGCCACCACGTAGTTTACCCAGCATGCCCTTAACCTAATCAGATCTTGGCACTAGTCTGCTATTGCATGTGTAAAAATTTCAAGTTGAACAGGTTAGCGGTTTTCTTGGAATTTTGATGACAAGAATTGATTTGTAGTCTCAAACTTTGAGAAACTTGGATAACATCATTTGTGACCTAGTTTAATGACCTTGACTTTCGACCTTGAAAATTTCACTTTTTCAGACCTCAGTAGGTGTTTTGTAATTAAGCTGACCTAAATTTAAATCCAAAATATCAATTTAGAAAATCAACTTTTTTGACCTTTTCAAGGTCACTGAAGGTGAATGAAAGGTCAAATCTGAAATCTAAGGTCAGATTTGAACTTCTGAGAACTTGTAGATGTTTTTAAAAAAAAATTTGGTCAATTTAGAGCAAGTTGAAAAATTCAAAATGGCCGCCAAATTCAAAAATTCAAAATGGCCACCATGTAATTCAGCCAGCATACCCAAAACCTAATCAGATCTTGGCAATAGTCTGCTCTTGCATCTATAAAAATTTCAAGTTGAAAGGATTAGTGGTTTTCCTGGAATTTTGATGACAAGATTTGTTGAAAAATTCAAAATGGCCGCCACATAGTTTACCCAGCATGCCCTTAACCTAATCAGATCTTGGTACTAGTCTGCTCTTGCATCTGTAAAAATTTCAAATTGAACAGGTAAGCAGTTATCCTGGAAATTTGATGACAAGATTTGGTTTATGTCCCGCCCGCCCGCACGCCCAAACGCCCGCACGCCCGCCCGCCCAACAGCACAAGACGACGACAATATAGCACTTTTTCAAAGTGCGATAAAAATGATTATACATTTCAAAAATTTTAATTTTAGCTTCTTACGTTCCTGGGTAATCATATCGCACCATAATAATAACTTCTAGGATATGTAACATATAATCCTCAAATATTCTCAGAAAAGTCCTGTCTTTTTCATATTACTAATGAAATATAGAAAAATGATTGCATTGGTGTCCCAAGGGCTATCTCACCTTGATAACTCTCACAATATGCAACATATGCATCTCAAATGTGTGCTCAAAATGGTCTTGTTTTGTCATATTTATTGAGAATCATGAAATCAACAGTTCAGAATCAATGGATTTTGACTGTCTCCTCTACAGCTACATATAATTCAGGGCAAATAATATCTGCTTTCAAATATTTGCATCTGCTCCCCAAACACCCTTTACAAGTACAATGGATGAGATTATTCCCTTGCATACCTTGGACCCAACATCTTTTGTAATCCATACAGTAATCCTTTTAGCCTGTCAATAGTGGGAGTACTTTACTCCATTTATGAAGTAATGGCAACTGCAAATGTAAGGTGTTAATATGTTATCCTGTGGCCTGCAATATATGCACCTTGGATTATACACTGAATTAAGGGATTTTGAGTATGTAAAATATGTGAAAAGGAGCTCTTTGTAATGATAAATCTTTCTAGCCACATTAACATTCTCTAGTTTGCATGTTTGTCATACAACATACATTGATTGTAATGAAATATTAATCTATGATTGTGATGTCCCACACTTCTAGGGTCCCAAAGAAGAGATTAGCTTTTGGAACAATTACTCAGATGCGAGTAGGTAGTTACCAGTTTCGCCACCAGGTGGCTGAGTCGGGGGAAATAACATGGCAGGGTATTACAAAATTCCCTTAAACTTGAATATTCATCAGTTGTAGTGATTCATTTTTCATATTACCCTTTTGTATCTGATAGTTATACAAATTAAAATATGCCCAGTAAAAGAAAATATTATCTGCCCAACACAAGAAAAGATATTTCCCTTTTTGTGATTTTACAACATGGGCTCTATGGGGAATCCCCCCGACCTAGAAGTCACATTTTCAAAGAAAATTAAATTTTCAAAGTAGATAGACTCTTTTCAAAACCACATTTCAAGATGTATTTCTACATGTAGATTCCAAATATGACATCAGTTTGACTGAATTTTGAATTTTTGATGACGTAAATCAAGATTATTTCTACTCGCATCTAGTCTATTGCATTATTCTTGGCACGGTAGGCCATACAGTGAATACAATTGTTGAGATTGGGCAATAACAATATAGCACATCATGACAAACCATGCAAACTAGAGAATGTCAATCAGGATTAGAAGTGACTTATCGCCCTTGTAATTAAGCAGTGGGACAGTTTGGTGTATGTTTGGGCATAAATGCGCCTTTTAGGCCTAATTTTTCAGGATGTTTTCAAAATTTCGGGTCAGATTTGGGGTTAAGGGGCCAATTTTTGTAAATGAGGCTAGGCTACTCACACTACTGATAGGCTACGAGTATACAAAAGATGTTGCATCCAAGGCATGCAAAAGACTTATCGTCCATTGTTCCTGTAATATAAGGAGTGTTTGGGGAGAAGATGCAAATATTTGAAAGTAGATCTTATTGTCTCTGGGCTATATGTAGCTGCACCCTTCAGGGAAGACAGTCAAATCCATAAATTCTGAACTTCTGATTTCATGAATCCAATAAATATGACAAGACTATATTTATATATATACCATTTTGGGCACGCATTTGAGATGCATATGTTGCATATCGTGAGAGTTATATCAAAGTGAGATATAATTGCCCCTGGGATGTCAGATTCAGAAGCTAAAATGAAAATTTCAATTAAAAAAGGTGTAATAATTTTTTTACATCTCATAAATAGCATTATGACAAAGCAAGACTATATGCCCCATTTTTGGTATATTTGAGTTGTATATGTTACATAATTTTAGAAGTTATTCAGGGACGTCAGAAGCTAAAATTAAAAATTTTTAAATGTATAATCATTTTCCTACTTCTTACTAGTATAATATTATGACAAAGCAAGAGTACATACACCATTTTGAGTACATTTGAGATACATATGCTCCATATTTTGGAAGTTATTAAGGTGAGATATGGTCACCCCTGGGACGTCAGAAGCCAAAATGAGAATTAATATTTTTAAAAATGAGCAATAATTTTCCTATATCTTAATAGTAATATAATGACAAGACAAGACTATATACACCATTTTGTGCATATTTGAGATACAAATGCTCCATATTTTGGAAGTTATTAAGGTGAGATATGGTCACCCCTGGAACGTCAGAAGCCAAAATGAGAATTAATATTTTTTAAAATGTACAATCTTTTTTTTTACTTCTTATTAGTAATATTATGACAAAGCAAGAGTGCATACATCATTTTGAGCACATTTGAGATACATATGCTCCATATTTTGGAAGTTATCAAGGTGAGATATGGTCACCCCTGGGACGTCAGAAGCCAAAATGAGAATTAATATTTTTTGAAATTGTACAATCATTTTTCTACTTCTTATTAGTAATATTATGACAAAGCAAGAGTACATACACCATTTTGAGTACATTTGAGATACATATGCTCCATATTTTGGAAGTTAATCGTGTGAGATATGGTCACCCCTATCCTGCATGATGCCACAATTTTAAATTTCAAGAATTCTTTTCTTCCCCGGTACAAAAGCTATTGATCCAATTTTAAGTATGTGGTATGAACATATATAGGTCCTTTAGAAAATAGGTGGCGCCCCTGTAGTGAATTTCAACATATGCCCTTATTTTCACCCTAATCCACACAAGAAAATTCATACTGATTGTAAATAATGTTCTTGATAAGATTTTATTAGTATTTCAATGTCATTTTACTATTAAAATGTGTTAAAAATTATTTTATACCCCTACCCCCTGTTTGAAAATGAATAGATGGCGCCTCTTTAATTGCCCATAGCGAATTTACTTACCACACAATTTTACTCAAGTTAGGATAATTTACTCTAGAGAGTGTCTGGAACAAAATGATACCCTCAAACCTTTTATACTAGCCGATCACCGAAATCGGAGCTGGGGACAGCATCAAAGTGGGGAAAAATTTTCACAATATCACAATTGCCAAAATATTCCAACATTTCAAAATCCTTCACATTGTCATGTAAATTCAAATTTATTTTTGACCTGATGGAAGCCTACATGTATTTTCTAAAATTCAAGTGGGTGCACAGTCATCTTGCTTTCATGCATGTCTATTAATATCACATACAAACCTTGGTATATAAAGTATTCTCTCTGCAATGACAAATCCAACAGTGAAGAACAAGTTAGAAGCTGGCAGGAATGGAACAACTAGTAGAGTAATCCCAAGACACTCAGGTCTTGAAACAGGGGCCTACAAAGTATAACAACAAGTAGAGTAATCCCAAGACACTCTGTTCTTGAAACAGGGGCCTACAAAGTATAACAACAACAAGTAAGAGGCTGGCAGGAATGGAACAACAAGTAGAGTAATCCAAAGACACTCAGGTCTTGAAACAGGGGCCTACAAAGTATAACAACAAGTAGAGTAATCCAAAGACACTCAGGTCTTGAAACAGGGGCCTACAAAGTATAACAACAAGTAGAGTAATCCCAAGACACTCTGCTCTTGAAACAGGGGCCTACAAAGTATAACAACAACAAAAAGAGTAATATTTTAAAATTTGAGATATGTAATGGCCGGGACAATATATTTCTGTTTATTTTCCGGAAAGTTATTAAAGGAAGGCTCAGTCTCACGCTCACTTTGTTTATTTGTGAAATCTTATTGAACATTGGAGACACTGATGATATAATCTGATTAATGAGTGAATTATAATTTTTATTGATGAATGGATTTTTAATTGCTCCACAGGTGAGCACGGCATGATCAGCATCTTTTGGGTCAAGTAGCAAGAATCTGTTAACGAACAGATAAAGAACTGTATATAAATACCTTGATTCCACTTACCTTAGTTGCATATATATGGTACAAAATGAAGCCCATTGCACAAATTGTAAGGAACGTGGCAAAGTTACGTAGATCTGTCGGTTGTTCAATGATAGGTATACTCCCTACTTGCCAGTCATAACAGAGCACACGAGGGTAGAGCAACAACCAACAGTTTAATGAGATGAGATACATGTAGGTCAACACTCTGGAAAATACTTTATATAGTTAGATGAACTTGAGGCATTCCAGGACAATTTCAGGCTGGACATTATAGCTGATTTCATGGTGAATTCTTGGACACATACTAAGGAATATAACCTCGCCAGGTCACATAAATGGATTATGTAGGGAAGAACCTTTTTTATTCAGACTTAAAAATAAAAGATTGATGATACAGATTGACTGGAATTGATGGGCTAATTTGTGTCCATTATTACAGATACATGGGAATTAGTCAAATGAAAGTAGGTACCAAAATTGCAAAATTGACACAAAACAACCAGAATAGCAATAACAAAAACACATGAACATACCTAGTCATACGGAATGGTGAAAATGCGGCAGGATTATCTTGTTCAGTGAATGCAGGGGACTGTCTGTTCATCATCCACACTCTAAAGCAAACACACAATAGCACCTGAAATAGATGGAAATACATGTACCACACAATATATAAGGGTGACACAAATAAGGTACAGCCATTATCAAGCAAACACACAATAGCACCTGAAATAGATGGAAATACCATACAATTCTGCCATGTGAGAGCAATATAAAGGCAATACACCAGATGGCAGCATCTGAAATGTAGAGCAATAATAAGATGTTTCATTCATAGATGGGAGGACTGCAGGCAGATAAATTGCATATGCTATCTTGTTCAATAAAAACAAGGATCTTTTTGAATCATTCATCACTTGGATTCAAGTAAAATAGCTAAATTTGTTATTCTAATGTTGCCCTTTGTTCTTTACCTTAAAGCACACAAAAACTAATGGAAATGTTCATCAAAATTTCACTTACCACTAAAACCACAAGAGTGATTCTCTTCAGTAAAGGATAACAATCCCTTGTTGGCCACTTTTCTTCTAGCACCCTAGAATGGAAATTAAAATTGATGAGCTTTTTCAGAAAGGTAAACAGACTCCATATAATACATAGCATGTCATTGTGTTGTCGTCACTGGCCAATGTGGTTACAAAACGATTTAAATAAGGCACAGTGAACAATAACATTCCAAAAATGTCAAAAAACACCTTATATTCACCATGGTTTTTCTCTTGAATTCACTTTGCATGCCAAAATCCAGTTCTACAGTTCTAGAATTTCTATGAAACATCTCGTAATTGTTTAATCAATGAATGATTGAATGTGTCATCTTCTAAGCTGCACAGTAAACCTGCCTCACACAAAGCAAATCTAACTATAGGTTCAATTTTTTCGGACTGATTATGTCATTGTGATGAAATCAAAGAGTCAATGAAATATATGTACACATGGGCGTAGCCAACTTTCAGTCAGGAGGGTACGATGGGGGGGGGGGGTGCAATCATGGCATAAGCGAGCAGATAAATTATTTTTTAAATATTTCTTTTAAATTTCACGAAAATTCATGTAACTTCCTTCAAAACAGAGCCAGAAACTGCAAATAAAAAGCATTTTGAAGCTCTTTTCTTCCTCTGTCTAATGGTTTTATTTGTATTGGTTATGGGGGGTGTTCATTGTGCCGAGGATACATGTATATATATGTCACATTCTGAGACTTGTGATTTGGAAGAACTATTTCTTATTGAAAGAGTGTAGGAGTAAAGTCACACTCTTTCCAAAGGGTAATGATAAATCACAGTGAAAAATTACATATGGGAGAAAAGTCACAGTGTACCAATATATTATTCTCTCAGAATCATCTCCACTAATTTGTTTGTAAACAAAAAATGGTAATTGTTCCAGGTGTTTACATTTAATGTTGATCTATAGTCTGTTTTATCCATGCATTGAACACCCTGGCTTCTATCATGAAGTTAACTTGGGGTTGTGTCAGGGTATTATATCCTCATTCACCCTCAATACACCCCCCTCCAAAAGTATGACAACTTTGATTCATCACATACTGGCTTACCAGTTTGATTTTCAATGAAAACTTCATACCTTTGTAATCCAAGATGGATTCACCATTGGATAGAGTGCTCAATACTTTTTGTGTTTAAGGGTTTTGATCACTTGTGATTGTCAGAACTTAATTATTCTGATGAGCTTATAACATTGAAAAATATAAACAGGCTTGAACAAATGAGTTGGATTGCCAAACGTTTGGTAGGGAGTGTATGTGTTTGTTAAAAAAAAAGTAACAAAATGTGGGTCCATCACCACTTTAAAAATTCAATAGATAAACTGTATGTCACGTTGAGCATGTTTTATTTTAGAATGTATACACTGTTATTAATATATGGGTACATTGTATTGGCATTGCATGTTGTATACCTGTAACCATAGTAACCAACTCCTATCAATTAAATTTTCATAATGTAATAAATTCACAATAAATAAAATAGAATGCATTGAAGCAGTTGCACATTTTCCCATTGAAATACTAAAATACTATTTTTTCACAATTTTTAATTGGAAAAAGGGAATTGGGAAAAGGGAGTATAAGTTTTTTAGGAGGAAACTAGAAACAATAGGCAAACAATTTTTCAATCTCTCTAATGATTGTGCATGTCAGAGCTTGCTACAATGTTCAATTTCGAGATACCTTTCAATTAGAATTGGAGGCTGAACCACTATAGTACGAGTACATGTGCATGTATATACTATTAATGATATATTTAACTTTTTCAATATGTGAAAGCACATACCTTCTAGTTGTTTTATTGCACAGCACCCAGGCATCATATAATACCCCCACCCCAAGGACAGTGACCCCATGTTCTTTGACTAGCATAGCTGTACCCCCAAGGAGGAGGCTTACAAGGAATAAACATGGGGATCTCAGGGTGGGGCACTCCCCTGGCCATCTTGTGTCTATACTCCTAGAAAATATCAGAACATGTACTATCAACTTTTGTGGCTTACTCTAATTATAAAATGAAAGAAAATTAATGTTTTTTGGATTTATTCATGTTACATATATATCTTTAGTGTTTCGGGGTATTTCAAATAATGATTTTATTGTCTGTTAAACAAGGCATTAACATGTAAAATGTCACAACCTGCCATTTGTTACAGACACCAAATGCCAAACAACAACCACCAATTGCTGAACACCATCAACGAAGAGGTGGTGGTGACATAAAAACTGTTAATTGAGGTTACCACCTTTATTCACAGATCTATTTGTATTTCATCTTTGAAATTGAAAAAGATTCGAATAGAAAAGTTTAAGTTATTTATTTTCTTACCTTATATAAAACTGCAATGATATTAAGAACACTGTACATGCCAGTACATCAGCCCTTCCTACCACCCCTGACACCTGGAAATATATATAAACTACATAAAACAAGCCATCATTGTGTCGAGCACAAGCACTTCACTTTGAACCACCTACATGTGTCCAGTCTTGATTCACAAGGTTTAAGTTCTTTCAAGATTCATGTCTCCTGAAATAAAATGATTTACTGCATATCAGTTCTACTTTCCATATAATAATAGTTTTCATTAGTTTTGCATGGATTTCTACTTTACATCTTTGTAACAGGAGGCCAGAAGTTCACAAAGGTGGGAGTGGTCACAAGGGCTCAATGCAGAACCATTTTTTATTTCTTTAAATGAATATTGTTAATATTGAAAATAATTAAAATATAGATTATAATGCTATATTATACACGTGTAGACAGTATGAATCTAGTTTATTTGAAAGAATGCCTTCTTTCCATGTTATTACATTTCTCAATACTTGAGACTCATATTAAAATGAGTATATCAAAATCAGCTTTCCCTATCCTGATTGAGTAGACAGGGAGGGCACAGTAAGGAATATTCATCCTCCTAAGCAGGTGTCCAGAATCCATACCTCCTTCTTCCCCCTGCTATAACCAATTTGGAAGTGCCGATTAAACTGAATCACGTGATCTAATTATGCGCTGATGAATACATGATTCCTGTCACAGTGTTGCGACAGCTAATCAAATTGCAAGTTCTTAATCGGGGAAATGCTAACTGCTTATAGCAGGGGGTAAAAAGAAAGAACATATTCTGGATTTTGAAGTCCTGTGATCGGAGGATGGGAATATTAAATACAGAATACAAAGTACCAAAAATAAGGAATACGAATATTTCATTGTAAAAAGATGAAATCCCCCAGGCTACAACACTATTAGAGATAGTAAAGGTAATGAGATAACCCAAAGTGTGTAACCAATTAGTGATGTTAAGAAGGATATGAAGTATCTTACATAATACCAGTAACCCTAATTACACAGGTAAACCAAGTTAACTAATAGTCTGGCAGAAACTTCAAAGCTAATCGTTTTCTTCGGATTACAATGTTTTTTTAAAAAATCAGCATGAATATAGGGTTGGGACCTCAAAACCATTAGATGCCGGAGCGGCACCCTTGGGCAACTCTCTACAGAGCATTTCTTATACCCCCCTGATAAAATATACAGGGGGTACTATAAGACACCCTCATATTTCAGACACTAATAAATATATTAACTTGAAATTTTCAGGAATTGGTTTTAGTATGATGCTTGACACATGTGACAAAAATCAAGAAAAAATCTTAATCCGTTGCTATAGCAACAGAAATAGACACTATTTGTTACCGTAGAAATGCATTATTTTGCTGATTTTCAAAATGTTCTTCATATTCTTGATTCTTAAAGCATCTGAAGTATACACATATCTGTTATATACATGATTAGAAGTAAAGATGAAATAATTCATCATATGGTTTATGTAATATATCTAAAATTTCAGTTGCTATAGTAACATCACTTAATAATCAGGTTTTTACATTTCACTTTCTTTAAAAAGGTGGTCCAAAATAACACTTCTTGAAAAGGTTATGCTCCCTAGGTAAAAAGTGCTGCTTTAGAGATATAAATAGTCACATGAATTTGAAAAAAAAATTATAATTTAATTTTACCTCACCTCGACAACCACCAAATCTGGCAAAATAGATTAATTTTCAAGGTTCAAATAAAAAATGCCCCCCAGTGGCCCCCAGAAGCTATACCATGGACCCCAGTGGCCCCAGAAGCTATACAGGGGCCCCAGTGGCCCCAAGATGCTATAAGGTCGCCGCCAGAAGCTATACAGGGACCCCTATTAGCCCCCAGAAGCTATATGGTAGCCCCCAGAAGCTATACAGGGGCTCCAATTGGCCCTTAGAAGCTATATGGTGACTTCCAGAAGCTATACAGGGGCCCCCAGTAGCCCCCAGAATCTATACAGTGGCCCCTAGTGCCCCCTTAAAGCTATATGGTGGCCCCGGAAAGCAATATGGTGGCCCCCAGAAGCCCCAGAAGCATATCCAGTGGCCCCTAGTAGCCCCAAGAAACTATATGGTGGTCCCTAGTGGCTCCAAGAAGCTATACAGGGGCCCCTAGTGGCCCAGGAAGCTATTTGGTAGGCCCCAGAAGCTATGTGATGGCACCCAGAAGCTATACGGTGGCCCCAAGTAGCCGCCAGAAGCTATAGGATGGCATCCAGTGGTCCACAGAAGCTATATGGTAGCCCCCAGAAGCTGTAAGGTGGTCCCTAAAGGCCCCAAGAAACTATACAGGGGACCCCCAGAAGCTATACGGTGGCTCCCAAAAACTATATGGTGGCCCCCAAGTGTCCCCAAGAAGCTAAACAGGAGCCCCCAGAAGCTATACGGGGACCCCTAGTAGCCCTCAGAAGCTATATGGTAGCCCCCGGAAGCTATACAGGGGCTCCAAATGGCCCCTAGAAGCTATATGGTGACTTCCAGAAGCTATACAGGGGCCCCCAGTAGCCCCCAGAATCTATACAGTGGCCCCTAGTGCCCCCTTAAAGCTATATGGTGGCCCCCAGAAGCATATCCAGGGGCCCCTAGTAGCCCCCAGAAGCTATTTGGTGGTCCCCAGTGGCTCCAAGAAGCTTTACAGTGGCCCCCAAAAGCTATACAGGGGCCCCTAGTGGCCCCAAGAAGCTATATGGTAGGCCCCAGAAGTTATATGATGGCACCCAGAAGCTATATGGTGGCCCCCAGTAGCCGCCAGAAGGCATCCGGTGGCCCCCAGAAACTATATGGTAGCCCCCAGAAGCTGTACGGTGGCCCCCAATGGCCCCAAGAAACAAGACAGGGGCCCAGAGAAGCTATACGGTGGCTCCCAAAAACTATATGGTGGCCCCCCAGTGTCCCCAAGAAGCTAAACAGAAGCTATACAGGGGCCCCTAGTGGCCCAAAAAAGCTATACCATGGCCTTATACAGGAGCCCCCAGTAGACCCCAGAAACCATACGAGGGCCCCCAGTGGCCCAAGAAGCCCAAATTTTCACTGACAAAAAATTCACGATGTTGTCAATCTGAAATGTTTCATGGCCATTAAATTTCACTGTTAGAGAAATATCCAATTGAATTCAATGTTAAATCAAATATTCACAGTGCCTTTAAAACCTATACGATGGCACCCAGCGGCCCCCAGAAGCTATACAGGGCCCCCCAGTAGTCTGATTGCTCAGATGAGGAAAGCCAATCAATGCTTAAAATTTAAACATTATGCCAAAATCTAGACTATGCCAACCTCTCTATTGTATAATTACATTAGATTTTATTATGATGCATGTTGTTCTAAATGCCAAAGTCTAGACTATATAACAACCTCGACTACTGTATGAATTCATTAGATTTCACTTGATATACATGTATATAGTAAATATAAAATATGCAGTGTCCTATATATTAGTGTAATACTATATACTAGTTTAAGAATCAACTATATGAAGAAATGTTGAAAATTAGCAAAATAATGCATCTCTACGGTAACAAATAGTGTTCTGTTACTGTTGCTATAGCAACGGATTAAGATTTTTTCTTGATTTTTGTCATACGTGTCAAGCATCATACTAAAACTAATTCCTGAAAATCTCAAGTTAATATATTAATCAGTATCTGAGATATGAGGGTGTCTTATAGTACCCCCTGTATATTTTATCAGGGGGGTATAAGAAATGCTCTGTAGAGAGTTGCCCAAGGGTGCCGCACCGGCATCTGGTGGTTTTGACGTCCCAATCCTATATATATGTTGATAAGTTAAAAAAACATTGTAATCCGAAGAAAACGATTGAATGTCAAAATACCCTATATTTCTGCCAGACTATAACTTCAATATTGCTAATTGCAAATACAGGTAGGGTGACCTTCAGCTACTTTAATTAATAACAGTATTAGATAGGCTTAGAAATTAATTTTGGAACTTTTCATGAAGAGTTGCATAATGAATTAATATATATACAGGTCCAAAACTCATTACACTTTGCCTACCTTAATACAAAAATTGATATGCAGTTCTGGGTTTATTGCACCTTAGGGCGTCTTAAGTGGCATAAGGTAATAGGTATAAGAGCCTCCGAGACACAAAGTAAAGACTAGTGTTGTCGCGATGTGCCATAATCGTACATCGATGCATCGGCAATTTTCAGTAGTAAACATCGATGCACATCGCGATGTACATCGAGAAAAAGTCCGAGAAAAGTGCACTGAAATACCGAACGCTAATGCACTAAAATACAGAACGCTGGTTCATCCGGGAACTTCTAGTAACGGTGAAATGAAAAGATTAATGATTAATGGTTCATTTCGACTAGCTAAAACAGTTTTAAAGCGAAATAATATCAGAAAACATTGGGAAATGAAATAAGACATGAGAAAGTTAAGCGATTTGCGTCAAAATAAGATAAGAAAGGGTGATTTTTAGCAAATGAATTTTTTTTAAAAACATCAATGTTTTGTTTCAGACATCGATGCATCGCCAAAATCAGCTTTGGCGATGTATATCGCGATGTATCGATTAATCGCGACAACACTAGTAAAGACCCCTCTTTTTACAACAATTGAGACATTTCAATCAGCCTATAATCTGAGAAAATGAATGAAACAATGAAGCAAGAGAACCTAATGCCTAAGTTGTAATATAAATCTTAGTGCAACACAATCATCAATTTACCTTGAAGGTTAATCAGGTTATATGCTCCTACTGTGATCTCCTTAGAGTAATATAGAAGGCAATTTCCAACTTCACACTTGTCAGGTTCACTGTTTTAAGTTGTCGAGAAATCATTATTCAATTTCCCTAGTCTTGTAACAAATCTCAGACTTTCTTGATTGGGTTACTTTAAAACAATCAAGAGACTGGGTCAGGATGAACAATCAATATGAAAAAAGGCATGTTTCCAAGTTTTCATTACAAATGCGTTAAGGAGTTCGAGACGCGTGTGCTCCTTGCGTTTATTCATTTACAATTTGTTACAGATACTGAATGTCGAACACAGATATCAAACACCTGTTTTGATAAAACAATGTTATAACAATATGTTACATAACAATCCTTACTAGATTGTAGATACATCTCTTGAAAGCCCATGGTATAAAGGAGTCAAAACAACTGAAAAAATCTACATCATTGTCTATATGTGAGGAAATTGAAAAGAGGAATGGAAAATAGGCCATCCATTCTAACCGATTAAATATTACATTGAGAACATGAAGGAATATCAACCTCATTTTTCCACAACCCCACCTAATCAAACAAAAAACTTCACTCTGTGGAATAATAAACCCATGATTGAATGGTGATTGAATGGACTAGGTCAATTATCAGTCATTTTTCAATAAAAATTATAATTTCGATATTAGGGAATTTCACAATGAATAAAGTAATATGCAAAGACAAGACAGGCCTGTAGTCAATGGGGTTTGAGCGAACCCCCTCGCCAAAAATTCTTTTGAAATCATGCAGTTTTTTCACCATTCTGAGCACTTTTCAAAGTGATTTTGACCCTTTTTGGGCCAAAGTAGTGAGAAGTGAACCCCCTGAAATTTTTAAAAAGTGACCTCCAGGCTAAGGGACTACAGAGATGGTAATGCAACTTTAATGATCAAAAGGTTTTACTCCAACAAAGAGGAGGGAGCCGAGGCTTTGTGAAATTAGTTTTACAAAATACATTGATATATTGCTTCAGTATAGCCCCTAAGAGGTGATTATTTGTGATTATTGGTTTATGCAGATAAGGGATTATTATTGACTTAATATTTAACACTAATGAATGGAAAATGTTTTTCTATCCAGATACACAATCAGGAAATTGGGAAGCTGTTTGTAGACTTTGATAACAGTAGAAAATTAAACTGAGGTTGTATTACTATTCTAACCCAACAAGTTGAAGTAGAGCAAAGTGGTTCTCCAAGCATGAATGCAATAATATATTGCACCCAGTTGATCATTTGAAAATTACCTTGCAACCAGTTGCAAATGATATTAGCACCAACAATTTTACTCATCCCAAAAATCTGGAGAAATATGAATATTTCCACTAATTTGGACACTCCAAGCTTTAGACAAATGGGTTGTACCCCTTGACCAAAAATCTGGGGAAACGGTCTTAAAATCTGATATCATTCACTTGTTTATTATAAACCTTTTTAAAACTTTTTGACAGAATTTACAAAAGAATGTTTCCCCTCGATCATCTACTCAACAGGAAGGGGGAAAAATAAAAAGTGCAAACAGTAAGTACCTTATACAAATAACTGTCCAATAAGGTAAACTTTATACTTGGTTGTTGACAGAATAATGCAATGTTTTCATGACCTTCCAAGATTTCAGAACCATTGCAGATGAAAGAGATCTTGGTATCACAGAGAAAATAAAATCCATACTAACCCAATGAAAATAGTTTGCAGTCATGCAACAGTCTTGTAAAAAGTGGAGTATCAAAATATCTTAACGCAGAATACGATGACCTGTTTTGAAATCCATATCTGAATTATTCAGAAATCCTATTAAATCAGTTATTTCATAAAGGAAAATTCATGGAGAAATAGATGAGAATATAGGATTTCAATATTTTGGAGGGGTATAACATGAAATGTTACCCAGTTCTTATCAACTTGGTTTGATACATTGCAAATGGGCTGGAAATTGACAGGTAGGTGAAACCCCTAGGTATGGTATTAATGAGCCCCAAGACCAATATAGAAGATAACAAAAAATAAACCCTGAGTCGAGATAAGATATGGGTTATCAAATTTCATATTCCATGAACGATATGATAATGATCCCTCAGTAGGGTACACTTCCTTTATTTATTAGCTAGGTCACATATACTCACATCAAACACATGTATCACGTCAGACTAGGAGAACATGGTAAACTTACACCCTTTTTATGTGATATATACCTGTGTGTCATATGAGAAAGAATTATGCAAGATCAAACAGAGTTTGGATATATAACCTATCTTAGATGCATGAAACATTATTATATTACTATAACAATTGTGTAAAATACTGTTGCAAAAGGTCTTTTTTACTGAATATTGAGCACTCAACAGCTCATAATGGATCAAATTGAAAAAAGCATGTAATTTCATTTAAAATGTTAAAAGATCAAAATGAACTGAGTTACACACATGAGTTATAATAACCCCGAGGGTATTGGCTTACACTTTATGACTATAGAATGCTAAATCACATGTTATATAAAATAAGTTGTATTTTATTTTAAATTGTAAAAGGGTTCAATATTAGTTAACTTGATTGAACTCTAGTTTTCTATGACTCAAAATATGAAAATAAGTTAAATAAATATGAAAGTACAAAAGTGATGAAAAGTTAAGAGTACAACAGTTACTGCTTATAAGGAAACAAACCTCCAACATCTCAAACAAATTGATTTATTGTGATTGAAACTTAGATTGAGATTTCGAAAATATTTAAAGGGGGTTTTATTGCATAAGTTGTCCATGTATTTAAAAAGATTTCTGAAGGAACATGAAACATTATTAAAGGCTCCTATAAGGCACTGATTAATGCATAAACACATGAAAATTTCCTAAAGACAAGACCTAATAAATCAAGGTATACCATACAGGTATAAATCATGGGAATACTACAGTGTTGGTTAATTGGTTAAGTGTATGATTTATCACACTGTAACCTGGCAGAGGTTCTCACTTTACATTTGCTAACTTCACATATTCCCAAAAAAAAAACAATCATATTGTTCTTATTCTTCATAAAATATACTGTTGCCCTTTTGCCTGATCATTTTGCACATTGTCAATTCATCTCTCATTCTTTCATATTGGAGAGAAAAAGTTACGAAATCCATGATATTTATTTCACAGGTAGCCAGTTAGCTAAAACAGGATCCTCTATAATGAGTAACATTGATAATTTTCCAAACAAGACAACTATATCAATCCCATGATCCTTTGATCATGCTTTCTTAACCATCCATTCTCATTGGTCAAGCAGAATTTCCCCACATGAATTCTCTATTCTGATTGGATCAAGAATTGAGCTGATTTCATGGTATTCGGGGAATGTAGCTTTATTTCTAGGAGAATCTCCCTAATAAATGCTCCAACTGCACATTAAATATTTTATCTCTATCTCTCTTCTAAGCTCCTTAAGAAAGACCCTGGTTGAGGGCAGTGAAAACTAAATATTTGTTTGCTATCATAAGATTCACTTGATTAATGAGCCTTAATTATTTACATTTGAGTTAAAATAAGATAAACTCTAATTTAAGTTATTCACAAAATGATAAATGATCATTTTCTTTTTACCATAGAACATCTTATTTTCTGAAAATCTATTAACTGATATATGATCAGCTTAGGTAAGAAATGTTAGTAATTAACATAAAGCTTAAAACATAACCAAAAGCTTCGCTACTAGTCCTACCTTAAAATCTTATATTTCATTATAAACCAAGGACAGAGGTAATATTGTATTAGCATTACAAAATGAAGATAATACCCAAACTCTAATTTCACTGGCCTTACTATACTCCTTGCTGACATCCTAAGTATCTTTCTGTAGTATTTTAAATGTGGAAGTACATGAGAAGAGTGGAGTAGTGAAATTGTTAAGAATATAAAACATACCAATGTTTATCACCACTTCGTTTCTAAGTCTTCGGCAATATGGAGAACTATGTAGTTTCTTTGGTTAGGGTGAAGGTATTGTTTTCATAAAATTTAAAAGTACATTTATACATCCAAACGCCTGATAAAGGTACTATATGGTAAGGTACAGTGCAAGAATTTATCTGGAAGTTAATTTGAAGTCCATTGCATATTTCCACTTTAATTAACATATCCGAAGAATATTTCTTTACAAAAATCTCAAATGGATGAATGTAACACTCCCATTTAGCTTTAGTTTATTATTAAATGTTACTTACTGCTTCTGTGTGTATAGGATGTACAGCGAATAGCAGTGATGTCACAAAGGATGGTAGGAGACAGTCAAATACCAAACCATGGCATAGATTGAGTAATAGGATGGTATTCACTGCATGGAGGCATATGTTCACGATATGGTATCCAACTGGATGTAATCCATGGACTAGATAGTTCAATCTGGAAAATGAAAATATGTAACTTAATATAAACCAATTTCTTATTTACTTTATTATTGAGTTGTTAAAGTAGACTTGTATGAAGTCTCAGGTTCTCTTACTGTACATTTTCATTGGGGAAAGAAGGACATTCGCTGACCTATATTTTTGTATTTTTAAAAAGTAGGTCACTGAATTTTCTGAATTTTCATACATACAGAAGATAATTAATCCTAAACTAATAGTCTAGGTACATTCGTGTTCGTTTTAATCAAAACTGAAAGAAGTAGACAACATATGGAATGAGTACATGATTGTATGTAAATAACTAAAGAATATATAATAGAAACATGTGAATCATGGTATCAACATGAAAAATAGTGGTTGGAAGACTGACTCGCGTTTTACTCGCATTTGTCCTAAAAATCAATTGATCGAGTTGAAAACTTGAACTCACGATTTGAAATTTTTACCAAAAAAATATTTTTCACTCGTTTTCACCTTACCTTGACTCGCGATTCGTCTCTCCTATTCGCAATTTCCATGCTTATACATGTAGTTGTAATGTTCTGCTTAATCTGTATAGAACCCAACTTATTTTCTATTTAATGCCATGCGCGGAAGACAAACATACTTGGATTTTATTCTGCCTTCGTTATTTTTATGCAAAAGTTTCATTTCCGGTTTGATGCATTCTGGGAATATATATTTTACAATCTATAGGGGACTAGGGGTGAACTTTAACGATATATAGGGATGTGCAATACGATTTAGACAATAAAAAGTATAGAGGCACTTGAAAGACTTGATCAAATTGATGAATTCTGCCGCTACTTGGGAAACTGAAATCGAAAGTAACTCAACTAAGTCAAATCGCAAATATAATCGTGGTTTTTCATGGCCCACTCGAGTGGAGATTTTCAGGCGAGTCCGACCACTAATGCAAAAAATATCACCACTTGCCATTTGCTACAAACACCAAATCCTTAACACATCCACCTAATGCCTAATGCCGAATAATATTATGCCGAATATGTCACCAATTATGGTAGCGATATGGAATGAATACAGAATTTCTAGTAACAGCTAGATAACAGAAAAATACTTTCATTTTCTGCCTGGCCTGACAAAACACACGAAATAATTTCAACAGGAAAATTGATTAGCACAAATAAACTGAGCCTCTCCTCTATTAAGGCACTGACCATGAAGGCCATTCTCCAAATCCATATGTCCATCTTCATTCTATCTCCCTTTAAAGCTTAAGACAGGGAAATTGATACATTTGGAGAATGCTCAAAGGGTAATTTCTCCCCTGACTATTGTATATTAGAAATTGTCTAATATTCACAGACAATCTATAAATCACAACAGCCTTTATTGATCTGGACAAAGCAGCTAATAAAACCTTAGATGAGCAAAATATGTGAGAAAATAATCAACTCCTAACTTTACTATGTTAAATTCATAAAGATAATGCCTGAAAATTTGGAAATTCAATTCGAATTAAGAAGCTTAAAGACCATCTCAATGAGAACACCTCAAAAATGACCCATTTCGAACATTTTTCGAAAATTCACAAATAACCCAATGTGAACATTTTTTCCTTGATAATAATAACACCTCACTAATGAACACTTGAGAACCAATGCGAACACTTTAATAGTGACAAAATGAAAACTCCCCTCTAATCACATAATGAGACCAACATAACATCATAACCAAAATACCCCTCGGGTGTTGTCTCTAAAATATACACCTCAATTTCATTTTGTACAATTTTATTCAAACGTCACATTATATTAAAATAAAAAGACAATCAGTAACAGGTTTGTATTGCAAAGTATTATACCCAAAGGAGAAGCCTTGCAATATGCTACACTTATGTTACTACAACCATATTAACTTAATCAGTTTGTAACATCTTAACAAGAAAAACATGAAGAAACGTAAACCAATCAATGAGGCAGAAAACATGTGTTCTTGCTTTGGAAACATTCACACCTTGGTAGAAATATACACAGGCTTTCATTTGCCTACCCCGGGTTGTCTAACTGGTCATGGTTATTCAACTCCATTTCTCAAAAATACCAGACTTTCTGGCATTTTCACAATTTGATGGGTTAAACATATTCATATGTTTATTTCTTGCTATTTTCTCTTCTTTTTACCAAGACGTTGAATTATCAATGTAACCAACATTCGTTTCTCTCAGTAAATGTACATGTTACACTTCAATGCATTTCTATGGTCTTTAGAGAGACTGATCTTGTTAGGTTTCATGGTTGATCTGGATCTGGGAGGTTTGGCGATTGACCTTTCGAAGGAAGTCAATAACCAACAGAAAAAATTGAGATCGAGTTTTCAGATGACTGGCTTGTCAATATTTTCAGAAGAATATGTAAAAAGAGTGAGCTTAACACTGATTAAACAGACAAGTAAACGTTAAACAGACAATAAATCGGATTGAAACTGAAATACTTCAAGAATGATCATTAGTAAAAATGGTCTCAAAAAGTATGATAAACTCGAGTCGACATGTAAAAATACAATTTCTATTTATTGTGTACTATACAGTAGATCTATAATAACAATGTCTCATTGTTAACAATATCAGACTCATAGATTTTTACACAAAATAAATGTATTTGTTATTGTTGTACTTGTTAGAAATAATGAGATTGTGAATATTGGAGCCATTTATTGACCCGCTCTATTGATGGAAATTGCACATGTAATTAAATAAATAGATCACTAAATGGCACTAAATGAATGCTGGAGAATACTGGCAAACATATTCCATATGGAATTGGCCATTTTCTTAGCATTACAGCTTGGCCAATTATCTCTATTTGCATGGCTTGTTTCTTCTAGCCTTGAATTATATATGGTGTTAGTATCACTTTTACCCTGGAGCCTAGAGTCCAGGGGCTGTGAATTGGTACGATACTCCAATCCAGATAAATTTTATCTTTTGGTATAAAAATCTTGGATTCCTAATCCAAAATCTTATCTAAATAGGACAAAATAATACAATGAAACCTGTAAATGCAACACCTCTAGATCGGAACACCTCTGTTAGTGGAACACTTTGCAGAGTCCCAAGACCACCTGACTAAATGTTCAACAAGGCAGTAATATGCAAAATGTCACCACCGGCCATTTGTTACCTCTTAGAGGTAGCAAAGGTGTTCCACTTGGACAGGTTGAAGGATGCTTTGTCTATGTCTATGTCAATAATCTGTGATAGGGAGTAAGTTACTGTCCCACCCTGTTAACACTACATGTACATGGACATGTAGATATAAAAGATACAGGTTTGTGTAAAAAAAGGTGGTAACCAATTTCTACATATCAGGAAGATGTGCATACGGAAAGAAAATCGAAATGCTAATTGCAGTTTTTTATCTGTCAATTAACGTACCATGACTCTTGGTTGGTTGTTTGATTGGATGGCTGTATGGCAAGACTGAGCTGGGTCAGCTGGGTGGAAGGTCTTTTAGATATGGCTAAATGTAATATGACTTAATCAAAGATAGACAAATCAAATATATACTTAAGGAGTTTATGCTACGAGATTAATAATCTGAATCGTGACATAAATAACCTGAAATAATGAACGGAAGATATGAAATTCAGTATAAACCTTAGTTCAACGTCGTTAAACTCAATAACAGCGTTCTTTACTATTAGGAATTTTCTCGGGCCGTTATTGGTTTTAACCTCCTTACTATTCTTTCCTTTATTGCAAGTTCTGGATCTATCCAAACCATTTTTCTGCAATAACATGCAACTGATACTTGACAACAATATAAAAACACATAAAATCAAGCGATTTAACACAATATTATTGTGTTAAATGTTCATTTATACTAGTAAAATGAGGCTACACTTACCAATCTCTAAAATGACATTTCCACATGTCTGTCATTGTGTCTGTTCGTCAGCGGGTGTCCCGGGTTAAATTAAACTATTGGCGGAACGAAATTGTTGTCAAATAGATTGATAATTATTATCGCGATTACTCAGGATAAAAAGATCAATTTTGAGGATAACAGGTATCTTTGATTGATTTATATGGCGCGTGTATACACGCAAATTAGTTATGAATTGCAAACGTATTGTTTGTTAATGCAGTGCTGCAATGATGGTTAATTTCTGATACGATTTGCAATTTCGATGTTACCAGAACTGACCGACAAAATGATCATGGAGGTTAGACCTAGCCAGGGCCATAAGACATGTCAGATAAGAAACGAGGCCTAGGCTAGGTCTAATGTTGTTGGACTATATAAACCTAAACAAGGTTAGACTTTGAATTAGAATTCAGCTCTACGTAAACCTCACGGACATCTAATACGTTCTTCGAACTGCCCTGGAACTATATCTATACCAGGACTGGCATCCAGATCCAAGTATTTTTCAAGACCGCCGACTCTCGTTGGGCTATTTATCCCGATTGACTCAGTTGTTCATATAAATTTACGTACCTTAGATGCTTTGTAATCGACGTAGATAGAAAACATTGTTTCCTAAATTGTTCTGAAAAGCGATAATTATTACTAAATGTACTTTGAACAGGTCGACTGACCAAAAAGTCGGACTTCTGGCACAAGGTCACGTGACCAAATAGAATTTGTTTAGATAAAATTGATGACGTCACCGCCATCGGTGTAGGTCAGGTCAAAAGTCATCCATCTTGCCATTTGCCCCGCGTATTCTTACCAGTTGACAAAAAACGATGAAATCACGTTAAAAATAAAATATACACATTAAAATTGAGGTTTATTGAAATATGACAAGACTCCATTGAATACAGCTGTGCAATTTACAGTCACCAAGATGAGCTAATTTCGGTGAGATTCTGGAATTAAAAAAGGTAAGCCCTTCCGGTTTCCCAACTTCAAGTATTTGAAATCCCAGAATTTCGCCAGAAACATTCTCTCTGACTGTGGTAAACCTGAACTGGACTGGAGATAGTCTACTCACTTACCTGAAAGTTAGAACACACAACGGCCTGTACGATTTATGACTAGTATTGTCCGACATTGATTTTCCCCAGAAGTCATTTTTAAACACCTGTGACAGACTGCCATTTGGACTGACATCTTGATTATTTTTGATTGCAAAAATGTCATCATGAACAAGTTCACCTTTGACACTGTTCAGGTAGCACGCTATTGCAGCGAATGTCACGAAGAAATATCCAACTAAAATATAGCCATTGTTTTCTTTGAAGTCTCTTGAAGATTTTTGTTTATGAATGTTGTTATTGTTGAGAGTTTTTGTGCCATTTTGGTGATGTTTTGTCCAATTTTGATTTGAGTTTCTCCGATTTACCGCCATGGTTTGTTTTGATTTTGATGCGCATCGTAGTCTGCGCATTGAGACTTCCGTATTTGTTTTCCTATTTTTTCCCGGGGTTTCTGTTCAGACGATTGTAAACGTTCTTATTCCAGGTCCAAGGTACTGGTTTTGCTATTTTGAACAATAAATCATAAGAATACAGACCCTTAATGTTAAAATGATTAATGGAATTGTGACGGAAGATCCGATGCAAAGCGAGTTATAGAATCTTTTTCTTGTTGTTTTTCGTTTAGCGCCCGAGTCCAAATAGATCACGTGACCAACACGGAAGTACCAGGAAAAAGTAGAAAAGTTTTATATTTCTATTTGGGGAGAATACGTAAAAAATAGGTAATTATCATTCTTGATTTGACATTATATTTATGTTCAACATTCTTGTTTATCATTAGACTGGAGTTTTCACTCCTTTGTATAGCCATTTTCCTTTGAAATCGAAATAACGTGAATCACACCTCCTGTATTTCCTCAAGTCAAATAAAAATATCTGCTTTGAGTTTGAATCTGCATTGGGTGCTCGGATGCAGATACAGGGGGCAAGTATGCAATATTGTATAAAGACGATTCCCGAATGTGCTTCTCAGTTATACCATGATATTGCATGATTCAAATAGTGTAGCCATTACTAAATATCTCGGACTCGGCTGTTGGTTTAACTTACTATTTCATGACCAATTTATTTTAATATGAATATTACCCGCCACTTTACCATTCATATTTGAATGATTTGGCCATAGAAATAGTAAGTTAATCCATGGGCTCTATCAGAGGTGGTAGAGACCATGGTTATTCCATCAGCCGTCAGTTGAACTTGAAAGTGACGCAAATACAATGTCGGAAGAAACTTGAATATCAGTTGTAAGCAACATCTTAGGACACATCAATAATTCAAGGGCAACAATAATGAATGCCTAGCCGGGACTTTTGATTTTGGGGCTGGGAGCATTCCTTGTTCGCATGTGCAAACCTGTACTGCATATGCACACGGTAGTTTTGAAACATTAATTCAATCCATTTAAACATGAAGTTTAACTTCAATTACAATTTAAAATCGTCAAAGAATAAATTTATGGAACGACCAGATAGGGGCATTTTCGAATACTGAATTAAATCAGCTAAATCCCTGCTATGATTCACTGGGAAGCAACAGTATCATGGTATTAAAATCTAATTATATTCAAGGTATGATTATTCAAAGAGCAAAAAATCTAAATATCAAACATGTATGCTGCATCATTCTCTTTAGTAAGCATAGATTACATAATTTCAAAAGTTTACGCTTCCACAAATGAGACTGTTTTCTAGGTTTAATATTCGCTAATGGATTGAATAAACGTTTCAAAACTACAGTACATATATGTATGCAGTAAAACTTGCGGTTTTTAGATTTGATACTTTATGTCATATTCATGCGAGGAAAGGCAGGGAATCAGCATATTAATATGATCATTATAGTGTATGTGATTTACTTTCAGGATGTGGAAGGCATCAGCAGGTCATAATGCAAATGTGAATGTATCTAATGGAGATGACGATGACTGGGAGACAGATCCTGACTTTGTGGTTAGTAAAATTTGTAGCGAAATTCTGAATGATTACACTTTACAGCCTTCAGATTAACCTTAAAACTATAGACATTGCTCAATCAATGAGTCATTGTAAGGAGGCTCTGTGTATCAGTATGCATGGACTAAACTTAACTAAACTGGACATGACTTAATAATAGTCTTGCTCAAGCCTCCCCCCCCTCTATGAACCTTGCCAATTGGTAGTAAATGGTCATAAAGGAGGTACAGATAGTTAAAAAGTCCAGGAGATAAGACTTTCTAAAAACATTATGTAAGTGTACAATAATGTGAATGTTAATAGTTTTAAATCTTCTTGTTTCTTGTTCATTTTTATTTGTATTTTTATTTTTATTTACTAGAATGATGTTAGTGAGAAAGAACAAAGATGGGGAGCCAAGACTGTAGAGGGCTCTGGACACCAAGGCTCCATCAGGTGTGTACAGTTTTGAAATAAAGCGGAAATGTGCTCTACTCAGATAAATATTGTATATAAATTATTTTCTACATCCCTAATCCGCACTCTGATGAAAACAGCACAGCTGGTGAAAATGCCTTTTGCCTTCTAATGATACCCCAGAATACATTTCCTAAGTTGTCATTCAAATTTTGCCTGGTGAATCTTGCTATTCCCCATATCTTATGCCACCCATTGTGGACATATATATCAAATGTATGCGGTATAATGTTTTCCCAGTTTTTCTCACATGGCTCTTTGTCCCCCTGTTCATTCCAAGATAAAGTCATACAGGACATTAAACATGAGGTTAACTTGACTTTCTAGTATTAGCAAGCTGCGTGAGGATGTAACACACGATGACACAAAGGTCAAGGCCAAAGAGGCTGAGGCTGGCCCTAAAGCGTCATATGGCTATGGAGGCAAATTTGGTGTAGAGAAAGATAAACAAGATAAGGTATGAACATTGTTACAGTCGTTTAAATGCCCAAAAGAAAGGGGTATCTGGATAGGGTCTGAATGTAAACATTGATGTTTAAAAAGTTATATTTCAGTAACTTATCTCATACTCATACCCTCTGCCTAGTATAGACAATATTACAGTTTACTAGTCCCGTCCCCATGGCCTATGCCCATGGCAGCCTGGGTCATAAATGATTTCAAACCTACCACGCTAATCTTTTCTCAACCAATCAGCAAGCTGGAAGGAACACATGCTAAATGCGTGCTCATTAACCATGCGATGACTTCAGCAGAATTTACCATATATAGAAAGTCATTCATATTTCGACTACGAATTCTGAATGACTCTGAGAGTTCAGATTTATTGTAAACTGAAAGAGTGATGACAGAGATCTCTTTTAGGAAGCAAAGTTTATAATTTGATATGAGTTATAGATTAGGAGATTCATATCCATTAATGTTACCAAATTGACTATTGAGTATGACTTGTCTTCACCAGTTAAAATACAGTTTAGGCAAATATGATGTTTACTTAGTGATCATTTCTTTACCAGAGTGCCGTTGGCCATGACTACCAAGCTAAGCTAGCTGCTCACGCCAGTCAAACAGATTCAGCTAAAGGCTTTGGAGGAAAATATGGAGTTCAGAAAGACAGAGTGGACAAAGCTGCAGTCGGATTTGAGTATGATGGGAAAACAGATAAACATGAATCCCAGAAAGGTAATAACTTAAAATGAGCTTAATATGTATAACATTTTCATTGTGTGTAGTAATTCATATTTTACTAAGTGTTCATAACAAAGTACAAAGACTTGCTTGTAAATCAACTCCCAATGTTGTGAGGGAATCATGGATGATTAATTAAATAACATTGCTGCAAAGACATATTGATGAAAGTTATATTCTTTGAGTAGTGCAGCACATAACCATATAATTTTTATTCCAAAATGTATCAGCTTATATGTAATGAAATACACTTATGATCATTTTCATATAAAAGAGATATGACGTCAAATATGTGGTATATGAGCATATTTAAAAACATCTGCTTTCATCACATATTTAAGTTGTGCACAGATGAGGCAGACTTGATGCATGACTACACATCAATTGTTATTACAGATTACGCCAAAGGATTTGGAGGCAAATATGGCGTCCAGAAAGACAGAGTTGATAAATCTGCTGTTGGTTGGGAACATCATGAGGAGACAGCAAAGCATGAATCACAAAGAGGTAAAATATATATTTATTGTTTATATAATGCTTTTTGACAGTTTTCATAGATGTTACTAAGCAAAAAGATGAAATTAATTTTTCCTAATAATATCTATTGCATTGATTGATTACACAGACTTGTATGTCATAATGTTTTAGTTTCAGGGGTTTCTTTTAAACATGTTTTACTTCATAATTTTTGTAGTTGTTTTAGAGCTGTTGATTTTGCCATATTACTTCATGAATATAGTTGAACCATAACAACTGTATTTTAGTGTTGTATTTTGAAGTAAGACATAACATGAAAACATCTCACAAACTTTCATATTAAAATTCATATGTTTTATTGATTTATTGCAGATTTTGATGGAATCTAAAATTGAATGAGCATTTATTTTGATTTGATTTTCATTGATGAATATCTCTTTTTGAAGATTATGCTAAAGGGTTCGGTGGCAAGTATGGCGTCCAGGCTGATAGAATGGACCAATCAGCTGTGGGCTGGGACCACATTGAACGTGTTGATAAGCATGAGTCACAAAAAGGTGATCTTGTGTATAAGGCCTTGTAGTGGTGTTAAAATGTTTCATTGTTTTTCATGCATTGGCTATCATGTAGAGCTGTGGCTTACAGGAAGGGCTGGCACAGAATAGAATTATTGGAACTGTCTTCTCATGTTCTGCTAATTAGTTCAGATTTTTCAAAAGTTCAGAATTTCAAAGGCAAATTTGAAATCAGCCTTTCTTACAGATTATTTAAGTGAAGTGAACTGGGTTTATATATCAGATTAATGCCTTGAAAATCACAAATATCTGACAGTATGGCATTTTAAAAATTAAAACTATGTGGAAAAAAGTATTCACAAAAATAAAAAGATTTCACTTATATTTTACATGTAATTATCCCACCGAACGAAGTTCGAGGGGGATATAGAGAAGCCGTCTGTCTGTCCGTCTGTCCGTGTGTCCGGGCGATAACTCCAATACCGGTTGATGAATTTGGTTCAAATTTTATAAGCTTATGCCTTATGAGTGTAGGACCTGTCAGTCTGAACACCATATTTTCCTCCAAATCCTGCAGAGTAGTCTAAAAGAAAAAAAGGAAAATGTTACTTCATGAATATAGTTGAACCATAACAACTGTATTTTAGTGTTGTATTTTGAAGTAAGACATAACATGAAAACATCTCACAAACTTTCATATTAAAATTCATATGTTTTATTCATTTATTGCAGATTTTGATGGAATCTAAAATTGAATGAGCATTTATTTTGATTTGATTTTCATTGATGAATATCTCTTTTTGAAGATTATGCTAAAGGGTTCGGTGGCAAGTATGGCGTCCAGGCTGATAGAATGGACCAATCAGCTGTGGGCTGGGACCATATTGAACGTGTTGATAAGCATGAGTCACAAAAAGGTGATCTTGTGTATAAGGCCTTGTAGTGGTGTTAAAATGTTTCATTGTTTTTCATGCATTGGCTATCATGTAGAGTTATGGTAGAGGAAGGGCTCGCATAGAATGGAATTATTGGACCTGTCTTCTCATGTTCTGCTGATTAGTTCAGATTTTCCAAAAGTTCAGAATTTCAAAGGCAAATTTGAAATCAGCCTTTCTTACAGATTATTTAAGTGAAGTGAACTGGGTTTATATATCAGATTAATGCCTTGAAAATCACAGATATCTGACAGTATGGCATTTTAAAAATTAAAACTATGTGGAAAAAAGTATTCACAAAAATAAAAAGATTTCACTTATATTTTACATGTAATTATCCCACCGAACGAAGTTCGAGGGGGATATAGAGAAGCCGTCTGTCCGTTCGTCTGTCCGTCCGTCCATCCGTCCGTGTGTCCGGGCAATAACTCCAATACCGGTTGACGAATTTGGTTCAAGTTTTATAGGCTTATGCCTTATGAGTGTAGGACCTCTGCTCGAGAAGGAATTTTCAATATGGCCGCTAAATTCAACATGGCCGCCATTTTTCGTAAAAAATGTAATCGTTGATAACTCAAATACAAGTTGACGGATTTGGTTCAAATTTTATATGCTGATGCCTAAGGACAAAGGAGTTTCGCAAAAAAAGAGATTTTCAAGATGGCCGCTTAATTTCAAAATGGCGGCCATTTTTCATAAAAATATGTAATCTTTGATAACTCAAATACCAGTGGACGGATTTGGTTCAAATTTTATATGATGATGCTTAGGGACACAGTAGCTATGTTAGACAAAAAAATTTCAAGATGGCCGCTTAATTTCAAAATGGGGGCAATTTTTCGTAAAAAACGTAATCTTTGATAACTCAAATTACCAGTGAACAGATTTGGTTAAAATTTAATATGATTATGCTTAGGGACACAGTAGCTCTGTTCAAGAAATAATTTTCCAGATGGCGGCTGAGTTTTAAGATGGCGGCCAATTTTCGTAAAAAACGTAATCTTTGATAACTCATTTACCAGTGAACGGATTTGGTTCAAATTTTGTATGATGATGCCTAGTTCACAATGGTACAAACTAACTTTGTGCCAAATTTCATGCTTCTATCACAAAGTGCACAAACATTTCAACATTTACACTAGCTATAATAAGCATAATATGTTTTGTTTGGTAGGATTTGCTACTCCGTGGAGTTGCTGTTTTTCTAGTTATTAATTACTTGTCAATGTACATGTAATTCAAAAAAAAATTCAAAAAGGACTTTTTAAATTATATTGGCATCTACATTTATATTAACAGTTTGGTCAGTCATAAAGTACAGATCTCAAAATGATACCACTCATCTACAATTCTTGCTTTTTCATTACTATTAGTTAGATATACATGTAGCTCTGTTAGAAGCATGGGCATTTGGAAATTGGATAACAGGAGGTAGTCTTGCACTAAGTCTCTACTAGGTTCCCTCACTATCTATTTCCCATATCAGTATGTATGAGATCATGGGTTTTCTTGCAAGCCCATCATGGGATAGTATGGGAGAATGGGGAAGGGGTTTCGACTGAGAGAATTAATGCAAGGCTAATTTGTATGTTAAATGTTTGTTAGATATCATGTTGTATGCTCCTACACACATTGCTTGCTTATCGTCATTCTTATAGGCCCATAGCCAACTTTTGCAAAAGGGGAGGTTTAATTTTTTCCAAAGCCAAAATCACTCAAAATGGAGGAAAACTGCATAATTGTGAAAGAATTTCTGGCAATGTGGGGAGGGGGTGGCTCGGGCATGTTCTCAATCAAGAAAATGTCACAATAGCCATGTTTTAGGATGCAAAATAGTATATTGAATCAATTTAATGGGTATGAAGTAAACTATTTAAATTGTAAAGATCTACAAAATAATTGAACATTTCATTCAATTTTTCGAGAAAATAAGTGGAAATACATGTAACCAGAGCGGAATTTTGAAAACATTTTTTCTTGTCAGTCTTCTTCTAGAAAGTAGTCTGTGTTGTGACAAAAGTGGTCTGCAACTGAGTTCTTTTGCAGGTATTCAACACAGAACGCATGCTTGAGATGGCTTTTAGTTTTCTAGTTTTGTATGTTCATGTATTACACTATAGGTACGCTTTATCTGTGTAATGTATTTTATTGTATGCATTTGTGTAATGTATTGTATTGTTTGTTGTTAATGTTTAATGTATTTCATTGGATGTTTATGTGTAAAGTATTGTGCACATGTCTAGTATATTATGTCTGTGTGTTGAATACATGCAATGCATAAAATGTACTATTAATTTTATTACAACATTTCATAGATGTCTCTTGTTTTTTTATTATTATTATTATCCCAACGAACGAAGTTCGGTAGGGATATAGTGAAGCCCTCCGTCCGTCCGTCAGTCTGTCAGTCAGTCCGTCCGTCCGTCCGTCCGGAAGATAACTCAAATATTAGTGGACGGATTTTCTTCATATTTGGTGGAAAGATGTATATTGATGAATAGTTTACGCAAAAAAAAATTTCTCAAGATGGCCGCCGCTTTAAAAATGACGGGACTTTTTCGCAAAAATCATAAATTTTTCATTTTAAACCAAAGTAATTAATATTATTGTTTGAAATTTTGGTAGTATATTCGCAACATCTATCTATTTCACATATATTCCGTGTTTTTCATCCTGACCCCCAGGGGCTGTGTATGCGGGGTCAGGAAAACAGAAATTTTCGCTAATTTTTAGATCTTTCTGAAGTATAGCTTTATTATACTCAAATGAAAAGCAATTAAGAGTAGATTGCAAATATTGTATCTTTTTTCTGATTCGAGCCTCGTCAAATTCAAAATGGCCGTCTAATGTACGATTTCGCAATCATTATTCGATCCCTTCAAAGTATGGCTATATTATACTCAAATTGAAGGAATTTTGGAGTAGATCACAATTATGCTATTATTTTTCAGATTTGTACCTCAGAAAATTCAAAATGGCTGCTTTGCAGGAATTCGCAATTCTAAAATCTAAATTTTTCAATTTTAACCAAAGTAATGAGTATAATTGATTGGAATTCGGTAATTGATATTTTGTTCGTTGGGATTTGCTACTCCGCGGAGTTGCCATTATCTAGTTATTATTAGCTCACATGGTGAGCTTTTGCAATCGCTCACTTATTCCGTCTGTCTGTCCGTCCGTCCGTCCGTCTGTTACAAGATGTCCGTCCGTCCGTCTGTCCGTCAACAATAGTGGCATGTATTAAAACCTCTGTCGATAGGATTCCTGTTTTAAGTTATTTCTGTTCAACATCAATACAGAAAACTCCCCTATGACTCCTGGTTCAAAAGCCCGCCTATTTTCAAAATGGCCGCCATTTTTGTCTCGCGAAATTCACTTTTGACTGGCACGTTTTAAAACCTCTGTCGATAGGATTCCTGTTTTAAGTTATTTCTGTTCAACATCAATACAGAAAACTCCCCTATGACTCCTGGCTCAAAAGCTCGCCTATTTTCAAAATGGCCGCCATTTTTGTCTCGCGAAATTCACTTTTGACCTATTTCCTAGCTTTACAAATGATTTCAAGTGTCCTACATTGTAAAAATCCATGTCAATGTATAGAGTAGATGTATGAAATAATTTTGTTACGAAAAATCAGCAAAAAATTATATCCATTTTTTTTATTTTCAGCCATTTTAGTTAACATTGATTTGTCCATCTGTCTCGCAAAATCCACTTTTGGACCATTTGCCTTAAGTCCTCTGTCGATAGGATTCCTGTTTTAAGTTATTTCTGTTCAACATCAATACAGAAAACTCCCCTATGACTCCTGGCTCAAAAGCTCGCCTATTTTCAAAATGGCCGCCATTTTTGTCTCGCGAAATTCACTTTTGAACTATTTCCTAGCTTTACAAATGATTTCAAGTGTCCTACATTGTAAAAATCCATGTCAATGTATAGAGTAGATGTATGAAATAATTTTGTTACGAAAAATCAGCAAAAAATTATATCCATTTTTTTTATTTTCAGCCATTTTAGTTAACATTGATTTGTCCATCTGTCTCGCAAAATTCACTTTTGGCCCATTTCCTAGCTTTACAAATAATTTCAGCTGTCCTGCATTGTAAAAAGCCATGTCACTGTAAAGAGTAGTTGTATGAAATAATTTTGTTACAAAAAATCGGCAAAATATTATATCAGTTTTTTTTATTTTCAGCCATTTTAGTTAACATTGATTCGTCCATCTGTCTCTCAGTCAGTCCAAAAAAGTGGCAAGTTTTAAACCTCTGTCAACACTTTTTAAATCCTCTGTAGATAGGATTCCCAATTTAAAATAATTTTGTTCAACATCAATAAAGAAAAAAAAACTGTAACTCCTGCTTCAAAATCTCGCCTAATTTCAAAATGGCCACCATTTTTGTCTCGGGAAATTCACTTTTGGCCCATTTCCTAGCTTTACAAATAAGTTCAGGTGTCCTGCATTGTAAAAAGCCATGTCTTTGTAAAGGGTAGTTGTATGAAATAATTTTGTCACAAAAACCCGTCTTTTTTATTTTCACTTTTGAGCAACACCATGTGAGCCCAGTACCCACGGTACTAATTTTTATGTCTTTTTATTTTGATAAACAAGACTAAATGTGAATATGGTACAAACGTACCAGAATAAAAAAAATCACAAATTTACAGGTTCTTAATAACAATCATACTTGAATTTACCTGATTTTCCTTTTTTCTTAGACTACTCTGCAGGATTTGGAGGAAAATATGGTGTTCAGACTGACAGGGTGGACAAATCTGCAGTAGGCTATGAACACCAGGAAAAATTAGCTCAACACGATTCACAAAAAGGTAGAATTTACTTGTTATCTTTAAAAATATCACAATGGTCAACAGATCAGGGTCAAAAAGTAAAACTTCTTCTTACATTGTTTATATGAAATATGAAAGTATTAAATAACTACAGGGTGTGCCAAAATCTTTTTCACTAGCAGCAAGCAACAGGCGATTTTCACCAATTGTTTTCACAAAATCACCTGTTATTTTTGTTTGTAAACCTGTTGTTTTCATTTATTTAGCCTGTTGTGAGAAATTCGAGTTAAATCCCTGTGTTACTATATATAGTGCTTGCTTATCGTCATTCTCACAGACCCATAGCCAACTTCTGTCGAGGAGGCTCAATTTTTTTTTCCAGAGGGGTTCAAATACAGGGTGGTCAAAAAAATGGAAACCCTGTCGCCATTTTCCTCATATCTCTGTCATTTTAAGAAATTACTCCCTGATATTCAGCACATTTGTACATCATTCAATTTTCCACCGGCCTACCATATTTCATGACCATCAAATTGATAGTCACAATGTTACAGCACTTTAAACAACATGCTCCAGTGGCCAATATTGCACTTTCGGCTAACCTGCACCTATCATCCAAAATGTCCCTACTAACTTCAACCTGTGGTGATACACCAAAAAAGAGTGTATGAGAATAACCCCAGGACAACTGCATACCTCAAAAAGCAGATCATCCATGTCATTCAGGCCATACCTGCTGAAAAATGTAGTCAGATCATTGACAACCTGTTCCGATTTGCCAATAGCGCGATGGTGGCCACACTGGGGCATCTTGTTTAAAGTGCTGTACCATTGTGACTATCAATCTGATGGTCATGAAATATGGTTAGCTGGTAGGAAATTGAATGTTGTACATATACAGTAAAACCTGTATATCTGAACACCTGGCTAATCCGAACACCTTCCAATTTGAACACTTTTTTTCGGTCCCATTTTTTCCTCCCATTGACTCCCATGTTAAATAAACCTTGAAATCTGAACACCTCCTAATCTGAACAGTGAACAACCAGATATGAAAAAGTGACCTGTCTAATCTGAACATTTTTATCAGAAATCAAATGTCTGGACATTTCAATAATAGCCACATATTGAGTCAATGTTATAGTTGTTATTTATCTTTACATATACATGGTACAATGTAATCAAAGAACTAATACTGTCCTAATTAACTTATTTAGTCTCAGTGACATCCCTTATTTGTGGAAAACAACAGGATGATTTGAAAAGGTGTGAATACAGGAGTTAATTGGTTTATCCTATTAGAAAAGAACTGGATGTTTTATGTTTGGATTAAGAGAAAGGTGTGAATCAAGAAGATAATTGATTTATCATTATTGAAAATTACCTGGATGTTTTTGATTTGGATTAAGAGAAAGGTGAGAATCTGGGAGATAATTGGTTTATCCTTATTGTAAATTAACTGGATGTTTTTGATTTGGATTATGAACAGGTCTTAGATGTTTTATATCCCATGGGTCTGTTATGATAGCTAAGATTCAATCAGTAAATGTTTTATAATCACAAAGACAACACAGACACAATTGCAGACAAGATTTCACGAGAAAGAGAAAAAATTCAACTTAGTAATAACCTATCACTAAAATGCCTCCTAAAAAGGGAGGATTATACATCATCTCGAATGAACACTCATAAAAAATTCTTTTTACTTGAAGAGGATATCTACTCAAATATTGCTAATGCTAAAAGTACCAAAAACAAACAACAATGAAGGACCTTTTCAAGCAAAAGTGAAGCAGTGTTATATAACCATAACATGGGATAAGTCATTTGAGAAGCTTAAGATTTTGTACGAGACTATCATATACTTATACTGTCAGTGTATTACAAAGTTTTTACCAAAATATAAGTTATTTTTACTAAAATAATGAAATTGTTCAAAATGTAAATAAAAATAGCATATAGGCTATAGGCCTATTGTAGAATAAACTCATCAACAACATGTATTGTTTTCTGAATTAGTATTAAGTGTTCAATATAGTGGACTGAACGATAAATATCCCCCCCCCTGATCAACAATATCCTCGAAATTTGAACACCTGCCAATTTGAACACTTTTGGCTGGTCCCATGGGTGTTCGGATTAGACAGGTTTTACTGTATGTCAAATTTCAGGGAATAATTACCCAAAATGGCAAAGATATGAGGAAAATACAGGGTTTCCATTTTTTTTGACCACCCTGTATGACAATATTGAGCCAAAATCAGCCAAAAAACTGCATGATTGTGTAAGAATTTCTGGCTGGTGGGGGGTGGGCTCGATACAGGCCTGTTCTCAAATGGGAAGATCTGTTTTAAGATGCAAAATAGTATGTTAGTTATGAAATAAACTATTTAAATTGTATAGATCTGCAAAATAATTGAGCATTTCATTCAATTTTTGGAGAAAATTAGTGGAAATACATGAAACCAGAGGGGAATTTTTAAAACAGTTTTTCTTGTCAGTCTTCTGCAAGAAAGAAGGCTGTGCTGTGACAACTGCGGTCTGCAGTTAGGTTCTTTTGCAGGTATTTTGTGCACAGAACGCATGCTAGGGATTGTATTGTATGCATTTAACACCCCGATATTTGATCTCGGAATCCTAGTTTGACTCGGACTTCAGCAAACATGAGGTTTGGGCAAAATAGGTTTAATTTTTATGCCTGGTATAAGAGAAGATCTGTTGTTATGCCCAGCATAAGAATTGAACCTAATTTGACCAAACCTCATGTTTGCTGAAGTCCGAGTATTTGTAGGATTCCGAGTCCAAATGTCGGGGTGTTATTTGTGTAATGTATTATATTGTTTGTTTGTTAATGTGTAATGTATTTCATTGGATGTTTATGTGTAAAGTAATGTGTGCATGTGTAGTATATTATGTGTGTGTGTTGAATACATGCAATGCATAAAATGTACTATTAATTTTATTACAACATTTCATAGATGTCTCTTGTTTTTATGTTTTTTTATTTTGTTGAACAAGACTAAATGTGAATATGGTACAAATGTACCAGAATAAAAAATCACAAGTATTTACAAGTTCTTAATAACAGTCATACTTGAATTTATCTGGTTTTCCTTTTTATTTCTTTTAGACTACTCTGCAGGATTTGGAGGAAAATATGGTGTTCAGACTGACAGGGTGGACAAATCTGCAGTAGGCTACGAACACCAGGAAAAATTAGCCCAACACGATTCACAAAAAGGTAGAATTTACATCTTATCTTTGGATATATCAGATTGACCAACAAATCTGGGTCAAAAGGTCAAAGTAGTATTGTTTATATTCTTATGAAAGTATTCAATTACTAAATGTCAGTATATACTTGTGGAATCAGTCTGTGATATCATAAGTACATTAGTATAGAATACATTTATAGTATAATACATTTATGCTGTATGTTTTGATAAGCCATGGATTCAAGTCAGCAAGAGTTTAAGGTAAAACCTCCTGAGTGCATAGTTTTAGATGATGCCATGGGAGAGGGGGCAAATGTGGCACTTACAGGAAGCACATGCATTTTGCTGTATAATTGTGTGTAACATTACAGGTTTGTAATGCGAGAGGACTGGAATTTAGGGATATAGGGATATATTTACCATATAGCGATATAGCTATTATTACCATATAGTTATGCACCTTTACAGATTATGCCAGTGGGTTTGGAGGCAAACATGGCATTCAAAATAAACACATGGATATATTTACTGTATAGCTATGTACCTTTACAGATTATGCCAGGGGGTTTGGAGGCAAACATGGCATTCAAAAGAAACACATGGATATATTTACTGTATAGCTATGTACCTTTACAGATTATGCGAGGGGGTTTGGAGGCAAACACGGCATTCAAAGGAAACACATAGATATACATGTATTTACTGTATAGCTATGTACCTTTACAGATTATGCGAGAGGGTTTGGAGGCAAACATGGCATTCAAAGGAAACACATGGATATATTTACTATATAGCTATGTACCTTTACAGATTATGCCAGGGGGTTTGGAGGCAAACATGGCATTCAAAAGAAACACATGGATATATTTACTGCTATAGCTATGTACCTTTACAGATTATGCGAGGGGGTTTGGAGGCAAACACGGCATTCAAAGGAAACACATGGATAGATCAGCTGTTGGGTGGGAATATAAGGGGGAGGTCCCTAAACATGCCTCACAGACAGGTGCTCTAAGCATGCTCAGGGAGTGCTGTATAAATTCACATCATTGTAGAACTTAGTCTGGCACATTTGAGATACATTGTATATTGTAATTTGAAAGGTAGGATCAAGTACAATTTGGTACATTTGTGAAAAATTGTAGTTTTATTTTGATGTGAATTTGCCATCCCTGGTGTGTGTGATTGCTCTGTTTTGATTGTGTATGAAGGTTACATGTACTAACTGCATGTACACGATTGGTTGAAACTGACATTATTTTTTTACTGACAATTGAGGGAGACCTTTTATAAAGATACTCAAGATAATATATAGGGCAGTTGGCCATTACATATAACATCAAAGTATAAAAGAATGCTCTGACATACATTCCAGTAGCCAGCCAACATTTGTCAAAAAGGTTTTCAAAAAATCCCCAAATCAATAACTCGGATGCGAGTAGGTAGTTACCAGTTTCACCACCAGGTGGCTCGTTTGGATCAGATAGAATGGCTGGTTCAGTACAAAGTTCCATTTAACTTAAGTATTCATCTGTGTTGGTGGTTCAATTGTCATATCACCCTTATGTATCTATAATAGTTATGCAAATTGAAATATGTCCAGTAAAAGAAAATGTTATCTGTTGAATATACATGTACAAGAAAAGATATTTCCCTTTGGGGAATCTCCCCGAACTAGAAATCACATTTCAAAAAAAATTGAATTTTCAAAGTTGATCAACAATTTTCGAAACCATATTTCTAGATTAACTTTTACTTTGACTGAATTTTGAATATTTAATGATGTAAATCAAGATTATTTCTACTCACATCTAGTCTTTTAGAAAATGCTCAAAATGGTGAAAACTGCATGATTTTGAAAAAGAATGGCCAGGGGGTCGTGTACTGGCTATATACACCTAATTTACATCACTCATTGTTCGGATGTTTCAGATTTTTACATATATCTCAAACAGCCAATTTATGAGGTTGTATATTAAAAAATTAAGTTTACTTCAATCTACAGAAAGAGTTGGAGTCTCGTACATTAGACTTCCAGGGGATTCACAATTGACATTTTTGGCCCAAAATCACCCAGAAGTGCTCAAAATAGTGAAAAACTGCATGATTTTGAAAGAATTTTTTTCTAAGGGGGTTGCAAATCAATAACTCAGATGCGAGTAGGTAGTTACCAGTTTCACCACCAGGTGGCTCGTTTGGGTCAGATAGAACTTAAGTAATCATCTGTTTTGGTGGTTCAATTGTCATATCACCCTTATGTATCTATAACAGTTATGCAAGATTAATGAGGTCAATGGGAACTCCAGGAAATTCTGATATTTCACGCTTTCTATTTCTCCAAATTTTCTTTCAAAGGTTCCAGACAATACAGGAGCTACCATTGACCTGTTTCCAGGATTACTAAAAGTAGACAATGTCATGATACTTTCCTGAAGAAAGCAAGGAAATATACACATGCCTTTATACTTAATTTTGTACCAGAAAATAACATGTGCAGGTATAGCAATTTTTGACCAAAATGTTACTTTCCAGCTGAACCTTAAGGATTGGATCAAAATGGCCAAAAGTACACAATAACCTTAATAGGAATCAGACAATTGGTTACTTGAAAATAAAATAAGTGTTTCATCATTTTGGTTGGCTATTTAAAAATAAAGGAATATAATAATTTGAAGGCAGTGTTTCATCATTTTGATGGACTACTTGGCCGTCATGTCTGTTCGATGGGATTTGCTACACCGTGATGTTGCTGTTATTTAATTTTATTTTTTACATGAGATCATTGTAACTTTCTAGATTGATTGCAATTTCCCGTTATTTAATGAATTAATTTATGGGCAGTCCTTGGAATCAAGAGGCAAAAATTTTAGACCACAATTTTGGTCAAATTTCTGAAAAATTAGTCCAAAAATTAAAAATAATATCCTGCATTATCAGTTTGTTATGTAAATTGCCTAGTTTATGTGTGGAAAAGATTTGGGCCCCAACTTTTTTGGGGCATCTACTTTTTCAGGCCCTACTCAAGAGGGGCCAGCCCGAAATTGAATGTGTGATATCATAGCTGGGATTTGCTACTTTTGAGCTGTCATTGTCTAAATTATGTTTTGTTTCAGAAACTGCCAAAATCACAATATACATTATTGATACAGTGCACATGCATGTTTGCATACTTTGTGATATTGATTTTATTTTTTTTGGAGTTAGTAGAGAAATAGTAACATTTAATAGTATATCTGTTTGCATGTTCAACCTTTATATGTGTATGAAGATGAAGATGATGTTCTATTCACGTCATAAGAATTCTGTAGCTAATGTCACAACGGAATACCCTGACAACAGTAAAGTACGCCAATTCCTTTGAGGACTATGATAAGGATATGGGGAGGAGATACATTCAGGGTTTTAATACAAGTCTTTCTACAGAATGGCCTTAGAATATTTTGGCTGCATGTGTTTTGTTATGTCATGAAATGTTTTATTTTAGCCAGTGTGTGCACTTTTTTGAGGAATGAAGGCAAACGAGCAATATGATTGGTTTAAAGCTTTATAGTGTCATGCTTAAATGAATATGCAGGCAAATGCCAGGAATAACCCAGATGCGAGTAGAAATAATCTTGATTTACGTCATTAAAAATTCAAAATTCAGTCAAAGTAATATCATATTTGATATCTACATGTAAAATTACATCTAGAAATGTGGTTTTAAAAAGTGTTTATCAACTTCGAAAAATTAATTTTCTTTGAAAATGTGACTTCTAGCTCGGGGAGATTCCCCATAGACCCCATGCTATAAAATCACAAAAAATGAAATATCTTTTCTTTTAGTGGACAGGTAATATTTTGCTTTACTGGACATATTTTCATTTGTATAAGTATCAGACACATAAGGGTTATATGAAAATTGAGCCACTTAAATTGATAATATTCAAGTTTAAGGGAACTTTCTTACATACCTGCCATGTTAATTGACCCGAATCAGCCACCTGGTGGTGAAACTGGTAACTACCTACTCGCATTTGGGTAATTGAGCTTTGTATTTCAGTTACATTTTGTTTTGCAAAATTTTGATATGTTTTTTTACAGAATGTTTATTATATGCATTTAGACTTAGGCAATTGTCACATGAATTTAAATGATTATATAATATTGATACTTATTGCAGTATTTTGGCTCATATGGTGACATTGTGGAATAACCTTCTCATTCACTCGTTTGTACACCTGTCTGTCTTTCCGTCCATCTATCAAACATTTTTAGGCAAATAAAAACTGTGATTTGTTAAATCACCACCACAATTGATAGTCTCCAACTTTTTTTGTGCGTGGTGTTCAGCATCTGGCAGTCAGCTTTCCGAGCTCGGCGTCAATATAGGCTCACATCTATTTTAAGTAAAAATGAAAAAGTACTCGGTATATATTTACATCTATACTATACATTTTGAGCCTCATAGCACATTTTGAGTACATCTTGTTTATTTTATTTTATGTTAAATCAGTTTAGACCTAGTAAGTGTTCAACTTCATAGCTGGATAGTCACTCCTGCACCTACCTAGGTTTGGAAAACCTCTGATGAAAACTATATGCCACCATGGGCGTAGCGCTATTTTTCTAAGTACTACGCCACCACCACAGGAACAAGAATCAAGAATGAAAAAACGAGCATTCAGGGGTCAGTAAAATTTTGATATTTGGTTGTATTTGGAGCGAATTTGCAACCATCTGGTACGCCTGTGCGTACCCAGCGTACTGGGCGCTACGCCCATGGCCACCTACCCTCCCTAACCTCAAAATATAGAACTATTGCCAATGTTTGATTGCTTTCTTTCATCTTAGATTATTCTGCCGGTTTTGGTGGCAAATATGGCGTCCAGACAGACAGAGTTGACCAATCTGCAGTTGGCTTTGAACACCAAGAAAAACTCTCACAACACGATTCACAAAAAGGTTTGATATCTTATTTATTAAGTTACAAAATCTGCATTAATAATCTTCATTCCCATGAGCAGGATAACACATTCTTAAGCTTCATCCCAGGAATTCTATCTTTAGTTCAATGCTTCATACATATACATGTAGTGTATGTTATATTACGGCTTAAAGGAAGTTGAAGGGATGCATTCTGATACTCATATCAGGCCCGTAGCCAGGATTTGCCAAGGGAGAGGGTTCAGTTTTCAAAAATTTCCAGGGGGGGGGTTAACATTTCACAATTTTGGCCCAAATATGGCTAAAATCACTTGCTCAAATAAGCCCTTTTAGCCTTAGCTAATTCCATTTATAGATGGCAGTCATATGACAAAAATTCAGGAAATGATAACACAGAAGGTATTGGGATTCTCTAGATTTTTCACCCTTTTCTTTGATTCTTTGAAATTTTTTTTTTTATTTTAAAAAATTCTTGGGCCATAGGTCATGATGAAATTGTTATCTATTTAAAGACATCAAAGATATATCTTTTCCAACTGTTATATAACTGGAAAATGACTAATTGGTCAAGGGTCACTACAGGGCCATACATAACATGTGAATTAGTTAATCTACTTTCTTCTTAGTATTTCTTCTGAAAGTACAAGATATCTAACATCTATAAGGCCATAAGAAGTAGATTCTTTGTTTTGCGTCCTCGCAAAATCCAAATCATGCAAGGATACAAGGAAAACAAACACAAACTCAAGAAAAAACACAAACTTGTTTGCTGAGAAATGTATACATTTCAAGGGCATAAAAGGGCATGACATACCAATTTCTATGTATATATACATTCTATCAGTATATTTAAACATATAGCTATTTCAAGAGTAAAAATAAGAAAATACACAATGTATGCCAAAGTAATCAAAAACACTGTCCATTTTGACGCACATCAAATTATCCGCCATTTTGTCTGATTCTGATTGAACGAAATGCGATGGTACTTCCAGACTTTGTGATTGCTATTTGGATGTGTTTGCTTTTTCTGATTTACTCAAAATCGTGCAAGCAAGGGGAGGCAAAACAAAGAATCTACTTCTTATGGCCTAATTACATTTTGTAGTATTCGTTAATAAAAATGTGTGGAGAAAAAACTTTAGAAACATTTTCAATGATATCAAATATAAGTGTAAGTTGGCACATTAGATCAGTTTCTGAGTCTGCGAATAAATTATTTGGGATTAGTTATAAAACTATGTCTGAATGTAAACTCTCAAATCCTGCATCAAATATCTGAATGATCTCTAACTATCTAGTTAACTTAACCTTTTATCCTGTATCAGTATGTGGACAATAGTAAACATTGTAATTCAAGCTGCACTTAAAACAAGCAGTATCTTACTGGTGGCTATATAAACTTATTGACCCCAGGTCATTTTGGTGATTTATGCTGAAAAACTGCATGATTTTGAAATTATTTCTGGCTCCGGGCCTGCATATCATCTTTCTGTTTCACCTGAAACATCTCAGGGCTGAGAAGAAATGAGATGTCATGGTTTATCATAATGGAAGAGATGAGGAATGTAAAATCCCTTTTTCAAAACTATTACCATATAACCTATGAAATGATTATCTTGAAGTAAAATCAGAGCTGTTGGACATTTTTGGAAATGGGCGTGACATGAAATTATGAGAACAAATATATTTCAATATCATGGCAATTTTTGCAACTTAATCTCAACTCATCTTTATCCCTTCTGCTAAATGACTGAGTCATAAAACATTTGTCAGTCATGATGTGTATATTTCACATCATATAAATTCAAAGTGCTGATATCTTAATATAATCAAATGTTTGTTGTATTAAAGGAAAGACCAATTAACCAAACATAAGTTGTAAGGGGTTCTAACAAAAAGGTTTAAAATATATATGATATATCCTTTTAAAGCATCTTTGGTTTAGTAATTATGCCATCATCAAAGGTGGTGACACATTGTTACAGTCTCCAACTTTTTATGGATGGTGTTCCGCAGGGAGTGCTTGGTGTTTTCATTGAAAATGACTGCTTCCTTGTTTTCTAACAAGATGTTTTTATCTCTGAATAATTTTCTTTTCTTATTTAGACTATGCCCAGGGATTTGGAGGGAAATATGGAGTGCAAAGAGACAGGCAAGATTCGGCTGCCAAGGGTTACGATGAGGTCACAAAGACAGAACTCCACGAGTCACAGAAAGATTTCAAAAAAGGATTTGGTGGCAAGTTTGGAGTTGACACTGAACATCAAGATCAGGTATACTGACATATATTTATGGACTCTTAAAATGGAAATAATAATGTATACAAGAACACGTGTTCCAATAGACTATTTCATGCTATTTTTGTTAGAATCCACTAATGGTTTCATTTTTGAATTAATATTTTGGCAACAATATTAGTAAACAATTCAAATCATGAATTTGTCGTAATTAAAAGGTGCTAAGAAGTTCTAAATTCTTGATTATATCTTGCATGAAACAAACATGTTTTACAGTACAAGGCTAAAAGGATAAATCTCATGAAAAGTTCAAAACTATAATAGAGACATTGCCACTTTTAATAGCAAACTTCTCAAATTACAAACAACTTTAATATGTATAACATGACATACCCCATCCACCTCTCTAGGCTGAACATGGGTTCAATTAACAAACAATTTAGATATGTATAACTTATATGGAAACAAATCTTCCCCTGTGTACCCATAACAATACTAATTGCACTACCCTCGTCCTAGGCTGCACATGGGTATGACGAAATGGAAGCCCCATCCCCGTCATATCAAAAACCAAGGGCTGATTCTGGTTCCTCTGGGGCTAAAAATTTACGAGCCAGATTTGAGAATATGGCAAAACAGGGTGAGGATGATGCACGTAAAAGAGCAGAAGAGGAAAGAGCGAGAAGGAAAGCGAAAGAGGATAAAGAGAGAGAAGAACAGCAGAGACAGAACAAAGTATAATTCAAGATATTGTTTTTTAACTCTTATCAGGGTATAATCACAAAATTAGCCTTTACCTGGTGTCTTCTGAAGAGAAAATTTATCAAAAACGCAAAGTTGTTAAAATTAGCAGATAACTGGAGGAAATCCAATGGAGTAGTTCAAGCTGCTAAGAGTTTATTGTTTTCAGAGACTTCAATAAGATTAACATATAATCACTTGAAAGGCAGGCCCATAGCTGGATGGGGTCTGGGAGTTTGAGTGAAATGTGCTCCCCCTGGAATATTTTGAAGAATGATCCCCATTGGCAAATCCTGGCTTTGGGCCTGTCTGTAATATGTCTAATGTACAAGCACTTATAACCCTATTGTGCAGTTAAGATCTTAGAGTTTCTTCAGTGGGTTCTTGGCTTTGTTTACCTTTAGAAAAACTCACCTCAAACAAGAACTAATAAGTACATAAAAATGAATAAATCTCTGTGCAATATGATTCTGAGATAAAAAAAATGAAAAATGGGTTGACATTTTTTAAGGAACGGTTTGCACGAGAAAAAGCTGAAAAAGAGGCCAGTCGGCCTGCTGCCCCAGCACCTCAAGCTGCAGCAGACATGGTTTATGACGATGCTGCCAGTGCTGGTCCTGTAAGTACTGAGGGTGCAGAAACCATATATAGTGAGGCCCAGAGTGTGGGTGAGGTTCAACCAGAGAGTGTATACAGTGATGCCACAAGCACCCCAGGGCAACAAGCTGAAGAGAGCATATATAATGAGGTGGAACCTATGCCTTCAAGGGTGCCACCTCCAGCAGCTGCTAGTGCTCAGCAAGGAGGTAAGACAGTAGACATTTCTCTGTCCTGAGGTCCAAAATAATAATATTACCCTATTTGGATAGATAATTTGGAACTGTTTTGAGGGTGATATGACCTCAGTGCCTGAATAGATGCTTGCTACTTCAGAAGGCAGAAAAAGCTACGACTGGTCTGTGGTGATTATATTCTCAGATGTACTCAAACTACTTTGAAGTAACAAACTACTTTGAGCTTTTGTATAAGCCTTCAGTCATGAAATATATTGATGTATTTTACTGTAGATGTTTATGAAGACACCAACTTTGAGCCAGAGCCTATCTATAACACAGCAGATCCAGCCGAGGGTGTCTACGAGGATACTCCAGTTGTAGCAGCTACACCTCCCTCTAGTGGCACAAGTGCAAACCAAGAAATATATGATGATACCCAAGCTGAAAATGTATATGAGAGCGCACCTGATGGTGAAATCAAAGCAAAGGCATTATATGATTATCAAGCCAGTAAGTTTTTCAAGCAAATATTCTTCTATATATTGTATACAAGTTTGTATATACAGTGAAACCTGTAAAGTGTAATTTCAACCTTAGTGGTAACATTTGGGCATGGTAATTTCTCTTTAGTATTTCTAGTATTTTGTGTTATCTGTTTCATCGTTTGTTTGTATTGTGTGTCTGATTTAATGTATAATTATATCTTCAGCTGATGATGATGAACTGACCTTTGACCCAGAAGAGATTATCACAAATATTGAAAAGGTAAGGAGTGAATATGAAACATGTTCACTGTTTCACAGGTTCTATTAGTTGTCTAATATGCTCTTGGACTCTTTAGGTTCATTCAAAATACAGATTTCATGAACTGATTCCTCAATTTCAGATTGATGAGGGTTGGTGGAGAGGCTCATGTAGAGGCAAAGTTGGACTATTTCCTGCAAATTATGTGCAAGAATTTCAATAAATATTCCTACGCCAGTTTACGGAACTACTTGCACATACCATTCAAAGATGATCTTATGATTAGATAAGGAACAGTCAGTAGTGAACAGATTATGCAACTAGTGATTTTAACATTAATTTATTAATTGAAAAGATTAATAGATTAATCACCAATGTATATAAGACTTTGACATTTTGTACAAAACCAAATGCTGAGACTGAAGGTGGTTAATAAATTATGATAAACATTGTATACTTGGCGAATTGTGGATTTATCAATATTGAATTGCTGAACAGATTCGGTTGGTACTAGATTACATCTAGATACATATCCATCTAATCAACAATCCTGGAGTAATTATTTTTGTATAAGAATGGAAGATGCTCTAATGATAGTGAAACGATTCGGGGAAACGATGTACATAATATATTGGTATTCATGTACAGATAGTATTTCATCATGTAACTGAATTTTTAGAGTAATTCACTACAAATCTAGTTTGATTTGTTCTACATTGTCTTCCAAATGTACTTAATTAATGAATGAGAGATGTGCTTCATATTTGAGTACGTTTGAAATTAACCTATTGTTTAAAGTATGTTAGAAACTTTATGTTAACCTTGATTCCAATTTATTGCAAGATGTATTAAAGTTCACATGTTTTACTTATAGTCTGTAATTACTTACAAAATTCATAGGAATTCTACATGTGACTATGTCCACCTTGTATAATACCTATGTATACTATGCTGTAAAAAGATTGGTTTGGTAATCCAAGTACTTGCCTTGTCTGACATGTCTGTAATATGCAGGGTTCACACTTCAGACAACCATCATAGCAGATCCCGTAACAGTTTCCAAAAATTCTATTAAGGTTTTAATTTACTTGCATGTGTATTCACATCATGCATTTTTGCTGTACAAAGCCCTGAAGCCTGTATCTATAGTTTTGTATGTTAGTTTGTAATATCCAGGAACTAGAAATACCTTTTGAAACTACACTTCCCTCCATAAGTTTAGCAAACAATATCTTCCAGATAAAACTACCTATTAGAGGCTTTGTTTTCAAACTTCTGAAGGGGATTGTATACATATAGCAATTTTATTTAAAGAGTGTATGTATGAACTGACTGAAGATGTCTTGGTTTAAGTAAAATGAGTGCAATTACGAATGGATATTGAGAGGAATTGACCGTTTTTGTACATAATACAATTTAACAGAATGTATGTATGATGCTATACTATGAATGCTATACTTATATATTATTCCATGACCAGAAAGGTGTTTGGTAATAAAACATTGAAATATAAAAAAAACAGTTTTCAGTATTATTATACCACAGAAGTTATTCCAACAGATTTCAGACAGTCATATGTTGGATTGTGGCTATTCTCTGAGGATTTAAACAGGGGCATATATTAGATCAACGCATTACCTCCAGGAAAAGCACTCATAGAGATAAAATAATTTTTTGGACTTGGGACAGGGAAGTTGCAAACACCCAACAAGCATGTTTTTTCTGAAATGTCCTGATTTCCACTTCATTCCCCATTTGTTTTTTCACTGTTTGATGAATCAACAGGTCGTGTTTGGAGCAGACACAGATTACCTCTTAAAGGAAAAATGCATTCATAAAGGGGTTTTAAAGATATCAGTTATTTATGGGTGACCTAAATTAAGCTGAAAACAATGACTCACATGAGTTCCATATGAATAAATAACAAAGGAACTTTTGTTTCCCACTTTATCCCAAATGAATGTATTCAAAAAACGGAAGAACAGCTTTCCTGATATGTTGATGACAAGATTTATGTGACACCCATCAATCCAAACATGCCCATCAGCACAAGGCAATGACAGTACATGTATAACACATTTTAAAGTGCGATAAAAAGCCATTATATATCTTAACAGAACACAATATTTCATAGTTTTACGATTTATTGTTGGATGGATAGATGTAAAAGTCTGATAAAATAGTTTGATTTGCATTATGATATTACAAATTAAAATATACAATATTTACAAAAACATGCATATGATATGTACAATAAAACAATATGTACAGTACAACAGTATGTACAGTACAACAAAAGAGAGTAAGTAAAATGATCAGTAAAATTAAAAAAAAAGATGGCTATATGCACAGGAGAGGCAATGAGAAATCATACAAAACAATTTATTCATAATTTCTTTAATTTAAATCCAGAAAACAGATGCCTTATTTGCCACCTCAATCCACACCCACCCTGCCCTCTGATATTATCTGACATGTACATTAAGTACAGAAACCATGACAACTATATAATAATAATTTATCTAGATTTGTAAAAATTAATAAAGAAAAATTACAGAAATTGTAAAAGACCCTGGAGCAAGACAGACCACAGGGCAAGAACAAATATTTGTCTCTCTCTGCAGTAACACAGTCATAAACATAAATACACTGGTTGTTCCGCAGTACATTGGTCAATAACAATGAGTGAGGACAGTTGAACTAATATATGTAATCAAGAATATTAATATGATCAGTTTTGTCCCATCGTCTATCATGCCCCATTTTCCTCTTAGACTACTGGCCCATTGTATAATTGCCATTATAAATTGGCATAACATGTATACTGTATTAGCAAAAATCTCAGATATGAAAATGCTCAATTTTGAGCCAAATATGATTCTAATCTAAAAAGACATTTAATACTGATCATGTACTACATATTGCTAATACCTTTTCATCATATTGAAAAATATCAATATATTACTCCAATATATGTATGTAGGGTAAATCTCATTATATCGTAGCCTAGTGTACTAAATGACATTAAAGATAAGGGTGTGCCCAATCTTTTGTATTCATTTTGATACATTTAACTCTGGTATAATAAGCCGACCCCAGTTCATAAAACACTGCTTCGTTGTCAACTGTATATCTCAATTTTTGATTGTTTTACAAAGTATAATTTGTATTATGCATTTCAGCACTCATTTTCTGAATACCAATTACTCTCGATTTAAAGCAAGATTATTTCTTAAACAATCAAATTAAAACTCAATACTTTTGGCACATCTATAATAGTTGCTGTTCTCTATTTCATGTCTATTTTGATAAATCAAATGGTTTTGCTAATTTAACCCTACCCTAGAGCACCCACCCAGTGATCAAGTCCCATTATTCGAACATTTTCCTTTTTTGAGAATGATCAAATCAGCAGTAATTACAATGACCTTGACCTTTATACCATTAACCTTGACCCTGGTATATATCTGGAATCCCTCCAAATATTGGACTCTCCTGCATTGTTAATAGTTCTCTTACATTGTCCACACCTGTGGTATTTATCACACTGTTCGTGTACTAGAATTCCAGGGGTCAAAGATCGCAGTTTATCTTCAAGTTCACGATTCTTTTTTGTGTCGGCAGCTCCTGACCAATCACTTTCCAAACGTTTACGATTTCGGTATATTCTCTCGTATCTATGTGCTCTGTCATCTAGAAGCCTGAAATATAATAAAAAACATAATTGAATATCATTGCAAATATCTTTTTGACTTTTTAAGTCGCAGGTGATAGGGATCAATTCAAAACTTCAACGAATTACCACAATATAACTTTTGTTCATAGGGGGTACTAAAAAGAGGCCTGATATCACATATACAAACTTTTATTTTAATCAGTACATTAAACATATTCTTAACTTTCATATGAATTTGTTTTTATTTCAATATGTACAGTTTGATTTAATTGTAGTGCATTACTGTAATAGATGTTATCAGTTTCTAATTTAAATAGGAGGATCACAAGATAACACCTTTTCAAAATGCAATAAAAAATAAGTGTAAAATGTGGCTTACTCTTTCTTTGTACGGTCGAGCATTTCTTCCTCTTCTTTCTGTTCATTCAAGCGTTTCAAGATATTTGCTCTTTTCCTGCTCATTACAGTTTCCAGTTGCTCTTGGTACACCTCGTGTGCTCGTTTACGTTGCTCAGCCATACCCTCATTGGTCATATCGTCTTTTCCAAATATGGGCGATGATGAATCAGGTTCGCGGGCTGGTATTGGCAGAGGTTTGAATTTTACCTGGGAAAGATATATTACAATGTAGCAATATACAGTAACAATTTAGCAATACAGCAATTTAACAAGATAGCAATATATACAATACATTGTGTCAACATGTGATGTTACATCATTATGCATAATTACAGGATCATGAAAATCGGGGGAATCATGGGAAATAGTAATTCATTTTAAGACCTTGCACAAATTTGCTAGAATTATTTGTTATGTTTACTCCATAAATATGATTAATGGTATATAAGTGAGATCAGCAAAAGATAAAGGAAGCAAATGTAAATTACAAAAATTAATATGACGAAAGATAAAAAGATGAAAGTTTTAATTCAAAGTAGAGTTGAAGATGGAATGCATTAAGTATTGCCAGATTGACACTTAAAAGCATTTATACATGAAAAATAATAGCACTTATCTAGTTTCACATCAAGCCCCTCTCCCCCCCCCCCCTCTTCCATTATATAAACATGTGAAACCTGTAAAGTGGAACACATTTAGAAGTGGAACACCTGTTTCATAGTCCCAAGACCAACTGACTTCATGTTAAATGAACCTCTAAAAGTGAAACACCTCACAAGTGGAACACTTTTTATATGTAGCAAAGGTATTCCACTTAGACAGGTTCACAGGTTTTTATTGTTCTATCACAGGGTGGAAAAGATGAGGGGAAAGGGTGCATGACAGAAACTTGATGCAAGATTAGTAGAGAATGAAAGTCAACAGATGTACCAATCTTCCCCCAGATTCCTGTACCCTAATAGGGTGTGTCTTGGCAAAAGGAAGCACAATCTGTGGCCTGGGTAGGCTTAGGGGACCTGTTCGGTGTAGTTCTCTTATTCTGGAGCCCCCTCCTGTAGGACTTGAAACAGAGTTTCGTATGTGGATCTATGGAAAGCATACAAGATGACGATAATGTGCAAAGATGGAGATGATATGTAAAGATTGTGATAATGTCCAAAGGTGGAGATAATGTGCAAAGATGATGAGAACAGAGGATGAGAATGTGCAACAATGATATATGTGAAGAATATGTAAAGATGAAAAGATGTGCAAAGATGGTTGTGTTGTGATTTAAAAGAAAAGTGAATAACATAACAAAAAAGGTTAGTGCATCTACCAAATCAATTAGCCAAACTACATATGGCTGAAATATGAGAGAGAAAGAGGGAAAGCACTAAATGCAATGCTTTAAGACTGCCCTTTTTATTCCATTAATACACATACCTGTGCTGAGAGTGCCCTCTTGTATTGCTCCTGACCCCCTGCCTTATCTCTCAGATATTGTTCCCTCTGGGCAGCAAGATCCTCTGCTAATTGAACCTAGAAATAGCAATATGCAAATGATGGAAAATATTCAACCAAACATGATTAGTCTACAAGACTATAATCCAATAATCTTTGAAAGTTATGTTTTATTTATCTATTTTTTGATTTGAAATATACAGTAATGGTAATTTGGCTAGACTCATTGAGCTTAATACATTAGATAGTGAAATTACTGAAATAACAATCTGATGGTGAAGAACCAATTAGAAATGAACAAACCTGTTCGAGTCTCTCTAAGAACTCCTCATCAGCCTTCTTGCTCTTCCTGTCTCTCTCTTTGCCGTCACACTGTTTAGCAAGCTCTCTGGAGTATTCGTTTTGTTGGTGAAATCTTGGTGGAGTAAGTGGCCGATTTTGAAATATGTAGGCTCGCTGAAATTGTATATTATATTTTAATTTTACTCAGTTTTTCTCAGTTAAATTCCATGAAAGCAGAAATCTGTGTGTAACAAATATGACTTCATGCAAAATTAATTGCATTACACAAAACTGAATTTTTTGTCTTTGCTTTAAAGTATGTATCTCTGTGTGGCTCTGTATCACACTTGGATTCTGAGTTGTATTTCTAGAACTAGCACCATAGGTCTAATTGAAAGCCCATGCTAACACGTATGAGGTTCATGTAAATCTTTGGTAGCACAAATAATGATCAACTGAACAATGATCAACTGAACAATGATCAACAGTCTGAACAAAAAAAATTGTCAAAATTTCCTATTTTACAGTTTGCCACTGAGGACTGAACACAAGAAAGTTTGAAGCAAAATTTCTATTCATCATACTCACATGAAATTCTGTTGGTCGAGCATTTCTCTTAGCTCTGACAGCCTCTGCGACTCCAACATTAAATGCTGCAATCTTCTGACTATCATGCCTCTTTGCTAAACTAGTTTCCTGAAATTACAAAGGCATACATAAGATGAGGGCAGCAGAGTTGATGAAATCAAAAGAATAATTATTTTGTTGTGGGTTTCATCTTTATTACAGCTTCTGATTTGTATTCCTAAATCCACTCCAATTTATAATATACATTGTACATGAACATGAACATGCATCGAAAAAAAAATTATATCAGAATAAATCAATGAAACAAGGATGTGTTGAAATGTTTAGTTTTGAAAAGCAGATTTATTTTCATTTGACTTCGTCCCTTTTTCCATATAGGACAATAATGACTTTTGGTCATTTTGTTTTTAAATTTTGAAACCCTCATTTAGAATACTTCTTAATAACAAATGCAAACATTTGGAAACAGCATCCAAGCATGATATTGATATAAATTCATTAATGTACACATCTAACGAACCTGATCCTTGAGCACATTTTCTGTATCTTTTATATGTTGATATTGCTGGAGTAGTCTATCCTCCTCTCTTTCGCGCCTTTCTCTTTCCTCCTTGAACGCCACTGGCACGTTCAGTTTGGCCCTCTGATGGCAGAGATAGCACAACTCCTGGCCTGCGTTAGAGTGACTGCAGGCAGATCCTGGGGGTGATGGCATCCTCTGGAGGGTTGGAGGGGTGGGAGGAATCCTAGGGGGTGAAGGCACATGCTCTAGTCGTTCCAGTGCACTCCCTGGTTTAGCGTACACTGGATCATCAATGTCTGTCGGAAGTTTTGGACTCACACTACGAGACAAAACATTTGATTGGTCAGTTCTGGTGACTTGTGTGTTTCTTAACAATGCATTTGATTGGTTGTTCATGCTTGACCGAATAACACTTCCTGGGTTGTCAATTCTATGTTGCGCTGTTTTCAATGATGAATTTGATTGGTTAAGTTTTTGAGATGGAGGCCGCTGTGTTTGCATTTCAGATGGCGGTCTTTTTTCTAAAGATTTCTCTAGTGACAGAGGCGGATAATAACCTGAATTTGGTCCAGGAATTATTAATTTTCTACTGCTCCTCATATGTTGAAGTTGTACTTCATATGAACTCATTTGACTTCCTGCTCTTGAAACTGCCATTTCATTAATTTTATATCTTCCTAATTTTAATAAAACTTTATGTTTTTATATACTAATGAACTTAAGCACATGAAGTGTTAATCCCATTCAGTGATTTATATTCCAGTAATAATTATAGATTGTTTTCTATGAAAAATCTTTTTTTATAAATGATTCCCTCCAAGTTGTTCCTCTGACTAATAATATCCTGTTGCTATGAAACTTAAGGTATTATCCAAGATTCTTAATTAGTAAGAACGTAATTAATTACATTCACACGTTGTAATAAAACATTTATAATTTCTTAGTTTGACCATCACTTCAATATGCTCAATATGAATTATTACGCAGTAATTTATTAATATTAATTGAATAAAGCGTTTTCCGTAATGTTGTTAAATCATGGAGTTTCGTTGCCAATACCAAATCTTGTACCAGCCTAACAACAAGTCTTAATGAAATGTAGCAACTTTGACCTTTGCCGATAAGTTTTGATAAATATAAAGTTTCTACTGAGGTTATCTTGTACAGTCAACATTTTCAACAAGGTAGCACTTATAAATATGTAATTATTTATGAAATCTTGGATTATAAACATATTCTTATCAGCTTTTCAGTGACATTTTAATGATTTCGTCTCACTCATGAAAATCGAATTGAATTAATATCACACATATTCACAACTACTGTATTTCCTACGCGATTCATCTTTAATATTCCGGGCTATTTTTTCAGATTTTCGAGTCTTAATTTTATTTTTTCACAAAACCAATTAATCAATCCAAATCGTGTCATATGACACAGGGTTTCCGGTGTTATTGGCGTAACCATTGTTCGCTCCAAATGTTGCATGTTCAGCGAAAACAATTACATATGTCAAAGATAATTACAACTTTTGTGATTTAGAGAAATCAAATTACACAGAGTATAGATTAGCATCACCCCTAAATTCAGGGTAGGTCACAAAGACCCAGACAAATTAAAGGTAAAGTTTGTTTTATGAGGAACAATAGTTAAACATGAACATGATCAAATAGAATTTTGCATTGAAAGATAATGATTTATTGAATGGATATTGCATGTACATGTACTTTCAGTAAAAAATAAATTTGAAAGTTTACATTTATTACTATTGTACATGTATAAACCATGACATTTCATTCTTTTTCTGCTTGAGATGATGTTGCCATAGTAATTAAAACAGCAATAGTGATGAATAATAATCAGAATGGGTTTCTATACAATACTGATATTACATAATACCATTTTCATGTAATAATACACTTCATTACTTATTTATTGTGGCAATATTTGACATGTGCATTCAATATTAATGCCAATGTCAATTATGTAATAGAAAGCACTCAGTGATTGTAGGTCACTAAGTGATTGGCACTGCTTGAAAGTTATACTTGTTGTTTTGTTGCTATGGAAATGGTTCTGTTGCTATGTCATGGTTGTCAAGCTAAAGGTACATGTATGCTAAACAAATAAATTCACCTTCACTTTTCTTAAAGAACTACATGTGAAATATAATAAATAGAAAATCCCATACCTGTCATAATCTAAAGGCTGTAACTGCTGTAAAGGAGATGGCCTCATGAGGGGGGCAGGGCTAGACTTCGCTAGTGCTGACCCTCGTATTCCTCTGGGGGTAGGGGGTAAGACATCATCGACAAAACTGACCCCTGTTGCCTGAGCTATGGGGGCGACCAACCTAGACCCTGACCTGCTTGGCGGGATTGGAGTCTTTCTGGAAACTGGAAAAAAATAAAGTTTTTTTATTAAATATTGCAAACCCTATTATTCACATGTTAATTTTGTTGGCATTTTATTTCACTTTTAGGTATTTCTATCTATTGGTGAATTTATGACACAAATAAGTTTACTATTGGAATAATAATGACAGATACAAAGGACTAGTGGATTAATGTAACATAGGAGATTTATAAATAAAATGTCTTGCAGTATGTAGGTTTTGCATTCCATTTTGTATGCTCATGTGATAGAGCATGTTTATGTTACTACTTACATGTAACACATAAAATGTACTGACAACTGACATACTACAACTCATTTTGATATTTCATTCTTGTACTTAATTTATGAAGTGGTATGTGTCATCATTGTTTAAGTAAAAGAATGATAAGACAGAATAGAAAACTAAAATATCTTAAAAGGCATTTAAACTTTGAGATAACCTTTAACATGCAGAATTAAAATGATACTTATGACCAGTTTCAATCTGCTGGTAGAACTTCAATATCCATTGTGTAGTCAAATAATTTTCTTTTCCCACAGAATGAGAATCTGAATCGTGCAATTTTCTTATTTGAAAAAATGCATTTTCTTATTGAAATGGTTAAATAAAATATTTTTCTAGAAATAACCAAATGGTCAATCTTTCTTATTTTTACATATTTTCTTGTTCATCTGTATATCTTTCACCTATATGTTTTTAAGAAAATCTGAATTGAAGAAAAAAGTCGATGGACAGTGAAGTTCAACCTTAAATGACTGTTCTCATAAAGGCAATAATGAGCAATGAAATCATCACTTTGGTACAAGGTGAACAAATTACTTGAGATAAGCACAACCCACTTTATAAAATCACCATTATTTACAAAGGGGGGGGGCTATATATTTACAATCTTATTGTAATAAAAGCACTATTAACAGATTTTAAAAACCTTTTTAAAACTCATTTTGAACCCTGGTTTAAAACATAAATTACCAAAATTGCATTTGACCACAACGATTGTATTTCGAAGTTGAATATTGAAAAGAAATTCAATTATTTGTTTTTAGATATCATCAGTATATATTATTTAAAATTATATTCACAAGATCATGTTTAATATGGCATTGATTTTAATTCTTTCTTGAGAGATTTTAGTGACTAAATGAAAAGCACTGTAGTCTATAATTTCATAACTTAGTTTGCATGTGCCTTACCCCTTATTTCAGGTAAGGAAGTGTGAGGTCGCATCGCTCTGCTGTCAACCCGAGTTATCCATTTTAAAGGGCGACCCATATTATCAATTGTCGTTGTAACATATTTCTCAGCTACCAACCTCATTTTTAATTTTTTAAATTGTACTTTTTAATCCAATACTTATTTTCACTACTTGGGTTTTATCAATCCAAATGTTCTGAGTTGATGTAAATTATACTAAAGTGACCATTTTTGATTAATTAAAGTTAAAATAATTTTAACTTTGTTTGATCACTAAGTCGCCTATCCTGTAATTCTGTTGTTTGTTGCTATGTCCAGTTTGTTGTTTGAGATATTTTTGCTAGCACTTTGTTATCAGTAAAAGACATGAACAGGCGTCTGCGTTCACCTGTTTGAGATAAGCGAGTGGCAAATGATGGTAAAGTACGTGTCTAGGTATAGTTCATATAAAGCATCACATCGTTGCCTAGTGATCCATGTTGGGGGACATAACCATCCAATTATATATTCGTAATATTCCCCATTAACTAATTATTTATATTCATTCATTAATGTTAGGTTATATAAGCAAGCAAAGGTAAAACATGAAGTTAATTGATTGACAAAGATTTGAACAATTTCGTCTCATGCAACTATCATAGTCAATAATCACCTGTTATATTTTAGCATTGATTAATTGTAAAATATTGAATATTTGTCTCAGTCATTGTATGATTTTATTGTTTGATGAACTCATGGGGTTTTACATGAGCATGCAGATAAAGTTTATAACAATTAATATTGTATGATGAACACCTTATGTTAAAGTACAAGTAGATTTCTATTCACCATGGTTCAAAAGTTTAAGCTCAGAACAACTTTTACATGCAATTCATTTCAATGATATTCCTTGCTTTAGTATATAATCGTTTTTCATGTCTAAATATACGTTTTAATTCCAAGAATCATAACATTCTGTTATTCATAGGGCATTTCATGGGCTTTCAATTGATGATTTGCGATCTCTGAATTAATTTCTTTCTTGTAGTGACGTCACAATAACGCAGATGCGAGTAGGTAGTTACCAGATTCACCACCAGGTGGCTCGTTCGGGTCAGATAGCATGGCGGGTATAGGAGAAAGTTCCCTTAAACTTAAATCACATCTGTTTTAATGATTCAATTTTCATATAACCCTTATGTATCTAATAGTTATGCTAACTGAAATATGTCCAGTAAAAGAAAATGTTATCTTTCCAATACAAGAAAAGATATTTCACTTTTTGTGATTTTGTATCATGGGGTCTATGGGGAATCAACCCGAACAAGAAGTCACATTTTCAAAAAAAATTAAATTTTCAAAGTTGATAAACAATTTTCGAAACCATATATCTAGATGTACTTTTACACGCAGATTTCAAATATGACATCACTTTGACTGAATTTTGAATATTTAATGACGTAAATCAAGATTATTTCTACTCGCACCTAGTCTATTAGGCCACTCAGCTTTAGATGTTTTATATTGAGAGATTATCTTCTATATTTCGTGCTTTATTGATTTATTTTTCACAAAAGCGTTCGATTTGACTAGATTAACATTCATGCTAAGCACATACCAAGTCTAAGATATTACTGACATGATTTAGATAGTGCTAAAGCGCCCCCCGATTTTGAAAAAAACGGGGGGCGCTTATAGGCATCGATGTTTAGTATAAATTTCACCCAAACTTCGCACATATATAGATATACTCATGATCTAGTCAAATCGGCATACCTGGTAAATATCCGACCCATGGTTTTCATAAAAGAAACGACAATATTTTTAGCTCAAAGCTGCCACGTGTCCGCCATTTTCCATCATGTCTAATATCATTTCTATATGACGTCACACCAATAAGGCGAAATACATGACAACAGTATCCATAAACAAAATACCTGAATTCTGATCGCAAAAGGTCAATTGAATGCCCATGATAATATATATTCCAAGGTATGACATGACATGATGGTAATGTATGGTAATTCAATGATGTTTTTTATATTCTATGGTAATATTCTATGGTAATATTCCATGGCATACCGTGATATTCAATATTAACCCAAAAGTATAATATTTAATGGTAATTCCATGAAAACCCCTAATATCCAATGGTAATTCCATTAAAATACCATAATATTCAATGGTAATTCCATTAAAAACCATAATATTCAATGGTAATTCCATTAAAAACCATAATAATCAATGGTAATTCCATTAAAAAAACATAATATTCAATGGTAATTCCATTAAAAATCATATTATTCAATGGTAATTCCAATAAAAAAAATTCCAATAAAAAAACATATTATTCAATGGTATAATAGCAAAACTTCTTACCTTCTCTCTCCTCTTCTTGTAGTCCAGCAAGCTCTTTCTCTTCCGAGTCACCTTCCAATTTCTCTCGGTCGCCCTCCTCTATTTCAAACACTTCCGGGGCTTGACCATCTTCTTGAATTGTGGGTAATTTTTTAACATCTATATTTAGAGAGCCGCCACTATCAGAAATTCTGCAAATAAAAATCAATGGTTAACCCTTTCCCGACGTGAATATAAGAGGAAAATGTTGTCCCCAGTGACGGATAAGTAAGAGTGTTTTAGGGGAAAACTGCAAAATACCTATGCCCTGGGACCTATACCTTGGATTTCATCACTGATATACAATTTTTAGTAAGGATTATCACATAAGAACAGCTTGTCAAAATTTGGTGTAAAAATACTGAATAGAACTGGAGATATTGTCATTTCATTGATGTATATAAATAAAAAATAATGGTGCCAAAAGGAGCCTATCGTCCTGAAAGGTATTACATAATAGGGCTCCATATGGAGCCTATCGCCGTGAAAGGGTTAAGGAAACTGGGTTGAATACATGATTTTTAGAAATTATGATGCTGATTCTGTGGGAATATTCCAGTACGCAGTTCTTGTAAGATTAAAAACAGGTGAATTTTGTATATCGGGATGGGTTCAATTTTGACATTTTATATTTTTTCTTCAAAATTGAGAAAGTGCAATGTCATTTATGAATAGCTAACATTTGATTGATTTTATATTGCTTTAACAATGTGAAGTGTCTCAACTAGAAAACATATGTATAACATATAGATTTTTGTTTAGGTTCACATCTTGGACGGTATATAGTAATTTTCAAAAGCTCTTGAAAAAGTATTTATCTATTCAATTTAAGATTAAGTGTGTATAATCGAAAAACATGCTCTATAAACTACCATTTTCCCAGGTGTGCTTTACACAAATAGTCATAATTTAAATCATGTATATAATGAGTTTTATTCATGTAAGAAGACATATATTTATTCTTTGATCTCTTGATCGCATGCAGTGTAAGAATAAAATGTTCACATTAATTCATTAAACAAGATATACATCAACCGTGTCTAGCCAAATATATAATATACAATGTACCTTCCTTTCTATCCTGTATGAATAAATAGATATAATTTGAGATTATTTTTAGATAGTTTAGCTGAACCTTCAAGAGTGTACAGTTCTCATAAGCCTAGTGTGCCATCTATGAATAAATAGATTCATATTTATAATGTACTTTTTGTCTGAAACTGAAATTATTCATGGCTTGATGATCTGTGTGGTATCGCTGATAAAAAAGACCAAATGCATTATTCTTTGAGAGGGAATAATATAACTTCAAATCTACAATAAGATTTAACAATAAAAGTTAACAAGGCATTAACATGCAAAATGTCACCACCTACCATTTGTTACAGATGCCGAACTCTGAATCCCAACCGCCAGATACCAAACCCCATTCACAAAAAAGTTAAAAACTATAACAATATGTCACCACTTTTGGAGGTGACATAAGGTAAGAGGGGTCTAATCTAAGCAGCTGTCATTTAATTTTGGTAGAAAAAAACATTTTATGACATGACCCCTAAAGCACACATCAAGTCCATATTATGTACTTACTTTGGAAGAACTAAAGTATTGCTGGTGTGGGGTCTAGACTGAGGTCTATCTGACATGACTGAGTCAACTGTACCAGGTCTCTGAAATGACAAAATGAACATGTAAAAACTGTATTTTTAGAAATATATACAAAGAGGAATAAAAAGATTCAAAGAGAAGTAAAGAGAAAGGAATGATATTTTTCACAATATGCACAGAGAAAGTATTGACTTGGATGTAATTAAAACAAGGCATTAACATACAATATGTCACTACCTGCCATTTGTTACAGATGCCAATGTCAAACACCAACTGCCAAATACTGAACACTGTCCACAAAAAAGATGGGGACTATAATAACAATAGTTATAATATGTCACCACTTTTGGTAGTGACATATAAAGATGTAATGGGAATGAAACGCTACATTTAAATATAAAGCAGGGTGTTTCATAATAATGAAAAGTATTATACATGAGACTCTGTACATAACTGTGAAATATGTCATTCAAAATACGATTATATCAATCTGAATCTGGTTTGTCTTACTTAATTTACTTACAAGTTGTTTGTCTCCAAACTGAGTTACCGGTAACTTTATAACAGCGCATTCACGCGGACTATAAGTCTCTTTTTCGTCAGTCGAAGTCTTGATTTAGAAATGAGATGCATGCAAACTTAGATTGTGACTTAAATAGAAATGAGAGATGCAATCAAACTTAGAATGAGATAAAACAGAAATCAGAGGTGAAATAGAACTTAGAATTTGGTGAAAATAAAATGAGAAATACATTCAAACTTAGAATGTGACAAAGGAAAGAGAAATATGAAAGACATCAAATATTTCTTCCCAGAAAGAGAAAGTAATCATTCTAATGTGTATTACATTTCGTGAGAACATTAGGTCAACTCACATCTTTCAGAGCATTGAGCAATTTCCCAGACCCATCCATCATGTTAAGAAACTCCTTATAGAATTTCATTTTCACTTTTCCCTCTCGGATTTGTAGCCTGCCAATCCCGTTAAAGGTGAATTCAACATTTTTTCTGCTAGCAATTGCCCTGGCTTGCGCTTGTAGGACCTCTCTAACGCAACTCTCAACTGTTTCACGGTCGAATGGACTCTCAAAAGAGAGGGCGGCATAATTGAGTTGAACCACTGGTATTGTACCTGAAATGCAACAAAATCATTACTTCATGTTCAAGAGAAATTGTGAGTCTTGGGGACCTAAAAGTTTTCCCATTGATTAAAAATTTGGGGAAAACGAGATGACCCAAAATATTATTTATTTTCCTTATGTTGCCTTTTGAGTGAATTTAGATTGACAGTAATAGAATACACAAAAACATATCTTACAGATGAGAGTATATTGCTTATATGCTTGTTTGTTTGTTTATTAGTTATATGTGATGCCATTAATAAATAAAAGACATTTATGCAATTCTATTAATCTTTTCCAACAATAAATTGTTGGCATTAAGAATAGAATTATATTCAACGCCTAGAAAAGATTTCTAAAAAGTAATTTATTATTCTGCCTTACGCTATAACGTCAAAATATCTAATAAATCAAGTGGCTTTATTCCAATGTAAAGTCTCACAATTTCAATGCTTATCCAAATATCTGGTTTCTACATAATACAGTAGAGTTACTATTTTCTTAGCAAATATTTGTAGAACAATTGTGAGCTATTCAACATACAAGATCACAGAGCAAGGAGTTGTAGACTAAGAACTGGGACTATTTGGACATGTTTTCTGACATTGACTAAATACTTAAACTTGAAATATTTTATGACTTACAAGTTACATTAAAACATGTGTTTGGAAACAATTCTGAAAAGAAACATCAAGAAATGTGAGCACTGAAGTTCAATTTTAGGATATTGATTTGACCATCAATGTTTAGTTTCTAAAACCTCTCAATGTAAACATTATAGCGAGACCCAACGGCGTTTGTTTTAGACAGGTTATATTATGTCATCTCAAACCAATACAATGGGATTAATTTCAATATTTAATTTCACTGAAAACTAATTAATTTATACCTTCAGAAATGTATTTGACAAAGCTTTACCAAAATGATTTTATGTAACTAAGCTAGAACATTGATTTGTGAATGTTTGAATTGATTAGAATCTACCTCTATTGTATTACTGAGCCAAAGTACATTGATAGTGACTCGATCGATAGACAAACAAAGCACAATTTATGTCGACTTGAATTCAGAGAAACTGAAGTGTGAGAACCCCAACATTTAGATATGGACCAGGTCAATATATCAATTTTTTCCCAAAAGTAATCAATTATGTTTCAGGTTGACCCCTCCCTCCCCCAAAAGATTAGTGGAACAATTATTCATTTTTTAAAATTAAAAGTTACTTTCTTTTAAAAATCAATATACACTATTACAAACTGCAATTGACTTTTACCTATCCCCAAATGTAACTATTTCCATTTGTGGCCAGACTTCGATTTATTGAGATGGTCCCTTAGTAATACCGTTTTTTCTATCCAATTTCATTTGAATAAAACCAAGTATAACATTCTTCAATTTCTTCATGAATTACCACAATTCATAATGGAAAGGAAATTAAGGCGAAAAACATCATGTCTCGGTATTACATTCAAATGGTTATGCATTAGAAAATGTATTATTCCCTTTGATTGAAACATGCTGAAAGCTCCCTTCACCAAGAAGCATGTGAAAGATCAATTGCAAATCAAATACTTTCCACAAATGATTTAATGGAATGAATAAAATACCATAAAATACAATGATATTGGAGAACAAATCTGGGGAGAAGCTATTGAGTAACTTGCTCCATTAAAGTAACTTTCCATGATTTCAACTAAAAATTAAAACCCTTGGAAATACTAAATATGGTTTGAGTGCCATATATAAAATTTATTTTAGAAATATTGTGGATCAAAATAAAAAAAATAAAGAATAAAAACATATTCCACCCGTGGGATTTGAACCCAGATCTTTTGGAATAAAAGTCTGGTTGAGTCCAAAGCTCTAACCACTACACCAAAGAGCCAAAGCTTCCTGACTGAAGAAATTCTTTATCTATATAATCATGGACGAAAAAAGTCTTATTTATATGCTTAAATTTCTTAGAAATGATCAGCATTACTACTTATAATAACATTTTGCACTTCTGAGTAAGTATTTTGATCTTCATTGAGGATAAATGTTGTTTTATTCAGTTTTCATTTTGGGTATGACTTCCTGTCAAAACAGTGTTAAAAATGCAGGGCTCAACAAAAAATTTCAATTAGAAAATGATATATATAATTTGATCAGCTGTTTTTGGCACCTGAACTCATCCTACTAGAAAGGTAAGAGCATTTTCTTGAGACATATGGCTCGAAATCTCATATTTCTCCTTCTAAGTCTTAGAAAGACACTTTAAGTGATCATTTGCAAATCTTTTTCGTATCTCACCGCAAGAGTCTATTTTCGAGATTGATTTATTATCAGAGCAAGGATTTTGACAACAGGCTTGCTTGCTGCCCCTTTCTCATGATTTCTCATTTCTAACCAATGAGAAAGCAATAATATGAAACCAGGAATAAAATATAGTCCCTTTAGCGAGTAGTAAAAAATCAATTGCAAATCAAATGCTTCTCTTATTCTCTCCAATTGATAAAAATGAAAATGCCTAAAATAACTGATCATTCCTCAGGAAAAAAACAGGTGGCTTACTTCATTTCATAGAGCTCATTATTATTTGAAATTGATTCAATTAAGGACAAGGGGTTTCAATAGAACTTGCTTGCCCATTGCTAATGAAACTCTTATGATTATATTTTTGTCCCTTTGTTTTCTCATGCTTACCAATGAGAAATCAGAATAGATATATAACTAGGGATAAAATATTGTCTTACCTGATATATGGTACTTTGTGTAGTTTAGGCCATGAGTCTGTGCAAACTTTTCAGACACTTGGAAAACTGGTCTTTGTATGAGAATATATTTGTTGTTTCCTATCTCTAGTTTTTTCTGTGTAAATGTAAATATTCCGAGGCCTGGAACATTGACGCCCTGGAAAAAATAAAAATTATGGCTTTATTTATGCTTATACTGAAATCAAAAGTGATTTAGTTATAAATACGAGAGCTAATTAATAGTACTGTATGTTCACATTTGAAATACTACTTACATGTAATTTATGAAATGAAGCATTTAAAGCCTTTAAAGTATACATTTTACAGAATCTGGTATTATTCATAGGTTCATACAGAGACATATACATTTATATATCTGTGGTTCATGGACTTCAAGTCATTAATTAGCATAACTTTTTAAGTTTAGATAAAGTGAATAAATCAATAACTAACCTTTTGCTGGCCCATGTGTTTCTCAATGAAACTAGAAACATTTTCCCAAACACTGCAAACATCTACAAAAAATTGTAATGCATTATAATTAATAATTTCATCATGTGAGATATTTCTCATAACTTTTGACGGAAGGAATACCTATGGGCCCTCAAGATATTGAAAGCCCATGGAGTACCTCATCACTTTTTAAGATCTTTCAACATGTCATTATGTTCCTAATCAGACAATTAAAAACATTATTTTTGTTTGCTGAATGTACCTATTAAATAGGTCTAGCATGATATCTTTGGTTATCAATTCAGCAGCTCAAATCACACCGCGTCATACTATGGGCTTCCTTAGCAAAACCCCTCCGGTAGAGTTATCTACTCCTCATATCTATTGTGTCATAGCTCTGACAAGACAGATATGATTTGACATAGGGAGAAGGTAACTCCATCTGAGTTTCGCTAGAGCGCTATGTGAGAAGGTTTGGCTAGAGCGCCATGATGAAGTAGATATTGCCTAAGGTTGATCTGTGATACTTTCAAAAACTTAGTAATCTATTAATAACAATTAAATGGATAGAATGTTCTCAATATATCTAGACTTAATATATAAGTTGAAAACATGAAACTGAAAATGAAAATTGAACTTGAAAATGAAAAAACAAAGCTCACCATCTTCAGATATTGAAGATCCAATCGTAGTAAATTTGTTTTTCTTGGCCTCTGAGACCAACCCTTGCATTTGCTCTGTCATCGCAGGATACAGAGTATCCTCTTTTACAACTTACGCCACAATTATTATCATAAATCAGTTTCTGGACGGGAAATTTTGAACTTTCATAAAGCTAGCCTAAAATGTGGCCAAGGTTTCCACAGCAGAGCATCCTCGTTACCAGGGAGATCCTTGCATCTGATTGGACTAGAATTTTTGACGTCACAACATGGATGACTATTCAATAGTAACAGAAAAAGTATAGCTTATATACTTTTTCTTAGTGTCTAATTATAGGAATAAATAATCATACTAAAATAATAATTGGATGAAATAAATTATATTTTTCAAAATTACAAAGGATTTTGGATCAAAATTGTCAAATAAAAATATAAGTATTAAAATATGTAGTAGGAATTGTCATTGTCATAGTATGAAATTCTGAAAAAATAAATTTCTACACGTGAAGATGGTTTTACAGCGAATAATGTAAGTTTTACGCATCATTTTAATGTAAAAGTAAGGCTTTTGATGCAATTTTTAGATTGTCTTGAAAAGATAGTAAAATGTTTTGAATTCAATGAATACTTCACCAAATATTATGTTTTGAAAAATATAGTGGGCGATAATTGTATTTCAATATTCGGCAATATTCATTTGTAGATTTGTAGGCGTACAAAATGAGCATTCTCAGAGCAAATAGCAGTATCATGTGGAAAAATAAATTCATATTAGTAAATGAAAACACAGAATGAAATTCTGCCGTAAGGGCTTAGTATGTATCCAACAGACCGAATATAATATTCGGTCTGTTATGATTGATATATTTCCTGTGGAAATCTCGGTGATATTTTTTGCACATAAATTTCTCGTTTATTACAAGAATGTTCACCTTGACAATTGGTGAATATGTTGAAGAGATGTTCATCTTAAACTAGAAGCAAAAATATTTGTATAAGGCGGGTACAAGTTGATATAAAATAATGAAATGTTCAGACTCACCAAAACTTCAGGATGTGTTTATAAGTACATCGCGAAATCAATGTCAAGGACGTTTGAGTTCACGAGATCCAAACGAGATATGCAAATTTTGAACTTTGACAACACATGACCACTTGATTACCTCGGCCTTCTTCATGAATATTTCCGCTCTATTTACTATAAATGAAGAAAATTAATCGGGATAATGATAATAAATGACTAGATCTAATAAATTCCCGCACAAATGGAATTTATCAACACGCTTCCGTCCGCTCCACGTGTTATTTGTTTACAAATAGACTGACGTCACTGGCTAAATCTCGTTTATCGTGAGAATTGGCATTGCCAAAATGGCTTGACCTAATCAATGGCTTCGCTACAAGAAGCGTCTGTACATTTTATGAATATCTTCAGTAAGAGGACAATATACGAAAAAATAATATTGTAAGTACTTTATAAGGTAATCATTTTATCATTTAACAAACTTATTTGTAACATTTATACAACACCACATTTTACAATAGGTGACTTACAGTCTGAATATTTATTCAGACGAAGGATACAGTCTACGTAAGGGCTGGTGTGAAAAAGTTAGTCCCCTTATAACCACGATCAAACCCACGACCCCTCGCTTTTCGGACGAGTGTCCTACCACTTAGCTGTGGAGCCGACTGACTCTACCACATCAACATTGCATACATAGCATTGCAGCCATGTCTTACATGCCCAGTTACCTGGACAATAAAAGTTACCTGTCTTTCCAGGTTGTCAATCATTCTATCCTACGGATCATTCCCCTAAGGAGAAATAGTATTAGCTAATGAAAACACAGAATGAAATTCTGCGCTAAGGTCTGATGTAAAAAAGTCAGTCCACCATAGTGAGGATCGAACCCACAACCCCTCGCTTTCCAGATGAGTGCTCTACCACTGAGCTACAGATGTATTGAGCCAACTGACTTTTTCACCTTTCCAATGGATCATTCCCCCATTGTCTTACATGAATCCCAGTTTCCTGGATCCAGTATAAGTTACCTGTCTTCCAGGTTGTCAATCATTCTATTCATGATGAAAGTGCAGTATCATATGGAAAATTAAATTCATATTTTACACACAAAACATTTGTCTATAGGTGTTTGTCTATCATGTGTGGCGTACTTAACCGACCTGCTGACTTATTTTCTATTGCTAGATCTAGTCTACTACTCAAATACCAGGTCAACATGTCGAACTGTGTTGATCACTGCATTGACGATATCAGAAAAAATCATTAAAAATAAAAAGCTTTTTCAATAACGGATGTGCATTTTGGGTGTCTTTTTTGTTAATTCTGCAGCGGGAAATTGCGTTCAGTGTACAAGACTTTGTACGGGAAGTGAAAATAAACAGAAAAAAGATTTTTCTCTCCTTTTTACCACTATTTGGGTTTCTTACAGAATTTACACAGGGTGTTCAATAAGTATTGCAGATTTTGACATAACTTGTTCTCTAGATAGGTCAGTTTGAGTTTTGATTTTGATTTTTGTGAACTTCAGCAAGCCGAAGAACCAGAGGGTGAAGAGGGTCCTTGAGAAGAGACAGCCCCAGGTGCATGAGAATACAAAGCAGGCAATGTTCATTAGGGGAGGACACACCAGTGAGACTGTAACAGAAGCTCTTAAAGACTTAGTAAGAAATATGTTTGTGTTATGGAGCTGTACTTCAGCACAGGTTGTTGTGAAAATCCTAAATACCAGCATTATAACACATGTTTATACACTTTATAAACTGATCAAGTCATTTAGGAGCTGCAGTTTTGTGCGATACTTTGTCAAGTATAATAACAATGCAAAACAAAATGAAAGAATGAAGAAAGAAAGAAAGAAAGAAAGAAAGAAAAGAAAGAAATGAAAAATAGTAATGATTTAATCATAAATTAGTATCAATTATTAGAAATCTAGCTTGTTTTCAATGAAGAATTACATCTCGCTTTCCAACTCTACTTTCCAGCCTTAGCACAAGACTCTTCCATGAAGAGAAATGAATGGTGCATTCAGGCCCGTAATCAGGTTTTGCCAATGGGGTTCACTCACAAAAATTTCAGGGGAGTTCACTTTTGACAATTTTGGTCCAAAGATGGCTAAATCACTTAAAAAGTGCTCAGAATGGTGAAAAACTGCATGATTTTGAAAGAATTTTTGGCCAGGGGGATGTTCGCTCGAACCCATCAAACCCACTCTGGCTATGGGCCTGGCATTGTTAACAATAAATATAATTCTTTGTTGTATTTTTTGTTTACAGTACAGTTTAAAGAAGACAGATTCAACAATGCTACAAAAGTAAGTAGATGTAACACACATGTAGTACTATCATTTAACACATTCACCTTGGTATCAAGATTGATGGAAATGTTAACGTGGTCCCTACTAGCATGCAAGCTTACATGTTATGTGTTAATTGGCATGATAACACTCTCTACTTGGCTCACCTTAAGTTATAAAATATTTTTGCTTAATATACTAAATTTGAATAGTGTCAATATCAAAATTCCCATGCTTATGTCAATATAACTTATCTGGTTAGACCAAGCAGAGAAAAAAGTATCGGTAGGAAGACCTACCTTTGAAGTTGAGTTTACCTTTTTCATGGGCATCCTTAATTGCTTCATATAAAATTATTGACAGAATTTGAAATGAAGAAAAATAGCATTCTGTTTTGACATTTCAGAAAAAATATCCTGAGACCATTTGAGGATATGACCAGTCTAGAATTCTTCTCCAGTAAAAATGATGCATCACTGTTTATGTTCGGTTCTCATCAAAAGAAACGACCAAATAATTTAGTCTTGGGTGAGTATCCTGCTCTCTGGAATATTTAATTTGGAGAAACATTTTTTGCAAAAATATGAATTTCAAAACCTGCCAGTAGCCTGTTATGTAGATTCAAAAATTGTTTTCACCATTATTCATTTATAACTCACAATATAGGGTGCTGTAAAAGTTCATAGAATTCTGCATTATTCTAATTTATTATGAATATTCACTAAAACAGAAGAGACGAGAATTTGTACCAAACATCACTTAAACGAGACTGATTTTGTTTTGTTTTAGGTCGGTTCTTTGACCATCACTTACTAGACATGGTAGAACTTGGAATTGACAAGTTCAAGTCTATGGCACAATTCAAGGTGAGACATGTTTTGTATTATAATCCACTTCAGGTAATTTCTGTTCCATGTTGTTGCACCTCATCCTCAAAGACATGGTATACCTGGCTAGATACCATTGCTTTATAATACATGTACAAGGGGCGATCCATATATTCTGATAAAAATGCTCTCATTTTTATCATACATTTCAACATGTAAATTATTGCAAAATTGCATGGTTGTATTATTACTGCACATTTCGTGTTTACAAAAGTTGTGCATTTTATTCATGTCCCTAGAATAAGTGTATAGCTCTGTTACATTGTCTACTTAAAGATAAATGTAAAGTATTGCTGACAATTCATATTTATCTTTCTATGGCAATACTTTCATGGTCTTTTTTGCTTGAAGAGTTATTTTGTTTAGTTCTTTGAAAAGCATTATAACATTATTTTCCTTACACAGTTTGTCATTGTATTCTATCTAAAATCCATAATGGAAGCAAAGATGCTCATTCTTCGAAATCGCAAAGCTATTGCATCAAACATAACTATATTGGTTGAAATATATGCTGCACTGAAGAATTTACATTTTGCCAGGTATAAATTTGAATCATTTAATTTCATCGAATAATTCTTCCATTTTCATTATATTGTTATTATATTACATTTTCATATTGTTATTATTGCTATTACATTTTCATATTGTTATTATTGTATTTCAGTGTGACAAATGTGCCACAGGGACTAAACCATGTCTGTTGTTCTCTGGAGAGGCATTTGACACTGACCATGAATACAAAAGACTGAAGAACATGCTTATAGGTAAAAACACATTCTTATATATTGAGTCCAGTACACTAAAGACTAATTTCATGTATTTAGGGAGTGTAGCATAATTATGAATTGAAATTTGAGGTGAAAATATGAAATTTGAATAAGGAATATGAGGCTTTATAAAAAAGAATATATGAAATATTCAACCTCCCCCTATGTTTTCCTTGTCAGTGTAATTCTTACCGATTTTCTACTTGTATCTACTGTATAATTCTGCAGAGACCATTACCTTTTATGTAAATTTATTTATTTTTTATGTAAATTTATTTTTTATTTCAGATTTCTTTCGAGGACCTACTGTTGAAAACATCCGTTTAGCAGGACTTGAACATGTTTTGAATTTCACAGTGGCAGATGGGAAACTCTACATACGCAGTTATAGGTGCTTAAAACATTTTGGGAGAGTTATATCATATGATTATCTTGTAGAAATGCTTCGGTGTAACATTCGGTGTATATATGTGGAAAATCCTTTTCTGAAAATGGTACAAGACACCAGCTGCCTATGGTACATAAGAGGTTCTGTGTCGAAGAGTAGGAATTTTCTAAAAAATCATCCATTCATTCTTACTCTGATTTCTGAGATCACTTTCTTTGTGATAAATAGTAATTGAACCATCTATGGGTTGGAGTACCTTTAGAATGTAAATGTTCCCAAAATGTTCAAGAATGTCATTATAATTCTCATGATAATGTAAAAAATCTGTCCATGTCTTATTTCTCTGTCACCACCAAGAAGTGGATGGTGTTCTCCTTTCAGCAGTTAGCATCATCAAATTGTTACATTTTTTGATTGCAACCAGGTGGTGATATTTAGTTACGTTAATGTCTTGTTAAAATTGAGCATTTTTATTATTTTTCCAGAATCCTCTTGAAAAAATCTGGAAGTAGGACTCCCCGAATTGAACTGGAGGAGATGGGACCTTCTCTTGATCTGACCATGAGACGTACTAAACTGGCCTCTGCTGACCTCTATAAGACCGCCAGAAAACAGCCCAAGACAGCAAAGGTATGGTTTTATGCACTTCCGAGGCAGGGCTCCCCCACATTCAAATACATGTACCTAAAATGCTACACAACAAAAATTCCAACAATCCCTGCTCACAATAATTACAACTATTAACTTGCTCATAAATTATAACTAAAAATGTTTTCTAATTCATTTTCACTTCATACTTTCATTTGTATACTTCAGCCTAAAAAGAGGAAGAATATTTCCAAAGATGTGTTTGGCACCAGACTTGGTAGAATTCATATGGAGAAACAGGACATGACTAAATTACAAACCAGAAAAATGAAAGGACTAAAAAGAAAACCTATCGCAGCAGAAGATGACTCTGAAACGGGGAAGAAATCAAAAACTTCTGAGCCATCTGATGAAAACTAAGGCATTATTGGTAAATTCAAGGAATATCTGTGGATAAAGTGTTATTGTGGTTACACTTTGAAATATATAGATTGAAAGTATTGCATCTTATACCTATATATGGTACAAGGAATGTATGTGGGATTTTAGACTAAAGCATTCAATCTAACTGCCCTGAACATTTTGGAATTCATCAGTTTTGGAAAGAATGTCTAATCAATGCAATGAACTGTACCCGCATATCCCAGTTTACATGTTTAACCATGTTTCAATATGAGCACCAACTTTCAAATTCCACTGAGATTCCATTCCCTCATATGTAGTTCATACAATTCTGACTTAGAACTGAGAAATGCAGAAATAAAAGTTTTTCATTACTAGAACAGAGATTTTATAGTAACAAAAAATGTCAGAATGAAGAAATTCAAATTACTTGGGAAATCAATGAATCTGGCATTTGGAATTGATGTATTTTATACAATATTACTTTAATTGAATGCTCTTACAGCACTGTAATTCATTTGTTTCTTACATCATAACAAATTCAAAGGTTGAATTTTAACCAACATGTTTATTGTGCCTTACACGTATCCATAATAGACATTCTCTACAATATCTTTGTAATGTGAGTCCATATATAAAATAAAATCAAGCTGGATTTCTAAAAAACGATAACTGTAATGTGTTTTCATGCAACAGTACTACAGTATATACTGTATTTGGCCATAGCTGATACAGTATTTGTACATAAGATGTCTATATACAAATAACAAGTATCTGCAACCAATAATATTGAAAACCTCATAGCATAAAAAGTATTAAAACTGATACTAGAATACATAGTATGTATAGTATTGCCATCTATCAGATAAAGGACATTCTATAGCTGTAAAGTATGATTGTTACATTCTAATCATGTTCTGAGCAGAGTTTTGTTGTAACATTGTCAGAAATTGGGGAATATACAAAGAATATAATAAAAAATATATTAACTAATAAACATATAGGAGAACTGTACATTGATATATTTTACAAGCATTTCCTTCTCATGAGTCTATACTATTTAAGCACCTTTCTGATAATGATATTTACATATTTTTAAATACACCAGCGACTCAAGCAATGAGATCCACCTGAGTACACTGAAAGCTTTTGGTTTTACAAAGAATAGAAGGATACCTGATAAAGATCCTTGGACATCAGCATTTGATTAATACATTCTGGGTCTAGATCTCATTGTGAGAATCTTCTCTATCCCATTACAAAGCCACAATGGTGTCTATGCTTAAACAAGCTAAGAGTGGTGATATAAAAGCATTTTATATTGGGATATTTCGATTTTTCTTTTTATTCATAATATCTTCAGACACTATTTCCAAAATATCATTCTGCAAAATATTAAATGCAATATTTGATCATGTTCACACCTATCCTTGCCAAATTCTCTTACAATATTCTCCAATGATGCACATTGTATTACTCATGTATTTTTCTAACAAAAAACAAAATATTCATAGCAAAATATTCTTACAACCTAATGTACAAGAGTTGGATAGATCTATAAAACTCTTAGACCTGTGATACTCATTGTCATTGCAAAGGTACCCTGGGGGTATCTATCTGAGGATGAGTAAATTTTGATTTTAATGTTGCGTGTAAAGAAGTGCTGTTAATGTTACTGCTGCTAGAGATGTGATCATAAATGTTTGAGATTGTATGGCTTGTGCCCCACCAGCAGTCTGTTGGCCTGATCTTGGACCACCCCCACCTCCTTGTTTAGTACTGTAGTAACGTCCCAGGAACACATTCCTGCAAAGAAAATAATTTTGTTTCAGCATAATTGGTTTTTGCTATGCATATACAGGGTGTCCAAAAATATTGTACCAAGATAAAATAACTCTGTGAGTGATGAAGGAATATTCCTGATATTTGGTCACCTGACAGATAATTTCACAATTATAAAGATCTGAAAGTTTCATTAGTTAACCCATAATAGAGAAAAACTTGTTTTAGTACATCAACAACAACAATCTTTCAAGAAAATGATATCCAAATCATCCACGCTTTGCATCTTGAGGTATTGGCATTATAATTTGGAAAAATGTACTGAATGAAGTTAAATGGTATATATTTATTTACCTGTAGCCACTTATGATATGCCTGAGACCCCTAGCAATGTCACGATTTGGTCCAAAGTAGTTACTCGCCTCCATGGTGATCTCAGTGATCAGATTGTGGTTGAGTACTTTAAATGCTGTCCCTCCCACTGATGTGTACAACTGAAATATATTATTGATTTTTGAAACATGGTTTGTAATGAATTGCATCCACATCATAATATAAGTCATAGATAATGAAGGTATTAACAGGCAAAATGCCACCGACTGCCATTTGTTACAGACACAGAACGCCAAATGCTGAATGCAGAACACTGTTCACAAAAAGTCGGAAACTAACAATGTGTCACCTCTTGTGGTGGTGACATAAAATAATGATAAATAAGATAAATATGAGTACAAAAGTGAATATATTCAAATTAGTCCTATTACTTCCAATTAGACTCTGGCAGAAATAGTTCAATAACTTATTAGTCGATAGAGCAATCCACAAGATAAATCAATGTAAACTTACCACGTTGTCATTCAGGGAATAGAATATGACAATATCCTCCTCACATCTACCATAGTTCCAACGTCTAATTTCTAGAATACTCGCAAATAACTTGCCATCATTCAGCCTTGTGTGCACATCATCATCTGCGCTGAAATATCAAATACTGATTTTAAGAAATCTCAAAATGCTTTTAACTCATCCATGATGTATAACAGATCTTTTACATGATGAAAAAAAAAAAAGCCTACATTATGAGTTACTATGAGTCTATGATGTATCAACAATTCAACATTGATCACCTATATGGTAAAATAGATGACCTGCGTTGTAAATGAGATGACCTACATTTCACACAAATGACCTGTATTCTGCAATAAATGACCTACATTTTACAATGGATGATCAACACCGGTACTGTGGCTTATACTTACTCTTTGTCTGTTTCTATAGCAGGAACCAAGGCAACAGATATAGTGTATCCAAGTTTGTTCCGTATACACTCCCATTCACTACATGGACATTTGGTACCATTACGGGTCTGACCAATCAGAACATCAAGCTGGTTAGCTGAAAGTGTAGTTTTGAAAATAGTTATTTTGGTTCAGTCAGTATGTTTATTATTTTGATTTCAAATAGAAAATGAGATCCCTATGTTTTAAAATATTCATTTTTAATTGAAATATGCATTTTGAAGAAGTTTTTGGTTAAAAATTAAAGTCCCCGTCTAAAGTTTGAAAATATTTTTTTATCATTCATTTACTATTTGTCAGGACTTAAAAAGCGATTTTAGAGATTTTTGAACAAAAAAAAAATTTATGAAAAAAAAGTGAGCATTTCATTTCTCAAATATTCAAATTTCCCGCCATTTTTCAAAAAAAGTTGAAATTTCTTAATCATCAAATATTTCTCAATGCATTTCAAAAAAGATTATCTTTTTCACACCAATGCAAAGATTGAACAAAAGACACACTATTTCAATAATAAAATGTCATATTTAATGGGCCACTTCAATGTTTTAGCTTATCAAAAATATTTTGAAACAATAGTGATGTCACTAAGGTAACAAAAACTTTTTGAAAAAAAATGAATTTTTTTTTCGATGTCAATCTTTTTTAAATATGCTAGACTTTCATAAAAAACAATGTTGATTGTCTAACCAAGTTAAAAGGAAGAATAAATTATGTTTTAGATATCATTGTACAATTGGTTTCTATGAGAACTAATATTTTGAAATGCATTTTTCTCAGAACCATTTTCATGCACTGATAAGTTCATTGTCTCGCTTGTTTATCAACCGATTTTTTTTCGGCAAATGCATTGGTATTGGTATAAATTGTGGCTAATTAGAAGATATGCGTGACCTCTAAAAGTTGGTTTTAAATAAATTCACAAATTTTGGAACAAAAAGTCTATCAAAATCCACTTTTTGAAATTTAAAAAAAAAGTTTCACATATCACACTTTGATAACATTGGGTAAGACTACAATATAAGCCAAAGTGGTTTAAACTTTACATGGGGCCTTTCACTGTGGTGATGGCACTTTTTTTAGTTGTCTATGGACATTAATTTTTGTTTTATTTAGGGGTAGGGCAGATCGCGACAACAGGGGCATCCCGCTAAAGTAGGCGGGTCACCCAAGGGCAACCTGTACCCCTGAGAAATTCCTCTCAGAACTTTGCTGAGGAGCCAAGCATTACCAAGGCTCGTTATTTTCCTTACTCATTAGTTTAAGGCATGGTTACTTATGGGTTTATTGAGCTTTTTATACTTTATGATTTTCATAACATTTGGTGTTCTACAGTTAATATTAGTAATACTTCTTCAGGACCATTTCTCGGATGGACGTTCAATACCTTCCTATTGACCCATTTTTCTATCAAATATAAATCACTTCTTATTTTGTTATCTTTGTTTTTGAGAGACACTTTTGTTATGAATTGTAATTGTATAAAGTAATTAATTAGCTAAATCTTTCATTTGTTATGTCAAATTGAAACAATATTTATTCCATTTGAAATAATTAATTTTATTTTTAATAATCTATATATAATGTGAGTTGATGTTACCCAAGCATTTATTTTCTTTATCACTTAGTGCATGGTAATACTAATTAATGCTGCTATAGGGATTAAACTAAATAATTTGTTGCCATGGCGAAAATGATCTTGATACGATTAGCGTTATTGCAAGGTTTACCTGGTAAATAATGGTTCTATCTTTGGCTAAAACTAGTAACAAGTGATAAGAACCTGGAATGTACCTATCAATTCTCCGTGGTTACGAATCCGTTACCATAGCAACCAGAATTCATACGGGATGAGATGTATGTAAACACGCAAAAATAGAACTGAATCACATTTTGGTTTCCTTTTGTTTTGTGAAGTGAATGGAAGTAAATAAATTTTATCAAGATTAATAATAGTATAATAGTACCAATAATAGTCTATTATGTTTGACCTCCCCCCCCCCTTTTTTTAAAATGTATCGCCCACCTTCTTCATATGAGATAATGTTTGCTGGATCACAAACCCACGAAGATGCCTTATTTCTCCTGCCACACAATCGTGTCTCATTTCTCATTTGTGGACGGGGGAACTCTGACCGGTGCCATGCTTCCTTGTCCTTCTTGGGGGAGTCTTGGGCCAGTGTGGACATACACACGGCAAGAAATGCCCCTACTATCAGTAAATGGTTCATCTTAAGTGGTTATCCTAATACGGTAAATGAGATTCCTGAAAATATTAGAAATCATTGTAAACATGTATGATTGTAAATATGTTAAAACGTTTGTTCCGTCCACCTGTCCAAAGGTTTCGTCTCTTGGGGATTTGTACACACCCACCTTCCCCGTCAACTATGATTTACGATATAAAAAACACACTTATCTCACGTTATATGTATTTTTATCAAAGAAAACCTTCCACTCAAAAGGTAAGTTCACTTACCAGCGATAACATGTGAAATACCTTGCACTGGCATGTCAGATGTAACCTTGATCCTATACATAAACTATCGTTTATTGAATTAATCATTGAAGTCATTAATATCTCTATTTCTTCACTATGCTTTGATTAAGTTGCATTTTACAACATGTTATATTTATTCCTGCAAATTCCGCGCCAAACATTGATATAAAAGCATGTAATTCTATGTACTGACAGGTTAGACTGCACAGATGCTACCAAGGGCTAGGACATTTTAGTTTTTCGCCATCATTTTGGATGAGGTTTATACTGATGCATTCTGATACTCATCTTTCTGCCTTCAACTAGAAATATCCTTCTAGAAAAAAGGTTATAGAAGGCCATGATTTCTCATGATGATACTGATGATATTTAATGAACTTTATCATTATCTCATTAAGGGTTATAACACATTCATTCGTGTATTCATTCATATATACATATGATCTATTGTTGCTTGCTCCATCGATTGAAACACATATTGACTCAATGCTTTGTTTTGCTTTTCCATTTCTAAGTTCTAAACACGTTTCTGGATTATTGTTTACGTAATAAATGGTTCACTTTCTCCGGTTTTATATGTTAAATGTATACAACATTTTTATTTAGGTTAACATACGTTGTTTTTGATTTTTGAAATATTGCCCATGGTACTTTCTCTGAATGTGCTTTCTCAAATGTAGCTTGGCAAATAAATAACATGAGTTTTGATTTATTTGACTTGTATTTTGATGAAACTATTTAGAGAGTGCCCTTGATGACTGGCTCACCTCCAAGTGTACAATAAATACTGAAATACCTGGAAGGTTTACATACAGCTGAAAGAATCATCTTCTATAAAAAATATCAGCTGTATAGCAAACTTCGCCGCGGTTTACTCAACCTCTGATGCCCTTATTTTTGTATTGGTAAATCTAATGTTAAAGTACTGTTGTATGTTTTATTTGAAAAAATCAGTCATTAATGGAGTAATGGTGTAAGTTCTATATATCATTTTCATTATCATCAATCATTATCAATTAGTTTTTTCACATTTTTAATAGTTTATCTGAATTTTTCAATAGTCGTCTTACATGAAGACTTTGGACCCCCTCCCCGTTTTCATCTTGATTCTCAAGGTTTTAGTTGCTCCAACTTCACCTTGTTATAACCACTTGGAATTCGAAGATGCTCCGTTTCCTTATCTCCATCTGTGGATGTTTGAGAGAGCTCAATTAGCAAGACCAAGAATTTGAGTGAATGATTAAAAAACATTCAAAATGCAAAATGAATGTATGTCAAACCTTATATTTTGTCAAGTCTCTTGCCACACAATCTACTTCACCGCCACCGCCTTATGGCTCAGATGAGGTGTGTAAGGGAGGGGGTGGTGGTAAAGGGCTTGAAGCAAGACGTTCACCAAACACGTAAACAGGTGAAGGAAGTTGAATGACTGGACCTCATACACATGTTCCCCAAGTATGAATATTGTGGAAGATATTTGGGGAAGTTGTGTTGATTTGTAACAAAATGAGAAAAATAATTAAAGGCTCTTTCCAGAGGTACACATTGAACTTATCCATTCTTGAAACTGATAATTAAACAAGCACTCGTGATTCATCTTACTTATCTGAGATGGGTAACTATATGAAACTACTGAATGGTCGTCCTTAAATAAATATACTTTGAATGTTTTGACATACGTGGTGTGTTAATTTATGAAACATGTACTTGTCCTGCCTGAGGTTAACTGATATTATTTTTATACACTTCGATTATGAACTGCACATCTGTTGATGGTCACCACTGGTCATATGGTTGATACAGTTAGACCTGTCTGAGTGAACACCTCTCTCAGGTGAACAACTATGTCTAGTGAACACCCTTCTCAGCACGTGAACACATTTTTGTGACTTCATAGGTGTTCACTGTATACAGGTTTTGCTGTAGTTAACGTAAAAAACAAGTACACAAATATTTATCTGTTTTATATATAATTCCAGAGGGAATTTTATTGTCCCCCCTCCCCCAATAGTTTGAATTTGCTTCTTTAAAAGAAACCTTCATCTACCTAATAACAAGGCTCTGAAACTCCTACCCCCCCCCCGGTTATCCAATATCGCCTTTAAAATAGGAACTGCATTAAAAACACATGAGATCCTATCTTTACTACCCAACATATACTTTTGACCTTCTCTCACTGATAGACTTTTTGTTTATGAGTAAGTTTGTTTCTATTGTTATTGTTTAATTCTCGTCTTGTAAGAACTTTTAGCAGCGCCACACTTGTTTTCTGAGGGTGAGCCTGCCGTATTCAACTATATCCTCATATTCCACTTGAACCAATCCCAGTCTCCCATAACGATTCATGTATCCGAAATAATTCCTCCGGAGTCTTTCAATCTCTCTACTTACCGTTTTTATGAATATAATATCAAACGTTGATTCCAGTTCAGCGACCGATATCCAAAAGTACTCAACTGTTTCTTATATTCAATCCTCACATATCTTTTCATAGAGAGTGGGCGATTTAGTCTGTTTTAACTCCGATTCGATCGTACTTTGCCGCTGCTTGTGGTTATAAACGGATTGAGGTAAACAAGAGAGGAAATGTTTAGTATGAATTGCTATTCTATATTAGCACCAAACTACACTATGAACGCTACTCCTACTTAAACATATAAGTTCAACTATTGCCGGCTTGTACATCCTCGTTAAATCAACATTTCAGTTGAATCAGTCATCTTAACTTTTTATAAAAAGTTTCATGCTGGCATTGAACAATAAAGCATTTACTTTTGTATTTTGTATAAAACGAATCATAATGCTATTGATAGACACGGCAAATTGTGATTTTTGTGTAAGCGTGAAAAAGTACTTTTAGATTTTTCCTACCCTGCGCGCAGTCTAGTCATAAAGTACCTTTATCAAGACGAAGCTCTCTTTTAAGAAGCGTAGTCAAACGAATGCAAAGGGTAGATTTTTCCAAGTCCATCTTCACGATTTAAGAGACTCTTGGTTTTGTTTTTGTCTCTTTGTTTGTCTGTTTGTTTGTTTGTTAGATTGATTGATTGATTGTTTGAAAATACATTTTAGTTCACTTCGAAGTACACTTTCATATGAAAAACTGCTAAACTAAAACACCAGGAAACAAAATATATTTCAGTGAGACGATAAACTATAGTTTTAATTCATTAATACAAATATGTATTCTAAGTATCAACATTTAGATTAAAAAAAACATTTAGAATATAAGGTTAATAGATTCAGTTCAACTTGGAAATGCAATTATTATTCAGTTGGTGATAGATTTGTTCCTCTAGTTCTATAGAAGCCTTTGATTAGTTTCTCAACTCTGGCGTATTGTCTGCTAGGTTTCTCTAGGGGCATCCTCTCAACGAGACGACCATACGCTGATGAGGACAACACGGGGATCGTTCGTGACGACTCCTGGAGAAAGATCAATTGATAATAAATAAATAAATAAAATAAATAAATAAACATAATTATTCGTTAATAAAGTCTAGGATGAAGCAGAGACACATAAAACATGTTTTATATGTCTCTGAGGAAAGGAAATTCTAACGTTCAATTCATAATTTTTGCCACTTTTTGAGTTCGAGATATTTTGGAAAATTCAAGTCTAATTCATCCCTACATTTTGGTTAATTTTCCCAAAACAAATGCTCATCATTTCTGCAGTACAGTAGCGCTATTTTTAAAATGAGGTAAAAAGTTAAGCCCGCAATTCCAAGAGCCTATTTGCTTTACTAACTCTTATGTTCTACCTCTGAATGGACATCTACACTTAGAAGTCCTCTTCTGTCGTCTCTGTGTATCCTGCTATCGTAACCATGTTGGATGTGAAACATTCTATCGTAGGTTGACGTTTCTTCATGCTGAAAATAAAATTACATATTTCAAAATGGTTAAAATTAACAATTATTCAGACAAGCGGTTTTATTTCCATTGTAAAATTTGAAAAGGATGAGAAAAATTCAGAATGATTTTTAAAGTTGCACGAAATGATAGGAGAAAGTGACGTTGTAGAATATTTACGTGAAAAGGCATGTACGTAATCCATCTCCTCACAGTGAATAATAATCACCTCCCCCTCCCCCTTATCCCGTTGCACTGGATAGTCCCCCCCCCCCCCCCCCCCCCCTATTACTATGATTGTAGAGTAGAGGGAACTTGCCACTAGTCGTGCCCTTTGCTTCCCCAGGGATTGAGCCATCGTTGAGGTAATTACTCAGATGCGAGTAGGTAGTTACCATTTTCGCCACCAGGTGGCTGATTCGGGCGAATTAACATGGCAGGGTATTACAAAATTCCCTTAAACTTGAATATGCATCAGTTTTAGTGGTTCACGTTTCATATTACCCTTATGTATCTGATATTCATACAAATTAGAATATGTCCAAGAAAAGAAAATATTATCCGCCCAACACAAGAAAAAATATTTCACTTTTTGTGGTTTTACAACATGGGGTCTATTGGGAATCTCCCCGAACTAGAAGTCACATTTTCAAAGAAGATTAAATTTTCAAAGTTGATTAACTCTTTTCAAAACCACATTTCTAAATGTAATTTTACATGTAGATTCCAAATATGATATCAGTTTGACTGAATTGTGAATTTTTAATGACGTAAATCAAGATTAGACCTCGCCTGCCTCCAAACTAGCCAAGCCCATGGATGGTGTGATATAAAATACAACTACCGAGCCCGGGTTTGAAAATAGAAAATAAGTACAGTTTCGTACAGTGCACCCAGCGTAATCCCGCTCACGCCTCACTTCCGGATAGTGAAACTGACAAAATAATATAAATATATTCTGTGATTCTCACTAATAGTGACTGTTTTATTTAACATTTGATATTCTGACAGATACGGGATATAACAATGTTTCCGGAACTTCAAGAAATTATCGATTTGGACCTAACTTCACTCCGAAATGGCAATCTGATTTTGATGTCAGAAAATGGTTTGGATGCCAGTTTCTTGATCCATCATTTCCTCTCATATTTCTTGAAGAATAAGTGTAATGTATGTTTTGTTGGATTCTGCCAGACATTTGGACATTATAACACAGTGGCACAGAAGCTTGGAACAAATTTAAATGTTGCGAAACAGAATGGACAGTTGGTTTTTATAGAGGCGCTCAAGACAACAACTCAGAATCTTGTAACACCATCAAACAATCCATTTGATTGCATTGATAAAGAACTTTCAATACAAAGTATTTATGAGCTTATAAAATCTGCAGTTGAGAATCTACAGCAGTCATCAAAAACACCAACTCTGATCTTATTCGACAACCTAAGTATAATGCAGTATGTCGGAGTCGAAACACTTCATATTGTCTCCCTTGTTCAATATCTAAGAACCTGTAAAACCTTCGAAAACACAACAATAGCAGCTATGGTAACAAATGATCAGAACATTGATGATGAAGATGCATCGTTGCTATGGAAACATCTGTGTCACCATAGTGATCTCACGATTGAAGCAAATTGTCTTCCCAGTGGCTATTTGAAAGAAGTTCATGGAGAAGTATGTAATATGAGAAAGTTATCTTTATAAGTACGAATATCAGTTTTATATTATAGATGAGGTTCATCCCATTATAACTTTCAAAACATATTTTTGACCAAAAATATGGATGTGATGATAATTATTAGTTGGTGAACACACACTGTACTAATGGATGTAATACTGAATAACATCAAATTATTCTACAATGAAATAAATATTAATGATGTTACTGTTACTCCACTAATATTGATATCATGAATGTTATCTTACCATGGTTTTGACAGATCATCCCAGTGCTGTTTGATTAATAACTGTAACTACTTTATCATATACATGACTATACTATTTTTCAGTTGCTGTCCGACAGTCGAAAAATCCATTTATTTTCTCATTTGGCCATATTCCTAAGTTTTACCCCCATATATAATAAATTTGGTCCATGACTTATCTACACCTCCTACCTTTCGTCAGAGAGCTGAGTAGAATGATGTCAAATTACATTTTCTTCTTCCTAATCCTCTAAATTTCAAAATGGTGGATGATTCAAAAAAATTACATAACATGACAAGTCATTATATTTTGTAAACCTGACCATCATACTTGAGATTATTAATTACATTTATAACATCATGTGAAATTACATATGTTTAGAATAGTTTGTTAACTGGATTATCACATTTGAATCTGTTTATTTATTATTTTGGATATTTATCACCACTTCAAAAATTTAACCATAGTTCAGTCATGGAATTCATGGAATTCTAGCAAATTCTTGGAATCTGACGTCACTTGAAAAGAGGGTGAGGAGAAACTTTTCTCAAGAAAATGACCGAGTTTCTTACTGCATTTGGATCCAATTTCAAGAATCTGCCTACTGACTAAGCGAATAGGCACACATTTGACTTCAAAAAATAAGTCATGTAATTGTAAATATGACAAATGATTTGATTGAGGCATTTGAACTTCTTCTAAAAATTGATTTTTCGACTGTCGGACAGCAAGTGAAAAATATTTTAGTTTTTCATTACATATCTGCCACTCAAACTATGCTACATCTATACTGTATATTAATTTTCCATTTCAGATAATTGCAAAATGGAAGGATCCTCTAGGACTGGCAAAATCGGCAAGAAAACCTCAATCTGCCCAATACAGAATTAAGGACAAAAATGTGACTTTCTTTGCAAAAGGGACATCCAAAATGGTTTTGTGAATCAATTATCTTCATTATGTGTCTGTTCTATTATCTTGTATAGGAACATTCAACAAATAAGCAAGGAATAAAATTTATGCTTTAGAGTGTGTAAGCTTATCAATATGGCTAGAGCAGCTAGAGTGAATACAGAAGCCAGTACAAACTACCTGTCTTATTCCAACATGAAATCCAAGTCAACCCCCACCGTAGGTTGTTGCAAAACTAGCTCCTGTCTTCCTGTCTTGCAATAAGTCATTGACCCCCCCCCCCCCCCCCCCCCCCCCCCGCTTAATCTCCACATAAATAAGTGAGCTGTTTAGAAGTGGGGAGGGGGAAGTCACAAAGGCTTTAAGACTTAAGAACCGAATTTTAGAATAAGCCTTGCTTGAATACTCACGACAAAACGATGTTTTGTTACATTACCTTTCTCCCTGAATTGAAATAATTCATCCTCTGCTGTTCTCTTTCAGCTTTTGTCCACTGTTTCATACCAGGCCATTCTTTTGTACCATCTCCCTTTCTAGCCAAGTGTTCCTTGTTGAGTCTCATCTCCCCCTGTTGATTGACCAATCATATTAAAGTTTTAGTCAGTCTTAAATTTCAAATGAAAGAAAAGTCTCAATACCTATAGTAGCCAAAAAGAAGAGAAATGTTCATAACTGAAAGATTTATACCTTAACATATTCTTTCCAATGACCAGTGTTCTCTGCTGGTGACCGCTCTTTCATTCCATTATTAGACATTCTGGCTCCTTCTCCTGGGTACGACATTGTGGAGAAATAATTTGGTGCTGCAATAACATGTGTCCCATAAATAGTACATTTTGAGAGGGCTAGTATAAAGGGCTAGTATAGAGGGTATAAAGAGTGGAACAAAGATGTTGATCATTTTGTTCAAAACTTTGACATGATGACCCCTCCCCCTGAGATGCTTATTTTTAATAAATCCAAGTTAGTCCCTTGGTAAATTCTTCCTCAAAATATTAATGACTTTACAGAGTACCATCTCACCTTTAACTTGAGATTGTTTACCAGTTTTTGATTGTTTCTGATAACTAACATCAACTGGATTTTTGGTGAGTTGTGCATTGTTCATACTGACTACACTTTGAAAATTTTGTAAATTTAAAGTTGGTTCATGTTGTAAGTATGTAATGACCTTAGGTTCAGTATTGTCAAATGAGACTTTTTTCTCCTTAACATTAATGCCAGCATGCCGTTTAACTTTTTTCATATCGGAAACAAATTGATTCATATTTTAAATTAGCATGTTTGACGTTTGTTTGACTAGCATTCATCTCATTCCTTTTTTCTGATCCTAATTTCAGTTTCTCTCTTAACACATGGGGACTGTCACTGTCACCACACGCGGGTATTGCAAATATTTTAATGGAATTTCGCATTTTCTGTTTCTAGTTCTAGACATTTTATAATCCTTTAATCACAATTGATAATCCTTTGCTCATGTATGCTATCTCGATTTTTGTTGATATATTCTTATAGAAAGTTATATTTAGAATGTCAGCAGACTTAATGACAAATTAAAAAATGTCCGTATAACTAAGTTACATAGACTAGTTGTAGTACCAGTATGAGAATTAATAAATAACAATGAATAATTGATGAATACTTCTTGAATTCCTATATTTAGGCTCATAGTTTGATTGTTTTGATTTAAAAACCGTGAATAATAGGGATAATTTAATCTTATATCAAGTAATAAGTGAAAAAGTACATGTGTCAGTAATCAGTGATTAAAAGCACAAGAGACTAATCTAGCAGCATAAAAGTGATTATGGATAGAAAGACTTTAGAAATCATAAAATGGTACCAATCTCGTGGAAAGAAACGTAAACACTCACCTTAGGTCGGAGATAAACTTGAAATATGAAGAAAAGAATCAACAAATCTACATTTCCCTGCCAACTATTTATTATGATTGTGACGTCATTGACGTTTCAATGGGAACCATTTCCCATAAGTGACGTCACAATGCTACAATCCTTATAATAGAAACAACGTTGTGGCAACACAACTCTGGAGTTGTTGAAATATTATGCTACTGTTATGCTACCTCCGCGAGAGAGAGTTGCAAGAAAGAAGAAAGCAATCATGGAGAGTCTAAAAGCAGATTCATTGACGGAATCGCTACAGATTTTGCCGGCGATTGAGGCAAAACCACGCAGTATGCTACCATCTTTGGATACGCTGTATGGACGATCAAAACATTTGATGAATAACATGGTATAGTTCTGTCATAAATCTCCCGTAAAAATGCCTGTCTTGGGACAGCTCTTGATAATGACACGCAGAATCTTCAAGAATTTTTTATCACCTACCTTTGTCATTAATACATGCGTAGCCAGGGGAGTGCACCACCTCGCACTTCCCCATCACAAAATACGAAAAAAGCAATTTTGTAAAACTCGTTAAAATTTTTTTACAAATGATAGTTTGAAATGTTTCTGAAGCACATGTACAATGTGAATCGTTTTAAATTTCCGGGGATGAACCCCCGTACATCCCTTTTTGGGGCTCGTTTTGCTCGGAGTAATGCAAACCAAAAAAATCGCACCCCCTTTGACAATTGCTGGCTACACCCCTGTAATATCATGTGTTCAAGAAAATCTACAAGTTTGCAAACAGATTGTTCAGAAGACGACAGAATCATCGATATGATACCTCACTATTATTACGTAAGCGGAACTTAACCGTTTTTGTAGTTCCGTTTACGTAACAAAACGTAACGGTAACTAGTTTGAAGAGTGCAGTAGCACTCTTGCTATGGTTGTTAACTACAATGAGTTCGTCCTCTGCCAGTATGGCATCATATTTCCAATTCCAATTTTAAGTTTTATTTTGTAGCCTCTGGAGAAAAAGACGTTCGAGAAACTTTCCAGCGCTTCAGATAAACTGAAAAATCCGTTGGAGACCGCTATCTTTGGCGCTTTGGCGGCGCTACCAAACAAAAACGGCAAAACTAGGAAAGAAGTTGGTAATGTTGGGTCATTTGATACTATAGACTAGACGATGTTGCGACCAATGATGAAATACTGCAAATATTACATTGAAAATATTTTCCCTTTGTGCCCTTTAAAAACTATGACCCAGTTCTTTTTTGCCAAAATTAAAGCCCGTGTTTTCAGAGATGGTCTGTATTCTCACGAATGTTCATATTTGGAAAATGAGGTGTACTAAGGCCTAAGGCCATAGCTTATATGGATCACTTTTGTCTCCACAACGCTACACGATTCCCTTTCGTTTCAGCTCCACATATTCCCTCGGGAAAAGAAGGAGGGCTCATCAGTAAAGACAATTCCTGCCCAATGTGTTGTAGCTATCACATGATGCAGACAATGAAAAAGGTGGAAGAAACCAAAAAGCTGTTGTGTTACTCAGCTAAGCCAAAGCTAAAAAAGAAACCCAGGATCAAAGACAGGTAAAACGGCCGATTCAAGACAATTAAAGCTACATAAACACAGACTATGGCACATGGCTGCGTTTGTCAATTCACTATACGATCGACAAAATTGAACTAAAAGGGAAAATGCCAATCTACGTTATGGATACATCCCTATTCCCTACGCGTAAAATCTTAATATTTCGGTGACATCGGAACACTTATTCATAGGTTTTGGGCCGATATAAAGATGGCAGCACCAGCTATTAGCTTTAAATAAACATAGATTTATTGGCCTGGCCTCTTCATTTAAAAATTATCTATATGGGCTTTAGCCAGCTTGGAAAGGGCTTACGGAATGTACCATATGCGAATTACTCCATAGATTAGACATAAAAAGCAGTTTTAGAATTTGCAATGGTACTTGACATTGATTATAGTATTATTTTCAGCTTGGAAAAGACTGTGTCCAAAGACATCAAAAACAATTTCCGAACTCAGTATCCCATCTCCGCCGTCGTGGTTCGCTGGAGACAACTGCGCTCAGTTAACCGGAACTTTGACACATATGCCCTCTATTATATTCTCTCGCAATTTGGGACCGTCGTCATTTTGGACATTTTGAGCGCCAACAGCGCATGCGTTGTATTTGATGACATCAGAGACAGTTGTGCCTTGGTTGATCGAAAGAGAATCGGAGATCCGTCAACGGGGTTGTTTTGTTACTGGTATCATGTGTCTATGAAGAACAAGACGTTTAGAAGCCAGAGAGGGCGTATCAAGAGTGTAAAAGATCCGTTTGTGAAATGAACAAGGAACTAAGTTACCAGCTGTATAGACTAGCCTACTATTGACAAATATGTGAAAAATACGAATGAAATATTAAATAGACAAATATCTCGCTTTTAATCTCATTGTTGTGACGCATGTTTCTAGTACAATTTGTGTCCTGAGTGTAACTCAAAGTTAAATACTTTTAATTTTCATAGAAAGGTGGCAGCATAAAATAATTATACAGTATAGTGCTGCCCTCTAACAATAAAATATTGCGTTGTTTTTAACTTTGTATTTATCTAACGTGAGGAAGTTTTCCATTAAGGTTTTCAAAGATTGATAAGAAATACATATCTGTTTAAGTTCTAGAGTTAGCACAAGGGGCAAACTTGAAGAACATAAACACAATCAAAATGTCACTTAGCAATCTAATATCAACATCGGATTAAACCATCAAATGACCTAATCAATAAACATGAAATCGAGTGTTTATGCATTCGTTGAAATGGACATGGATTTGAGGAATTGCAAGTCTGTGGTGTTGACAACGACACTCTCTGTAACTGTCGATCAAATCTCATCTATGACATTCAGATGACAGCATCTTTGGCATCATTGACACCTATGGCAATATTGACATTGACACCTACAGCAGCAACGGTTGACACGCTGGTAACAACATTGACAGGTATTACGTTCATGGTGTTATTACAACTCAACTGCCAGTTACAAATCAAGAGTACTATGGAACAAATCACAATTTGACAGTGAAACCTATAGTTCGCGTGACCACGCTGATGTTACTGCTAATATTATGGAGTTTCGATCATTAATTAAGGTCCGACGTAATGTAAAGTGCTCTGTTACATAGCCAAAGGCATAAATTCCCATTTGATATGGTTTGAAGACGAGCTGTTATCGCATACAATAATACCCTTTGGCTTAACATTCCTAACTTGATTAGATGATAATGAGCGAACAGTTCATTTACATTCAGTAGCAATCAACCTGGTCAGTTGATGATTTCATCAATATTGGGTCTCAATCAACTTCCGAACGCAGTCAATATTCAAATCCCCCACTTGTTAAAAAGATATTCCCCCTCATTGAAACCATAGGCCTACTATTAAACCACTGTATTCAATCAAATCAGTCTTATGAAATACCTTGGATTAAGATGCTTGCGTTGGGAGGATCGAGCAATAAATCATAACAGCAACCATTATTTAAAGTAGACTTCTAAAATTCTCAACTTATTTTAGCTTCTAGTGGTCGAGAGGAAACAAAAACTAGAAGCACGACTATACATCTCTTCAAAATGTGCAGGTAGTTTTCTTCATTCTTCATGGTTTTCCTTCATCCTAGGTATTTCTAACCAAAAATGTAGAGCTAGACGTACACTTATTGGACATTGATTGGACGACAATGGAACAAGCGTTAGATTTGGCCTCGGATTGGCGTCCGTGCCACTCACTGTCCACTATGACATGCAACTTAAGACTAATTATGACGTGCGTGTTAATGCCATCGGCAAAAAACATAGCTCTAGCAACCCCGGGAGATCCAGAACAACAACCCGGGAATATCGGAACAACCATCCCGGGGCTAAAACACGATATCCATTTCTTGCATTGCATGACTGATGTCATTTTGTGCTCAATTTCTGATCGGGTGTCATTGGAAAACATAAGAAGGTCATTAACTCATTGTAAACATGTAAACAGTGATGAGAATCGTTCCGTTTTGTCTGTGATTTTTCCCATCCGAAAATGGGATGCCAAATTCAGTATTAAGTATTCAGTATTGTCAGATAACTTTGTAATTCATGGATTGATATCACGAATATTAAAGCCAAAAAACAGTCATGAACAAAAAATATTTTTAACTTTTTAGGAAATCACTCCCAGCTCGTCTATGATAATTTTTGAACTATATTTTTTAGCCTGATCGAGTATTACAAAACAAAGTGAGAACTCGAGACTGGCTCACCTCGGGTTCTGATGCACAAAAATGACAATGACGATAACACGTCCCCGGGAACACAATTAGGAAGTACCCATGTAAACATCAGCCAGAAAAGGGAAGAGTGAAAATATACCTGGTAATTGGTAGTTTACACTTATTATACTCAAAAGACTCCTTAATTATCAGGTGTCATCTCAGTTCGCTTACAGGTGTACCAATTCATTCCCTTTTTTATAATTATCATAACTTTCATTGCCTGATAGTAATGTCAAGATTTGCATTTTAAACTCGTTGTGAGCAGTTTACCAATTAGAAGTCGTGAGAAAAACACAAACTGATGTTGAGTTGAAGTTCGTTCAGTGTTCATCATGTCTGGGACAAAACTTGCTGGAGGAAATTATGAGCTTCAAAAGTACAAATGTTTGGATATAGTTTGTTCACGGTTTTGAGATGACATGATAAGATACAATGCAATAGGCAAATTGCATGTCTCTTAGGAGAAGTAGGCTCACTCATTACCCTTTGCATTCGTTCGACTTCACTTCCTAAAAGAGAGCTTCGTCTTTAGTTCATAACTACGTAGACTCTACGCGCAGGGTACTATACTACTCACTCATGTAAACTAATTGTACGAATACCATGATTTCCCATATTCATATATATAAATCAACGTATTTCAGTCATAAAATACTGGATCAAGATGCGTATTTCTAAATATAGCTAAGATTGAAAACTTCGTTGGGTTAAGCGAATATGTATACTGTTACTATCTTGTGAGTAAACATCAATCACTAACAAGACATCCCAGCCTTATGATTGCACATTCGATAGACCGTGCAAAACAGGATTTTCTAATCATAAGTGCATGTTGGCATAAGTTGAGTTTACTAACTAGGGCATCGACAATCAGATGAAAAGTTACTTACAAAATATGCTACTTATATGGCATGATACCAAGGCGCGAAACCAACGAATCGTGAAAGATGTCAAACTTAAGAGATATAGTAACACCCTGTTGTAAAGTTACTCATCTGAATCAGAATTTGTAGTAATCCGTGTGAGAAAATGGATCATTTTAAACAAGGTAAAGATTAAAAGGTGGATTGGATCGAGTGGATTGGATTCATGTAAAAGGTGGATTGGATTGGCTATCTTCAAAATATGGATTTTCCTTTAAAAAATTCTATTGATCTCCCTCTAGGAAGATTGGTGCTCTCTTCACTTGCACAATGTCAAATAATAGATGTAATATTATTTTGCTTGGGTGGGCTAGAAGGATGACCTGGTACCCGCTTTCTGATATACGATCTTATTCATTCCAAGTGTAATTTGAGACATTTCATAAATCATAAGGCAGACTGGTTTGAAGATCCATATCATCCGTTTTCAATCCAAACTGAACGTGCCAGAAATGCTTTGTGAACATTCACACATCAATTTGAATGACAGGTTTTCTTTTTCTAAAGATCTATGTCTTACAAAAGTTGATTTACAAGGAAAGCAGTTAAATACTTAAGAGTGTCCATGAACTAATTGGAGTATGTATTTGTCATTGCTTTGTTCTGATTTCTCAAAAGGGACCTGTAATACTGTAGAGGGAAATTGTTAAGAGGGAGATCAACAGAATTATTTTTATAAGAAATTCGACATTTTGAAGATTCCCGATCCAATCCACCTTTTACATGAATCCAATCCACTCGATCCAATCCACCTTTTAATCTCTACCTTAAACAACCCTTTCCGATATTTAGTCATTCTGATACTCATAGCATCTTTCTGTTTCACCTGAAACATCTCAGGGCTGAGAAGAAATGAGATGTCATGGATTATCATGATGATATTTAGTACGATTTTCTAAGTAACTCTGTGTACTGCTCAGCCACTCAGTAATATCAAACGTATGTATATATGTACATATGAGTAAGTTAATCAACATGCATTGCTTTCCATATTAAGTAAACACATGGTAAATGCGAATTCCTCTATCTGTCAGACACTCTGAACTTCCTATGCAGAGATCAGAATACCACATATATTTGGAATAATCTATAAAATGACTATGCAATATATCGGATTGCATTCGCTAAAAAGGTACCTTGGAAATCCAGGTTGCGACCCCGGGTTCTGGGGTTGCGATATAAAAGTCATATATGTGTAAGCAGAGATCGTCCATATCTCTTGCATATTCAACTCTACAAGATATAGCAATTTTGAAAAATTGACAATTGATAAATAGATGCGGAATGGGGGGAGGGATTTCATACTTGGAACTTCATCTTTCTAATCCAAGATGGGTAGGGAGCATATTCCGTTGCCATCTCCGTCTTCCAAGGTAGTTATAACATTTCTATGAAATTGGAGCAACCTTGTGAACCAAGATGCTCCGTTGCAACATTCTGATACTCTGAACACATGTTTTGTTCCACTAAAACACATCTTGGATTTCCAAGTTTTGAAAATAAAAATTGTGATGGAAGACGCCGAGAAAATGGCTGAGAAGAAATTAATTGATATCGTTTTTTAATCACAAGATTTCGCAAAACATAGATGGAATATATACAACGGAATATAGTCTCTTTAAAATTACAAAACAAAGTTGTATAGTCGTGTAAAGAGACTTTATAGACAATCTTTATACCTTCCTCGTTATCAACTTGCTTATCCACAGTTTCATTTTCAAACACGGTATGAAAACATACCTTGGAAATACAAGATGATCTTCTTGTCGCATCTTTAAAACCACAACGGTATAACAATGAAAGGGGGTACCACCACTCCACTAATCGTAACCTTGCGTTTGCGTTTTGGATAAACGTCAAAATGATATATGAGGACCCTCAATCATATTGATGATAACATTAGCATTCTTATTAATAAATCGTAATATTCGTTTATGAAGTTATCTTAAAGGGACTGGTTATGGTGAACAGGTATAGGGATCGAACAGCCGGAACGTTGTCAGAGCTAACTGAATGTGTGAACTATATCGCCAAACCGCATCTAAAAGTGTCAAAACATGATGAGTCTAACGCTGCGTTCAAGTTGTTGCTGATGATGCAAATTCACGCAATATTCATCATCCGCATCTTCTAATGAAAACATCAAAAGCTCAATTTTAGCGCCATATTCTATATTTACATTTGTGGTATTTTCGATAAAAAGCCAATTTGCCCAGGGGCTTTTATGATGATTTTTCTAATGAAACAAATTGTCCAGTGATAATGCTAAAGTGCATCGCGTCCTTTGATCTTTGGGCTTCACTTACGCATCTCCTGTATAAGAGCTCCCGCCAAAATATGAAAGTCATTATGACCCATTAGCAGACGACCCTCAATAGAATTTCATTTACATGCTAAAATGGTGGATTTAATGGGCAACAAATAATGAAATAGATAGAAGTGTGATGAGTGTTAATGGTTTATAAATGATTAAGGGCCAGTCATTAGATCTTGTGCACTTAATATAATGTAACATTTTTTCAAATTTTTCTGCGCCTAAATGAAGAGAAAA